ACGGGTAGCTTGCCAGGCTCTGTGGTGCGGGCGAGATACTCTCGGTAGCTTGCCGGGCTCTCCGAGAGGGGCGGAGGACCGAACCCGGCTCGGCTGGGCTGGCTACGCTTAAGGTAACTGCCCTACCGCTGTGCTATCGCTCCAGCCCATCAATATCAGTAGACAAATCAAACATTTACTATTAATAAAATAAATAAATCTATTAACAAATTTTAATATTTCTATTTGTAAAAGAAATTTATTATTAAATTTTTTTTAAGTTACATAACCCCATGCTGCAATCCACAATTTAAGTAGCTAGAGCTCAGATGAGTAAAAAGGGCTACAACAGAGTTCTTGATCACACGTGTCTGTTCTCAACCAGCATCTATTAAGAGTCCACTATTGAAAGACACTCTGCCAAATCTGTGCTGAAGACAAGCAGGCTTTTGATTTAAGGAGCAAGGTGGCTATTACAAAAAGAAAGAACAACAGACAAGTACAGGGTAGATACAGGGAACCAAAAACAACACAATTATACTACTGAATAAGGCACGTAAAGATACATAGTTTATCCTTCATGTTCGCTGAATTGATCTTAAACTAGATGAAAGACTAGGCAGACAAGTTGAGGAGAAACCCTGTATCATTTTGAATATTAACTAAGAGATTCAGAGTTTACTCTCCTTAGAACAGAAGAACTAAATGTTTCTGAGCCTTATATGAATTGAGTTCTAGGAAGAAGAGCCAGCGAATGCTCAGCTTATAAGTGGGCTGAAATTTGCATGTGAGCATAGTATTTATGTTTATGTTATCTAATATATCACAACATTGATGTTTATGTTATCTAGGGACGTTTACCACATGTTATATACAATGCAGAATTTTTTTTTTCAATTTCAAGACTCCCACCAGAAAAAAACAACTGTAGGTATCTGCAAATACAGTTATGAGGTAATTTCATGTTCTTGTTTGAATCTAATCAAATTATCAGCAAAAACTCAAAGGACAATGTTTCTGCACTAGGGAGGGCCTGAGTGACACATGTTATTGGAACCATTAAAACTGAGAGATTGTTAAGTACCTCTTCTCTATCTATTAGGGATAACTGCTTCCACCCGACAAGCCTAGTAAGAAAAACTGCATCAGGAAGGGTTTCTAGGGTATGCAATCTTGATGTCAAGAAGTATCATCTTCCGTGCAGACCCTAATATACACTGCTAAAATAAAAGTTTAGAAAGCTATGTTTTATTTTCCAGCCACAAAGTTTGTACTTCTATAAACGCAATTCTCTAACTTTTAGGGAACTAGTTAATGCGGGGGAGGGGGGGGGAGAGGGAACCGATCTGCTTATTCTACTGATAACTATGTCTCATGGTCATTCAAGTTTTACTTAAGCAGTACACGTGCGTGTAACAACATCAAGCAAGGGATGGTATGAACTGGAAAACAGAAACGTTACCAAATCATGAATCTGTCCCCCTCCCCAATCCCCAACCCCGCATACTTCCTGCCTCTTCAATAGCCAAAACTGCAGAACTCGAATATAAAGAGTGAAAACAATCCAGTAACTCATGGATAGTTCCTGAAATGCCAACACCTGTTCCCAGAATGTGCCCCCCAACTGCGGCTCTTAAATCAAGTACCCAGAGCAAAATCAGCAGTGCCCTGGGTGCCGAAAACGCAGACACCCGCCCCCCGCGCCCCCCGCCGACCCTAAACACACAAAGCAGTGTCTGGCCAGGACTGGGGTACAGGACAGGGCATGGTGGTCGAGCCCGAAGGCACCCACCCCCTTGGCCACCTTCTTCCCTCCCGCGCCCTCAGGGGCCGAGTACTCACAGCTCGGGTCTCGTACAGAACCAACTTCTGGATCGAGCTGATAAGGGGGGCGGCGGCCGAGGGCATGGCCAGAGCAAATAGGGTCCCCGGAGAAAGCACCAGGCCGCAGCCCAGATTGTGGCAGTCGCCCTAGAAGGCTGGCAGAGATGTCACCTCAGCCCCCAGACAAGAGATGCATCCAGGATCAAAGCCGCCGGCCCGGGCACTAAGCACACAGCTGACCCACACAGCACGGCGGTTTCCGGATTCCTTCGCCCCGCCTCCAAGCAAACCCCGCCCCGGGCCCGGCGAAGGCGGAGCTGGAGGATGTACCATAGAGAGGTGGTGTAGAGGCGCCCAGAGCCTGCGTACTGCCCTAAAAGGAAGCAAAGATGGCCATCACTGATGAGGGCAGAGAAAAAAAGTGGGCGGAGAAAAGTTTATAGTATTAATTCTCTGGGGTGGGTTGTTTGTTTGTTTGTTTGTTTGTGTTTGTTTGTTTGTTTGTGGGTTTTTATGGAATTGAGTTACTCGCCTTGGAGCAGTTCTCCCCTAATTGCAAATAGATCCATTCTCAAGTGTGAGGGGTTCCCCCACACACACTGCCTATTCTCTCCTTTATTTTCCGGGAAATTTACTCTGATGCTCCTACACCGAGTGTAAGTGCTTTTTTCCTTGCGTGACTACGGTGAGCATCAACAAACTCCGTATCATTCAGACAGTGTGTCATCCGAGGAATGGTTTTAAATCACCTCAGCTGGAAAGTCTGTACTGTGCCAAATATTTGTCTGACTTACAACATTTGTAAATTCTATCAAATATTACATATGTACATTGTTCTAAACCTCTAACTTTCTAGTTGGGCAGTTCAGGGTTAAATCAATGTTTCTTCCATATGTTCTTTGTTGTCATCTTACATATTTAATGTTCCCTTTCTTATTGTCACCTTATATATTTAATGTTTGCTCTCTTAACAATTTATTATTTAATTAAATAAGTGGGATTTACAAAGTTATTGATACTTGAGTTTTAGGAATACAGTATTTCAACACCAATCTCACCACCAGTGCCAACGTCCCTCCACCAGTGTTCCCATATTCCATCCTCTGCAATCATTTAAGACCCCACCCCTGCCTGCCACCTTAGCAAGCACATTACAAAGTTTGGTGGTTGCAGCTTCGATCTCACGTTCTCAATCTTGTTGAGTCTGTGCTTTGAATAAATGGTTACACCACTCACCCAAATCACAAGTATAACCAAAGCTCCAACCCAGATTCTCCCATTACTTCCCTTTCTCATGTTTTCCAACCCCCTCCCTTCTTGATGTCTCTTTCTTTCCTTCTCTGACCTTCTCCTCCCTAAACTCTGGGATCAAGGGTGATCTAAGTAGCTCCCCTTCCTACATTACATTTCCCAGTCCAGTTATTTTATATAATACAGAAAAGTGAGATCATCCTGTGTTTGTCCTTCTTCTCCTGGCTTACTTCACTCAACATGATATCTTCCCTACCAACCAGGTTGCAGCAAATTGTATGATTCCATTGTTCCTTGCAGCTACATAGTATTCCATTGTGTATATTTACCACATCTTCATAAACCATTCATTTGTTGTTGGATACTTAGGTTGATTCTGTATCTTAGTTGTTCTACTAAGTGCAGCAATGAATAATGGTGTGCATGTCCTTCTGAATGAATGTCTTTCTATACTGGGGGTAGATGCCCAAAAGTGGAATTGCTGGATCATATAGCAGCTCAACTCTAAATTTACTGAGACTCTTGAAAAGCAGCTTGATTACACAGCACTCACATACACAAACATGGCAACACAGCCCTTTATATCAGTAATTTCAATGTCAATGGACTAATCTTTCCTCTCAATCATACATTTGGGGAAATGAGTTTATTCACAATTGAAATAGGTACTCACAAAAGTATTTAACAAGAGAAAATCCGCCACAGTAGCAACTCTCAAGGGCCCGCCCCCAAAAGGCTCTGGGCTGTAGCGTCGGTGGTTCCCTAGGCAACCGCCCAACAGATCCCAAAGTCCGGGAAACTGCGGCGGGCTCTGCGGAGTACACTGGAAAGAAGCTGCCTGGTAAATAGGGGGCCTCGCCCACCGCCCGAAGGCCTTTGGCTAGAGATTAAATAGAACCCCACACCTGCTAGGACCCCAGACCAGTTACTTTTATTGCAAAATTAAACTCTGGGATCCCTGGGTAAATTCTGGATTTTAAAACCGCTTCCTCTTTCAAAGATTAGTCTTCAGTCCATAGATATTTACTAAGCACCTTTTCTTGAGAATGTATAGCAACCAGAGTGGCAGCTAGTCTAATTTAGATGGGAGCGGTAGGATTTCCAGTAGAAGGGACTCCTATAAATCTCAGAACCCACTGCTGGACGGCTTCTCAGCAGCTAAAAAATGTGTGGGGATGGGGCAGAATCTGTATTGAATTTATAGCACAAATACACAGCATAATGTAATATTTGAGATTTGTGTTTCATTCCAAGTTTGATAAATTTTAGCAGCAGTTTTTAAGTATGTCTTTGAAGCAGGATTGGGGCCCTTGATAATGAATTCTGGTGTATTAAAAAACTTAGAATTTGGGGCTTGAATCAATATTATAGAGGGTAGGGTGTTTGCTTTGCACTTGGCTGAGCCCGGTTCAATACCAGACATTCCCTATGGTCTCCCGAGCACCTCCAGAAGTAATTTCTGAGTGCTGAGTCAAGAGTAACCTCTGAGCATCGCTGGGTGTGACCCAAAATGCTGTCTAGAGCCCATTAAAAGAACCCACCAAGGGACTGTTCAGCAATCTTTTTCTAACAGCACTCTAGCAGCAAATCCCAATGTGAGGGAACCTAGAAGTTAGAAATATATATGCTAATAAATATATATTAGCATATATGATTTTTCTATTTGCATTTTCCCTAATTGAGTTCTTTAGAGAATTTTTTTTAATGTCATATATACTGCAAATTTCTGAAATTCGCATTTTTTTTTTGGTCTGTAACTAAGAGCCTATTAAAATGGTAATAGGTGACTTTAACTCACTTGAGATTATTGGTAAAATCTATGTCTCTGATGGCATGGGTTATTTTCTAGAACACATAAATTCATAGGCTAATCTAGTTACCCCAATCTGCCTATTTGTTCCAACTAACTTTAACAATCTAACTCTCTTCTTGTAGCATGTTGTACCATGACTGTTAACAAAATGAAAGAAGAGCAGCATCCTTTTGTAGACATATTTGATGAAGATGAAACTGAGAAAAATTTCATGTTGTCCAAACCTGTTTGTTTTGTTGTATTTGGGAAGCCAGTAAGTTATTTGTGATAGCTACTTTATATGATCTTTCTATTTTAAAAGTCATAATCTTATGTAGCCATACAAGAAAGGAAAATCACCATGTTCTTCTTTTGAGTGATTGTTACTTTCATTATCTGACTTAAAACCTGATATAACATTGCTTGTAAGTTGATAATTTTCTCTCCTTACACACTCTAAATGAAAAGGAGACTGGGTTTTGTATTCTAAGGCATTACCTCCAAAATAATGTCTTAGAATACAATCGCCACTACGCTCCAGGCCGCTTTCCAGATGCTCTGGCCGAGCCTTAAGCAGGAGTGAAGTCCCATGGAACCCAGGTAATGTGGAACTTTGTGACCTTGGACACTGAACTCAACGGGATCCAGGAGCAGAAATCGTCTGCCTGCTTCCCCCCAGTCTCTGGTGACCCAGGAGTCACACCCATAAGTCACACCCTTCCGGCACCAGATAATCTCCTCATCGGCCACCCTCCAGAACTCACGGCTGTTCCTCCCAGACAGGAGTATAAATTGAGGCCCCCATAACCATGCCATCAACTCCGAGCCAGGCTGTTCTCATTCAGGCTGCCCCAGAGCGGGGCGGGCGGGAGCTCTCCCCATCCCAAGGGATCCAGCCCCAGCAGCCAACCTCCACTACCCAATCACCACCACGCTCCAGGCTGCTTTCCGGACACATCATAAGACACTTCCTACTCATTTTCCATAATTACCACATCATATTTTATGGGATTCAGACAGGAGGCAACAAATCATAGAGAGAAATATATATATATATATACATATATAGACATATATGTATCTCTGTCTCTCTGTCTCTCTGTCTCTCTGTCTCTCTCTCTCTCTCTCTCTCTATATATATATATATATATATCACACTCACGGTCATGGTCCTCCCATTGTTCATCAATTTGCTCGAGCAAGCCCAGTAACATTGTGAGACTTGTTACTGTGTTTGGCATATCGAATACATCACGGGGAGCTTGCCAGGCTTTGCCATGCGGGCGAGATACTCTCGGGAGCTTGCCGGGCTCTCCAAGAGGGACGGAGGAATCGAACTCGGGTTGGCCATGTTGGCTGCGTGTAAGGCAAACGCCCTACCCGCTGTGCTATCGCTCCAGCCCATATATATAAATATATATATATGTATATATACATACACCTCTCAGAGAGCCCAGCAAGCTACCTAGATTATCTCACCCGCAGGGGCAGAGCCTGGCAAGCTCCCTATGGCGTATTCGATATGCCAAAAACAGTAATGATAACAGGTCTCATTCCCCTGACCCTGAAAGAGCCTCCAATCGTTGGGAAAAGACGAGTAAGAAGCTGCTAAAATCTCAGGACTGGAACCAATAGAGACGTTACTGGTGCCCACTAGAGTAAATCGACAAACACGGGATGACAGTGATACAGTGATACCACCAAAGTACCCACCATGTCTATCATTAGTTATACATGATCCAAGGTTTTGTCAGACACAACTTGTATATAAACATTTGTCAAATTTGTTATGAAGCTCTCTGAATATGTAACAGTGACTCACTGGTAGGTTCCTGCACTAGCTCTGAAGCCACTGCGAGATGCTAGGTCTTGCCTCACCCAGTGTGATAGTGACCCTGTGCATTATGGTTGTTGAAAAATAGCTTGCCTTCCTAGGCACATCTACTTAAAACCTCTAAAGAGCTATTTTCAACTACTGAGATATTTAATAGTTATCAGTAGGTAGCCAGAGCTGGTTAACTAAAGATCTTCTCAAGAACACAGAAGCTGGGGCTGGAGTGATAGCACAGCAGGTAGGGCGTTTGCCTTGCACGCAGCCAACCAGGGTTCGATTCCAGCATCCCATATGGTCTCCTGAGCATGGCCAGGAGTAATTCCTGAGTGCATGAGCCAGGAGTAACTCCTGTGCATCGCCGGGTGTGACCCAAAAAGAAGAAGAAAAAAAAAAAGAAGAAGAAGAACGCAGAAGCTAAGGATAAGGTTTCATAGCACTGTCATCCCATCAATTAGCTCGAACGGGCACCAGTAACGTCCCATGTTTGGTTTAATTTTATATCAACTTTGGGATAGCTACAAGAAATAGTTCCAGTAACTTTCATTATATTTTTGCAAAATGTCATGGAGTTTGAAAGGTCAGCAGTGAGGGGCGGGAGCAAATAGCACATTTGCCTACATGCAACCAAGATGGATATGAGTCCTGGCACCCCATAGTAGTACCCAGAGCATTCCAGAAATGATCCCTAAGCATAAAGACAGGAGTAAGCCCTGAGCACCAGTTGGTGTGGCCCCAAATTTCCCCCAAAAAGATTGTCCTAAAACTCAACAGTAAAAACAATAAAGTAGAAATGTTACTTCATTAGAGGGATATTTTGTATTTGTGATATCCTACTCAAAGATTCTGTTCAATGAACGCTTTGCTCCTGAAAGTTACAAAATGTAAATTTGTCAAAACATTCATGATTATAAACTTTAGTAAGAAAACAAACTAATAAATGTCAATATAGACACAATGATATATGTTCAGAATTCAAAATCTGACAATCAAAAGAAAATATTATTTAGACTGTCATTATGATGAAACATTCTGCTGGTCTCAAGGTAAAATGTTAAACTTCTTTTACTTAAATTACCTCATAAAATGAGGCAAATGTGACAATTTCTGGAGGGAAATGAAGCTATATATATCTAGGTTTTACTGTTCATTTGTTTTTGTTTTTTTTTTTTTGAAAAATAACATAGCATTGATATAATAGTGACCATCAATAGACTCTTTCAAAATGAGATTATCTCTTTCACTTATAATAGTTGTTCTATTGAATTTTAAATACTGTCTTATTTTTTTAAGGGGGTTGGGAAGACAACTTTGGCCAATTATATAACACAGACATGGAAATGTATTCCTGTAGAAGGTAAGTTTTACCTTTTCTTTCCAATATCATCTTATGAGTATATTCAAGTTTGCATTAAAATGTAAGGAATTATACAATTAATACTCACCAAGATTCTATGATTTTGTTACATCTTTATCACATCCCACAGTCAAACAAGTGAATATGATGTTATAAGGCACCAAATAAGTTTTGCCATTCTACTAATCACAGTTTTGTTCATAGAATTTTGGACTGGATCTGAAATGTCTTTGATTCCATTCTACTATCTCCATTTCTATAATTTTAAAAATTAGGACTCTTCAAGGTAAGTGTTTGTTTAGTGTCTCCCTATGGAAGATGAGATTCTCACAGCTGAAAATTGTTGTGGCACTTTTAAGAAACACAACTATCTCCAATGATACATTTTTTCTTTTTTTATCTATAGATTTCTTTGCATTCTTTGCCATTTATAAAGGTTGCTATATATAATGCAGTAATATTATTTGTGACCTCATAGATAAGTTAAGAAATTAATCAGTAATTCTTAAGATAAAGAAATATAGGGGAAAATTAACCCCATCATTATTCAAAGAAAATCTAAATAAAATAATAATGATGTGTATTTATATATCAGATTGACAACAAATCCTAAAAGTTTTTACAATCATTTTCAGTGGATATTTCACGTGGTAGTAGTAAAATTATGATCTGTTACAATTTGGGGGAAAATAATTTAATAACATAGCAAACACACAAATTAAAATTTTTCCCCTTTTTCACATAAAAATTCACTGTAGCAAGCATTAAAGAATATAAACATTCCAGACCCCTCTTTTCCCTAACCATGGATATTAGTCTTCTACTATATACTTTTTATATGCCACAAATGACTGCATTATTCTATATCTGGGGTTAGGAGGACTGGTTAATGATTGGCTCTAACCACAAATTTGGGGGGGGGGGGGCTGAGGGTAGGTAAGATAAGAGAAGAGACTGGTATGACAATAATAGCTGAGAATGATCACACTGGACCAGAACTGAGTGTTAAAAATAGGTAAGGGATATTATTTTTTTAATTGAATCACTGTGAGATACAGTTACAAAGCTTTCATGTTTGAGTTTCAGTCATACATTGATAGAACATCCATCCCTCCACCAGTGCACATTTTCCACCACCAATGTCCTTCATATCCCCTCCCTTCTTAACCTTCCCCCTGCCTCTATGGCAGACAATTTCCTGGAAAGGGATATTCTCGATAACCTTTCAGTACCAATATTGCAAACCACAGTGCCCAAAAGCACGGGGCGGGGGGGGGGGGGGGGGAGGGGCGGCGGGGGAGAGAGACAGACACACAGACAGACACACAGACAAAAAGACACACAGAGACAGAGGGGGGAGAGAGAGAGGAGAGAGGAGAGAGAGAGAGAGAGGCAGGCAAGGTATGGGGGGGTGATGGGAGGGAACCTGGGGACACTGGTGCTGGGAAACGTACACTAGTGGAGGGATGGGTGTTGGAATACTGTATGACTGAAATCTAACCATGAAAAGCTTTGTAAGGGTCTATCTCACAGTAGTTCAATCAAAAAGTTTTTTTAAAAAAGAATATAATCATTCCATAGATTATTAGCTGCTGGGGATATAATTTGGCTCCTGAGACATCCCCTACACCATGTGTTATCATTTCTATCCCCAAATTTCTTTTAGCAATAGATAAAATATTTCCATTCTAAGGGGATGCATTGGGAGAGAAGGGAGTTGGGTGACTCTGCAGTGCTTAGCAGAGCATGCAGTGCTTGGGATTGAACCCACCTTAAATCCTGTACTGTCTCTGGGTCCCCAAATGTTTCCTTTTAGAAAAGAAAGAGGAGCCTTATAATAGCTCAAAGGGCTAGTGCGATAGCTTTGCTTGCCAGAGACCTGAATTCATGCCTTGCAACTGCATGGCATTGATAAACAAATACAAGAAAAAGCATTGCCACTGGCTACCCCACTCTTGGTTCCTAAGATTATCCTGTGAATCCTAAAACAAAACAAAATTTAAACATCACTGCAATTTCAACCTGGGAATCCCTCTTCCCTTTTTAAACATTTCTCCATGAATGTTTTCCATCTTTACAATCTGTAAAAAATTAATGATCTCTGGATATAATTTCATAGTGATAAAAGTGACTAATAATAGCAGTGCCCATCTTTATGCAGTACTTTATATTTTCCCAATTACTGTCATATACCACCTCATTTCATCCTCACTCTCTTGCATACTGTCTAGCACATTCGCATACCAGATACAGAGGCATTTAGGAAATCAGCTTCTCGGAGGTCCCTTAACTTGCCAATGACAGAAACAGGTTTTCTGTGGAGTACTTTTTGCTACTAGTTAGGTTTAAATAAAGCGTCTAAATATTCTTTATAAATTCTAAAGTAAAATACAAATGTTTGTCCTTGTTAGCACTTACAAAATACATATCTCTTCCCCCCATCTTACATTCTTTTTTTAAATTTTATTTTATTAAAGCACTGTGATTTCAAAGTTACTTACAGTGTTCCAGCACCCATCCCATCACCAGTGTCAACTTCCCTCCACCAGTGTTTTCAGGTTCCCTCTCCCCAACCCCCGAAAAACCCCAGTCTGCCATCTTGATACTCAACTTTTTTAAAGTTTGGTCATTAAAATTTGGGTCTCCTGATTTCAGTGTTGTTGACTGTGGTTTGGGTATTTAGCTCTATCATTCCTTACCACCACAGATGTATACTTGAATCACATGGACCCTTGCTCATTGTTGCTTCTCATCTATCTCTTATCCCACCCCAACTCTCCGCCACTTGATTTCTTTCCTACTCCTGCCTAGACTCTGGTGTCAGGGGTGATCTGGACATTCTCCCCTATAAACCATTGCATTTCCTCCTCCCATTATTCTAAATTCCACATATAAGTGATATCATCCAGAATACACATTTCTTAATTTGACAATTTTTACACCAGTTGGTGCTAATATTTTGAATTCATATTTTAGCTTTGCCAGTTTTGGAAGAATTGATTGCCTCCGATACCCCATCAGGAAACTTGGTAAAAAAATCTGTGTTTTAGATTTACTGTGACTTTTAAAAAAGGCTCCGTACCATGTCTATACTTCACAGTCATATGCACTATCTTTGCTTGTTCTCAGTTGCAATCCATGCTGCACAAGGGGCACAGCATTCCAGATGAAGTCATTATAAAGCTCCTGTTGGAGAAGCTCAACTCCCAGCAAGTGTCACACTTTGGTATGTTTTTTGTATGTTTGTTTGTTTGTTTTTTACTTCAGTGGTCCACTAAACAGCGTTAAAATTTGTGTATGTATAAATAATGAATACATAATGTCTGCATTTGCTTTCTTTTGAAATTCTGGTATAGAAATTCCAGAGTCTGCATTCCACTGAGCAGCCCAGATGGTTTATTTTTATTGTATTGAGGTAGCACTGTAGCACTGTCCTCCCATTGTTCATCAATTTGCTCGAGTGGACCCAGGAACGTCTCCATTGTGAGACTTGTTGTTATTGTGTTTGGCATATTGAATACACCACGGGTAGCTTGTCAGGCTTTGCCGTGCAGGCGCGATACTCTTGGTAGCTTGCTAGGCTCTCCGAGAGGAGCAGACGAATCGAACCCAGGTCAGCCGGCTTGGCCACATGCAAGGTAAACGCCCCACCGCTGTGCTATCGGTCCAGCCTGAGATCTGATATAATTTTCATTGTCAAGCAATTGATGATTTCAAAGCTAACTACTACTTTTCAGACTCATTAAGCTTGTAAGCAGGGTATTTCTCATTTAACACTTTAACAGAGTGTGGGGACTGGAGAGAGCTCAAAGGGCTGAGTGCGTGCTCTACATTCAAGAGTATTGAGGTATCCTTATATTAAAATCTTATTGCACCACACCACAGTGACAATATCCTTTACCCACCTTTGTCCCAAGATCTTTTCTTGTCTTGCCCTCACCTTTTATAGCCCAACCTTGCGTGGCAGCCTTATTTCCATTGGCAGTATCTCAAGGTTTGCTCTCATTGGCCATAGTCTATTCCCTTGCTTTGTTTCTTCTATATAAACATAAGGTCTTCCAGTATTTGTCTTTCCACAAAGCCTCACTTTGCTTAATACGATAACTTTCAGTTCCATCCAGGCTGTAGCAAAATGCAAATTTTCATCTTTTCTTATAACTAAGTGGTATTATATCATGTGTACACATATTTATATCATAATTTTCTTATACACTCATCTCTCATTAGGCATTTGGGTTGTTTCCAGATCTTGGCTAATGTAAATTATTCTACAATAAACATGTGTGTGCATACATCTTTTTGAATTATTGTTTTCCTGTTCTTAAGATAAATGCCAAGGAGTTAAATTGCTGGATTAGATGGGAGTTCTATTTTGTATTTTTTGTGAAATCTCCATTCTGTTTTTCATGGTGACTGAACCACTAACATTCGCACTGACACAAATGAGGGTTCCTTTCTTACCTAATTCTCACCACCAGCACTTGACTGTTTTCAGACTGTTTGCTGGAGGCCATTTTCACTGGTGTGAGATGATATCTCATTGTTGTTCAATTTGCATTTTCCTGACAACCAGTGATGATGAACACTTTTTCTGTATTGTCTTCTTTTGAGGAAAAGTTTATTCACTGCAGCTCCACATTTTTAAATGGGAGTTTTGTTTTCTGTGTTGCTGAGTTTTGTTCAGATAGTTTTATTTGCTTGTTTACTTGTTTTGTTGTTGCCTAGGGTGGAGGGTACACCCATGGTGCTCATGGTGTTCTAGCTCTGTGGGCAGGAGTGACTCCTGGCAGTGCTTGGGGGACTGTATGTGGTTCTGTGGATGGAACCAGGATTTGGAGTAAGCAAAGCAAGCACCTTAACCCCTGTGCTATCTCTCTGGCCACTTGTTTACTTGTTTTTATTCTTCATATTCTATATCTATCTAAATAAAAAATTTCAGATAGTCCAATCACTTTTTTTCCAGAATCTTATGTGTTATCCACCAAAACCAAAAGATCTTTCATTATCTTTCTTGCAGCACTAAGAACTTTGGCTGACTTTTTCCCATTCACTCTGAGTTATATTACTAAGGCCTGGCCACAGGGAGATTTCTCTTCACTAATACACACTTATAAGATGAACTTGGTAACTAAAGTGACACTAGTTCACTCTCTGGCTCTATATTTCACTGCGCTTCAGTCTATTCCTTAAGTCCACCCTCTGGCTCAAATCTAAGAGGACCCCTTAAGCACATGCTGAGCAGGTATTTATTTGGACCTAAATTCTCAAGCCATAGAGTCCTGAAGCTCAGAGTGATTAGAAAGAGAAAATGAAAATCCCATGACATTTGCAAAATAAGAAAGGGAAAATAAAGATGTGCTAGGGATAAAGTCATTAATCTAAATGATAATGCGTTATTGAATGAAATTAGAAAGTTGCTTTTTAAGTCTCAGTAAAGGATTATAATCATATGAGACATCTCAGTAAGGGACTATAATCATATGAGACATTCAAACACAGGGATTAAGAAACTAAGGACAGGGAAGCTGGAGAGATATTATAGCTGTTAAAATACTTACCTTGCATCCTGCTGACCTTGGTTTGAATCCTCAGCACTACATATGTTCCCCTGAGCAGCACTGGGGTCACTCTTGAGCATAGAGACAGGAATAACTCCTAAGCGCGACATCTTATAACGACATTTTATTATCTCATTCCGACTTTGGACAAACTGGCAGGCTACCGAATGTAACCTGCCCACACGGCAGAGTCTGGCAAACTCCCCGTGGCATACCCAATATGCCAAATACCAGTAACAATGATGGGTCTCATTCTCCTAACCCTGAAAGAGCCTTGAATATGGCACTTTTTTAAAAATCTCAGGGCTAGGACAAAGGAGACGTTACTGGGGCCTGCTCGAGGCAATCGACGAATAATCGACGAATAACAGGTTTGTCATGTTGAAAAGCCAAATGATCCTGTTGCTGTTGAGTTGGTAAAGTGGGAAGCAAAGGAGGTAGAATCAGGAAAATGCTTGGCCTACATTAGGTCAGTCCCAATTTCAGCACAGGCAATTGTAGTTCCATTGCCTTTCCCTCACGAAAAGAATTTCAGGAGGAGTGAAATAAAGAGATAGGGTAGTTTTATTAAAAATTATTTAGAAATATGTGAGGGGAGAAAAAAAGGGAGAAAGAAGTGTGTGTCCAAGAGAGAATACAAGCGTCTCCGGAGTGGAAATAGGCAAGCAAAGAAACTTGGAGACAAGCAAGTGACATCGGTGTTCAGTGGGGGAACAGAGACTTGAAAAGTGAGCCGCTGATTCATATCTTATATGTTCACCTGTAAGTGTTTGCTGTATGTTTCAAGAAGATGCAAACACTTTTATATTAAATGAATGATCCCACAACCATTTCACACCTAAAAGAAATTAATAACTAGGCCATATGGGTTAGAGTTTACAATTTGCCTCAAATACGTTTTTCCTGTTTTTTGGTTATTGACACAAGATCCAGGCTGCAGGGGGCCCAAGAGGACAGGAAATTGAGTGCAGAGCAAAGAAAGGTCTGAAACAGATTTTGAATCTGTTCCAATGCATGCAGAGACTGTATTTTCGCCCAAGTGTGTTGGGCTCATTTAAAGAGCCTCAAATAGGATAATACCTGAGTTTATCATCACTCTTTCTACATGTTTCAAAGACAACTGTAAGAGCAAGTCATTAAGCCAAGTTGTAAGCTATGGATTATAGTGAGGCTAAAGTCGCAAATCTAGTTCAGATAACCCAGAAACCAAGATCCTAGAGCTCACTGTCTTTTGAAGTTAAACTTCTTAGGACTGCTTCTCTGGAAAGGGTCCAACACAGGATTAACAGTAAATTGCCTGCAAAAGCTTAGGAGAAATGTGTATGTGCCTGAGAAGTAATGAGATTTTGGTCTACTTTGAGACTGGTTAATCTACTTTAAGAACAAACCAAAAAAACAAAAACAAAACCAAAACCAAAACCAAAAAAAAAAAAAAACATTGATCAGAACATTCTTAAGTAAGATTTTGAGGTGAGGCCAGAGATAGTCAAAGGGCTAGCGCATATGTCTGGCATGCACCACAGCCCTGGGGTCAGTCCCCAGTATTGCATGACCTCCCTCCTCAAAACAAAACAAAACAAAAAAAAAACCGTGTTGATGTTGGTCTTTGGACTTACTATGTCCTTATTCCAGTCCTTACTGAACAGATACTTAGTACCTATTTGTATAATGATTATCTGAATTATATAGAAAAACAGTTCTCAAACTTTTTAAACCTTCTTTGCACTTATAAGAATTGTTGATATTTCAAGAGTGCTTTCCTCATATGGGTTACATCTATTAATACTTATCTCATTAGAAATTGAAACCAAAATATTTAAAATAATAAAATAAAATAATAAATTTTTTCACCACTCTCAACAAGAAAATGTCCTTTTCCCCTGTTTCTGGGGCCACACCTGCGATGCTCAGGGCTTACCCCTGGCTCTGTACTCAGCTCCTTGCAGAGCTCAGGAGACCATTTGGTGTGCCGGGGATCAAACCCAGAAAAGCTGCATGGCTCTCTAATACCACTGTTTTATCTCTCCAGTCCAATATCAAGCTTATAGCAGTGGTAAAGATTTTCTAAAAATCTATTTTTTCCTTAAATTTTACAAGTGGCAATAAATACTCTTGGTTGTCCTTAAAGCAACAAGTTTACTACAATAACTTTTAATGTAATGTCTGTCAAATATTTAAGGCTAAATAACTGAAATTTGTAAGTTGTTTGTTTTTATATTTATTCTTTTTTTTTAGTGAAGCAAAATAATTTTAGTAAAAGAAGTTTAGAGATATGAGGCAGAGAAGGAGAGAGAGATGTGTTCAAGAAAGAATACAGGCTTCTCCAGAGGGGGAAAAAAAGCAGAAAATCTCAATTGCTTGTTTTTTTATAAAGAAGTTCTGTTAAAGTAGCAGAAAATTGGTTGAAATTCTATAATTCTCACTGAAGGAATTAAAATTTTTTTTATTGACAAGAAATTTCAAGGAACAAGGTGACATAATTAAATACATATATTAAATCAATTAATGTGATAATAGCAAATAGTGAATTTCAATGAGAAGATTTAGGTTTTGGAATAGAGATGCAAACTAATAAATATGTTAAGCCAAAAATCATACTGTTAATAATCTTGTTCTTAAATTTTATGGGCATCCAGGGTTGTTTCATTAGTCTCTAAGTCACATAAACAGATATATGTATATATTTTGTTAAATTGCTAAGCATTCACTTAATCACTTAACTTCCTGTTAGTCGTCGATTTGCTCGAGCGGGTGCCAGTAACGTCTCCATTTGTCCCTGTGGCGTGCTAGTGTTGCCCAATGGCATCTGTTCGCTCCAGGAACATGAAGGGCTTCAAACCAATCGTTCATGATCTTGACGAAGAAGTCTGACCATCTGGAAGGTGGGCGGCCACGCGGTCTTTTGACATCCCGTGGAATCCAGTCGGTAACAGCTCTAGTCCAGCAGTCGTCTTTAAATCTCATTACGTGACCAGCCCATCTGATTTTTGACACCTTGGCAAACGAGACAGCGTCCCTGATTCTTGATCGGCGACGGATATCGGAACTCCGGAACTCCGGATTCTTTCTCTCATTTGAGTGAAACACGATATTCCAAGCATAGCTCTTTCAATTACAGTGAAATCAAAGAGATGTGCCCGGAGCCGGAGGTTCTTTGTCCTCTTAGTTATTTCTTCAACGTTCTTGAAGGCGTTCCAAGCCGCTCTCTTCCTCCTACACATCTCGTAGAATGCGAGTGGAATTTAATAAAATGAATACATATTTAACTCCTACATATTTACTATTTTTAAATGAGTTCTCTTTCTCAAAATTATTATTGAGGTAATAGAGGTTTATTAGAGTGTACTTTTTGTTATATTTTTAGAATACAATGTTGCCACATTTCATCAATCACTAGAACTGCCAATATCCAACCTCCATAGTCCACTGAAGCCTGTGAAGCCACATCCTCTCTCCCAAAGCAATTTCAATTTTGTCATCAGAATCTATAGGTTAATTTTCATTGGGCACTTTCTGTTCCTTGGCTTTGTTTCTTTATACTCCAGATATGAGCAAGATCATCTAATGTTTGTCTTTCTCCTTCTGATTGATTTCACTTCACATGACCTCCTCAAGTTCCATAGATGTTGTACAAAAGTGCAAGATTTCATAGTATTCCACCGCATATATTTACCACATCTTCATATACTCAACTTTTATTGCACTTAGGCTTTTTTCCAGATCTTGGTTATTGTTGTGTTGCAATGAACATAGTGTATATCTCTTTTTAAATTAGTATTTCTGTGTTCTTTGGGTAGCTACCTAGGAGTGAAATTGCTGGATCAGAGAGTAGTCCTAATTTAGATTTTTAAAAAGTTCTCCTTTATAAACTTTCTTTTTAACTTGGGTCCTGATGATAGCAATGCTGATTGCTCCCAGAAGTGCTGGGCTCATCAGGACTCTACCTGGTGGTGCTCAGGAAATGAAAGTTATGCATTGCCAGGGACTGAGCCCTGGATGCTTGCAGGCCAGGCATGCACTCCAGCTCCCTGAGCAAGCTACCCAGATGAGCTTTCTTAACAATTACTATCATAAATTTTCTTCAGAAAAAAAGTATTATTTATAGTTACATTTAATATGACAATAACTTAACTATTAAAATTTTTTGACTTGATTGTAATCCCTGCATTAATATTCATCAATAATTAGATTTTTTATAAAGTAATAATGAAGCCATGCTCTCATATTCGAAAAACTTGTATTTTACACTACAGGTTATATTATTACTGAAATACCGTCACTTTCAGAAGATACCTTGACTATTCGACAGCAGATTGACTTCATTAAAAATTTAAATTTGAAACCTGATATCATAATTAATATTAAGGTAAGATTATTAGTTTCCTTTCTAGTATAGTTACTTTTTTTTGGTAGCATTGCAATCCGAGGAACATTTTAAAAATATTTACATTGTTAGAAAAATAATAATTTATGCGTCAGCCATAGGGATTGAGTTATCCTTTTCTAGGCCTTTGTGCTTTTAAAATAGTCCCAGGTATACCTTCTCGCCTCTTCCCCAGGCTTATCACGATCACCCTTCAAAAGTCAGGTGCTGGGGAATTAGCCCAAAAGGCAGGAGGCTTGGGTCTGAGTCCCAGTACTGTATTCTCTTCTCTCCTCCCCCCTCTTCCCTATTCCTGCCCTTCTGACCACCCTGCTCCTCCTCCTGTTTTTTATTCTTGATCCTCTCTTCTACCCTACCCCCCTTGCCTACCCCTCTCCTCTGCTCTCTATTCTTTTCTATCATATCTTACTATATTGTCATTATTCATTTCTTTCTAGACCCTGCCTTATTTGAAAACATGAATTAAGTCTTACTCATATAAGCCTCAACTAAAACAATATACGGTACCTTGTAGCTATACAATGGAATACTATGCAGCTGTTAGAAAAGATGAAGTCATGAAATTTGCATACAAGTGGTTCTACATGGAAAGTATCATGCTAAGTGAAATGAGTCAGAAAGAGAGGGACAGACGTAAAGTCTGCACTCATCTGGGGAATATAAAGTAACAGAATGGGAGACAAACACCCAAGAATAGTTGAGATAAGTAATAGGAGGTCTGCTCCACGGTTTGGAAGCTGGCAGCAGATGCTGGGGGGGGGGGGGGGGGAGGTAGCTCAGATAGAGAAGGGAACACCAAGTAAAGGGTGTTTGGAGGACTCGCTCGAGATGCAAGACGCATGCTGAAAATAGACTATAGACTGAACACGCTGGCCACTCAGTACCTCTGTTGCAAACCACAACACTCTAAAGAAAAGAGAGAGCAAAAGGGAACACCCTGCCACAGAGGTGGGGTGGGATAGGGAGGATGGGGTGAGGAAATGGAAGGGCTACGGGGTTCATTGGTGGTGGAGAATGGGCACTGGTGGAGGGATGGGTACTCGATCATTGTATAACTGAAACCCAAGCACGAAAGTTTGTAAGTCTACCTCATGGTGTTTCACTAATACAAGAATTTTTTTTTAATTTGCCTTAGTAAAAATGAATGAGCAAAGGAACATAGGAATTCTAACAAACACTAATAGATTAAGGCTCAAAGTCAGTCATTTCTACTTCACTTTTTTGACAAGCTAGATTTGGTAAAACACCTCCTAGAGTTTCAATTTCCACTTTACAAAGAGGATAATAGCTGCCTCATGGGGTTGTGGTAAGAACTCAGTAAGATAACGACTACCTATTTAGATGAAAGTGAACAATAAGTTCCCCAAGCAGAGCCTTAATGCCCTCTCAGAGGGCTTTTTTTTTTAATTAGTGAAACACCATGAAGTACAGTTGTAGACTTACAGATTTTTGTGCTTGGGTTTCAGTTATACAATGATTGAGTACCCATCCCTCCACCAGTGCCCATTTTCCACCACCACTAATCCCAGTATCCCTCCCACCCCCACCCCCCGTTCCCCCCATCCCACCCTGCCTCTGTGGCAGGGCATTCCCTTCTGTTATCTCTCCTTTTGGGTGCTGTGGTTTGCAAAAGAGGCATTGAGTGGCTATCATGTTCGGTCTATAGTTTACTTTCAGCATGCATCTCCCATCCTGGGAGGATCCTACCAACACTCTTTATTTGGTGCTCCCTTCTCTATCTGAACTGCCCTTTCCCCCTAGCATGGAAGGAAGAAAGGAAGGAAGGAAAGAAGGAAGGAAGGAAGGAAGGAAGGAAGGAAGGAAGGAAGGAAGGAGAGAAAGAGAGAAGGAAAGAGAAAGAAAAAATAGAAGTTTCTGAAAAAGTCTCTTGCTTTATTTCTCTTATGTGTGGTGCAGTAACTGTCAGCATCAGAATCTCTGAGAATGCAAGTGAAAATGTCTGTCTCAGTCTTAATAAATCACAAGGACAAGCAAAGACCTCTGTCCGGTTTACTACATATATTACATCCTAATGTTGATGAGCCAGTACCATAGAATACCAGCCACAGATTGATTTCCATACCCTGAAATGTATTCAGAGCATGAGTCACAATCCTGAATCTTAGTCGTCATTAATACTGTGCCCCAAACATGGGCTGTATATCCACAGGCAGGTTTCAACTCAGTATGCTCACTCACGACAGGTGAGCTGAGATCACAATATCATATTGGCTTTCTTTCATCATCACTGTCAGCTTATTTCTCTCCAGAATTAGTTTGAGATTTGAAAGAAAGATGGCACATGTAAACGCACTGTAGCACTGTCCTCCCATTGTTCATCAATTTGCTTAAGTGGGCACCAGTAACATCTTCATTGTGAGACTTGTTATGTTTTTGGCATATCAAGTACGTTACGGGTAGCTTGCCAGGCTTTGCCGTGAGGGCGGGATACTCTTGGTAGCTAGCCGTGCTCTCCGAGAAGGGCAGAGGAATTGAACCCGGGTCGGCTGTGTGCAAGGCAAACGCCCTACCCACTGTGCTCTGGCTCCAGCCCATGTAAAAGCACTATGAAACAAAATTATAGATTTGAATTTGGTTTTTTAAAAATTGTTATTATTAAGTTTCCATTCTCAGTGTTCTCATTTACAACATAAAAACTTTAGGTTGTTGTTTTGTGATACTGTGTGTTCCCCACCCCACCCCAACTTCCCTGATGGTGATACTATATGTGTTTGATTTGCCTGTGTTGGAAATAGGTGTCTGTCCTTTCATTTCCCTCTATGTATAGTCTTTCTAAACTACCTTTCAGAATTCTTTGTGTATCTTTTGAGACTAAAGTGATTTGCTGTTGTATTTCTCTAACTCTTCCCATGTTCTTTTATCCCTCTGTCCTCATCACCAGAGTTCCGAGACGTTCTCACCTATATTCAAAGTGAGTTAGGAAAAGCTTTGGTCTAGATGGAAACCATGCCTCGAGCTTGTGCAGACATGTGAGGAAAGCTCACGAAATATGTTGCTTTTAATATTTCATTTGCTCAGAGTTTGGGGGCTGTTGTGTTCGTATACAGCACAATGTATTAATAAAGAAAAGCACAAGTTAAAACATCTGGAATATTTTAATATGATAATTAATCCTGTCCCTTAGTGTCCGGACCATGATTTATGTAATAGAACTTCTGGACAGCGGCAGCACAGTATGACAGGGCACCTCTACATAAGGGACCAGTGGGATCTTGATGCCATTGGGAAGCGTAGGAAGAAGAGGAAAGGAACCCTGAAAGAAACAAAAGCGGAAGAGGAAGGGGAAGAGGAAGAAGAGCAAGAAGAAGAGGAGGTAATATCCCAATACTATATAATATGTTTTAATTAATTTAATTAAAGAAAAAAAGTTTAGTATATCAAAATAGTGGATTTTTAGGGGACTAGAGACTGAAACAGAAACAGTAGCAGTTCCTGGGGTGTTGGTGATATCTTACCTCTGGCTCTGGATGTTGGTTTTAAAATTGAGCAAATATATATATTTGCTCAATTTTAGAAATCTAATCATAGTTACACAAATTTTTGGCTTTCTATAGACTCTTTTGTATACATTTTATAAGAAAACTCCAAAATGTTTACTTATACATTTTATAAGTAAACAGGGTTCTGAGCTGGGCTCCCTACTTTGGAGATGTAAGTAAAGTAAAGTAAAGGCCCTCCCGTTGATCATCGATTTGCTCGAGCGGGCCCAGTAACGTCTCCATTGGAGACTTTGTTGTTACTGTATTTGGCATATCGAATACGTCACAGGGAGCTTGCTAGGCTCTGCCGTGTAGCCGAGATACTCTCGGTAGCTTGCCAGGCTCTCCGAGAGGGGCGAAGGAATCGAACTCGGGTCGGCCATGTTGGCTGCATGCAGGGCAAACGCCCTACCGCTGTGCTATAAGTAAGTAGTCACAAAGATAGGTGTCAGTGGAATACTATGCAGCTGTCAGGAAAGATGAAGTCATGAAATTTGCTTATAAAAGGATGGACATGGAGAGTATCATGCTAAGTGAAATGAGTCAGAAAGGGATGAACAGACATAGAATGACTGCATTCATTTGTGGAATATAAAATAACATAATATGAGGCTAACACCTAAGGACAGTAGAGACAAGGGCCAGAAAGATTGCTTCATGGTTGGTAGACTACTTCATGAGCTGGGGAAGAAGACAGCTGGGATGGAGAAGGGATCACCAAGTCAATGATGGTCAGAGAAATAGCTCTGATGGGAGATGTGTGCTGAAAGTAGACAAAGGACCAAACATGATGGCCTCTCAGTATCTGTATTGCAAACCATAATGCTCAAAAGAAGAGAGAGAAAAAGAAGAAAATTGTCTGCCACAGAGGCAGGGGGTGGGGTCGAGTGGGGGTTTTGGGGGACAGGAGGGATTTGGCGGACATTAGTGGTGGAAAATGTACACTGGTGGAGGAATGGGTGTTTGATCATTTTATAACTGAAACTCAATCATGAAAGCTTAGTTAACTGTATCTCACGGTGATTCAATAAAAAAAAAAGTGGAACTGGAGGGATAGCACAGTGGGTAGGGTGTTTGTCTTGCATGCGGCTGACCCAGGTTCAATTCCCAGTATCCCATATGGTCACCCAAGCACTGCCGGGAGTAATTCCTGAGTGCATGAGCCAGGAGTAACCCCTGTGCATCGCCAAGTGTGACCCAAAAATCCAAAAAGAAAAAGTCAGGTGTCCCCAAACTCCCCTACTACAGGGGAAGGGGGGGGAGGACCAGTAGTCACTCTAGGTAAATGAAAAGGTGGACAAGTTGCTGTTTGTCCACTCAAAGCCAGTTTGTGCTGGGGCCTTGAGAAAGATATTGGGGTGCACAACGAAGAGGGAGGTTTCTACTCCCTGTCAATGGCTTCCACTCTTGGCCACCTCAGTGCTGGGAGCCGCTCAACCAGGCAACTTGCCCAGGGCTTGGGACCCCACCTCAGCTCCTCACCACATGTGAGTGTTGAACATTTGACCTGTGGCCAGGTAAGCACTTGCTTTGCATTCAGCTGCAAACCACAAGCAAATGTGGTCCCTGATTACACTTGGGTCACTCCTCACACAGAGTTATTATATCCCTCTCCCAATTTTCTTGTTTTAAAATAAGTTTATGATTAAAATTAAAAGTTCATTGGCATGAGAGAGAAAGAGAGAGCACAGGGACAAAGCACTTGCCTCGCATGTAGTTCATCCTACTTCACTCCCTGACACCACTTAGGGTCTCCTAAGCATCACCAGAAGATCCCTGAGCACAGAATTAGGAGGAAGTCTTGAGCACCACTGGATATGCCCCCAAACCAAATAATTCATTATATTTCATCACAAGAAAAAGTTAATGCAATTTTGTTTGATAATTGAGGTTTTAGACTTTTCTGGGCTGATCACTGTACAGAATAAAAATATAAATACAGAATACAAGTATAGAATACAAATGTCAAATCATTATGCCATACCCCTGGACCTAATACAATGTTTATATTAATTTCATTAAAAAAAACTTACACAAGAACACCCATTTAGAAATATAAAATAATCTTCCCTTTATCAGTATTATCTTTCCATGGCCAGTTTCTATTGCAGTTATATTTCAAAGGAAAACCACATCGCAAATACGAATTTTTATAGTCATTGTAGTCATTAAATCAAGCAGAGATGGAGCGGTTACAACTCATCTGGTTGCAGGACCATATATGCTAATTTATGGTGTCATGAATATATTTGGACAGAGTATGGGCTAAGGTAGACTTGGAATAGCACCATCCAATATGGTAGCCACTAGTCCCATGGGCTACTTAAATTTAAATTAATTGAAATTAATAAAATTTAAAATTTAATCCTTCAGTGGTACTAGTCAAGCATCAAGTGTTCATCAACCAACTACAGTTGTGTCTTTCCAAACTGGACAGCAAAAAGAAGTTTTGGAGGACAACTGCCTCTAAGTTCCACTACGACTGCCCTGTGCAAACACTTTCTTATTTTCCCCAGGCACTGCATTTTTGCCACAATAAGCTTTTTTAAATAAATAGAAGTGGTTGGTCCCTAATTTCCAACATTTTAAAGCACAAAGTGGAAGCTGTGGGAAAATAATCAAATGAAGTCTTAGGGGGCCATGTTTACTATACTTTTGCAAAGGGGCACAGCACATTCAGACAAGCAAACCCTCCACCTGTGGATAATCAAAGGGGAGTGCTCACCTTGGACGGCCACAAACACTTTGTAAGGGTCCTCTTGACTCCACTTTCTTCTACCCTCCCATTCCATTCATCATAAAAGCCTGAGCCATTTTAAATTGGAGGTAAGGGGCCGGAGTGATAGTGTAGTGGGTAGTGCCTTTGCCTTGCTCACTGCTGGCTGGAATTCGATCCCACACACCCCATATAGTGTGATCCCCAAGCACAGAGCCAAGAGTAAGCCCTGAGCATGGCTGGATGTGGCCAAAGGAGATTGGGGGTGAGGGGGATCAGCAGCAACTTTCTCATAGCTGATATGGTCATAGATCCAGACTCATCCCAAGTCTGGCTCATCCCATCTCTCCTTCCTGTTCTCAGTACTCAGGCACATTGACTTTGCTGCTAGTGCCTCAGCTGTGTTGCATTCAAAAATACCTTTGTCCCCAGCCTACCACCCCCCCCCCCCCACACACACACACCCCTGAGCTCTGTCCTGCAAGACTTTGCACTTCTGATTCTCTTCCCCTCCACCTATAGCACTGCTTTTATGCACCCAGTTCTCTCCGCAGGGGCCATACTGCAAGGCTCTCTATCTCAGCACTGACTAAGAGAAATAGATTCAGCCACATATGACATAAATGTGGTGGTTCCCACATTGGTCCACAAGTAAATGCTGGTGGAAATCATTTCACAATAAAGTCTATTTAATCCAACACATGCAAAGTACCACCTCGACAGGTAATCAACATAAAATTTCAATGATTTTTTTTAAGAGTAAGTTTTTGAAACCTGTATGTATATTGCGCTTGCAATGGTTTCCATTTTGTGCTGCAGGATGGCAGAAAGCTAGCCTTTGGTTCATCTTCCTCTTAGCGCATGCCACTTTTGGTCTACTTGCTTATTATGGTTGCTCACGGAATGTGAGCTCTCTGCAGCAGACACTGTATCCCCAATGCCTACATCCCCAATGCCTCCACATGCTCTAGGTGCTTCAAAAGGGTGTGTGTGGTGAGAGAACAAGTAGACTAGCAAAGCCCTTGGCTAGCACAAAAAGAGCCACCAACCTCCACCACCAAAAAAAAAAGAAATAGAATATAACTATATAACTTAAGATGGAGTGGTGAAACATCTAGTAAGGAGGCAGAGACATAGCCATTCAATTAATTATCATTATATTAAACCTCTTTCAAAAACTCTCCCCCTAACCCACTGCTCCCCTTTAGGCACTTCTTGCTGGAATTCAGTTGGTGGCTGGAATTATTCAACATCTAGTTCAGAGACCTGAGGATTATATGGAAAATATTGAGCAAGCTGTTAAGCTTTATAAGGATACAATTCTTCCTTCTTTAGAGGTAAGAGCAAGATGCAGTGATGAAAGTAGGAGTATTGATTGATAGTTGTGTGCATAACTGATTAAACAGTATTCACATTTCTTTATCCCCACGCATTATAGACCTGGTTTTCCTCCTCTTGAGCTTCTAGTATGCTGTTAGAATAAGGCTTCCATCTCATAGGATGTTACACAGAACTTTATTTTACAAAGCAGCAGTGTTGCTACAAATAAATTTTCAAATAACCCTAGGGAAATTTATTCATGGTTGGAAGTTGAAAACTCATTTTAAGAGACTATTTTATAATTACCATTTTTAATCTGTAATTTATATACTTATCAAAGCAACTTATACTTGATGTTATTCAAAAAAGGAGTTGCTAATTTACTTATAGTGCAATCTAAATAAGAGTTAATAATCTACATGGGTTTCTATGGTAGCCCATTCAAAGTTGAGATATGTAAGTATGTCTGATATGACTAAGATGTCACTTCACTTGTGAGACCAGGGTCACCAAAATTCAATATACCTATGAAAGACTTTGGAAAACAAATAAGAACAAACCAATCTCTCTTATTTTCTGATTTATAACCTGCTTCAAAAATAATCCAAGGCCAACTTGAAGTCAGTGGACCCCCATGGGTGTCTTAGTGAGGCAGAGAGGAGAGAGAGATGGTCACTTTCTCCCAATCTGCCTCTGCCACCCAGGGACCAGCTGGAAAGACGAGGACTGACAAAGTCTGGAAAGTCAGTCGTAGGTCTTACCCAACATTTCCAGACACTTTGTCCTGTCTCAACGAAAAGAATTTCAGGAGTAGACAAGCAGTGAAGTAAAACATTTTATTTAAGGGTTTTAGGAAGAATTTTAGGAAGGGGAAGGAGGGAGAGAGAGAGAGAGAAGAGAGAGAGAGAAAGAGAGAGAGAGAGAGAGAGAGAGAGAGAGAGAGAGAGAGAGAGAGAGAGAGAGAGAGAGAGAGAAATGTGCTGAAGAGAAAACTCAGGCTTCTCCAAAAGCAAAGAGAGCCCCTACACATATCCCAGCATTAGATATGAAAAGATAAAGGTACACATCTCAAGCAAGGAGGTGTGGGCACCACATGTGCTCAGGTGCCACGTGTGTTCAGTCACATGGGCACAAACAGCACATGGACTCAGGTAGCATATGCACTCCCTTCCTTTATTCAAGGTGACTTTTATAGGGTTTTTTTCCCCAAGGCGCCCCACATGGGGCTTCATAAGAGGTAAGAGTCCGTTGCTAGGGTGGTTGCCAAGGGGATTAAGTTGGGAGTGGTTGATAGCCTTCTTTGAAATTCCTTTCTTGGTCCTATGTTTCTGCTGAAGCTTCTAGGTGTGTGTGTGTGGGGGGGGGGGGGGGGGGGGGGAAGCTAGTTTCCAATCTTCTCTGGGTCTGTTACTGGCACGAGGTAAGGGTCCTATTAGGCATTAATTCCTGAGTTTGCAGTCTTGGTACTATGGGTTTTATTACTTCCTAGAAATTCCATTGTCATGGAGGTCCTTCCCTGTCCATTTGCCTACATCAAAATCATCTTTCTTGCCAATTTTCAGGTACTCCTCATTCTTGCTAGTCTTGACTCCTGGTCTGACCTGGTGCATGTATCTTTAATCTTAGAAGAATTACCCTTTGACTTAGTTTAATTTCACTCCTAAAAATCTAGTTGAAAGTGGGACTGGAGAGAGAACACCAAAGTTAAGGCACTTGTCTTTCATGGGGCCAATCCCCACCCTCACTCCCGCCTGCCCAGCACCACATAATTAATAAGTTCCCCTGAGCACACCAAAATGATCCCTGAGGACAGAACTAGGGTAATCCCTGAGCACAAACAGGTATTATAAAAAAAAGACACTATCACCACCACCAGCACCAAAAATAAGGAGCAGAGAGCTAGTATACGTATAAGGAGATCTTCTTGTTTACAGTTACCCATGGTTCAATCTTCAGCAACACCTGGTCCCCCAAGCACCTTTCGGGTGTAGACTTGGAGGACTATAAGCAATGCTGATTGCCAATAATCACTGGGAGAACCCCCAGGCCCCCTGAGTATCACTTAGGGACAATGCCCCATGGAACAAATCTAGTTTAAGAATAAAAATCTGTAACATAGAAAAACATTATTTCCTTTCTCAGCATATGATAATTGATGGTTAAATTAATTGTGCTGGCTTAATATGCTATCTGCTAGAAAGAAAAGAAACACTTACCAGCACCCAGCCTTACATAATATCATGAAAGACACAATGTTTAATTAATGAGCGGCTTTGTTTAGTCAGCTTCAGTTAGGAAAATGTCCATTAATGAGGATCTTCTCAAAGAAAAGCAGGTAAGACAAACCATTTCCAAGTCCTATAAGAACTGTGTGTAGAAAGGCAGCAATAAGTTTAATGTGAATCCTTGAGGAAGGGTGTAGAGGTCTTGTCACTAGATTATCACTTCACTTGATCACTTGACTTCCCGTTAATTGTCAAGTTGCTCGAGCGGGCGCCAGTAATATCTCCATTTGTCCCTGTCGCGTGCTAGTGTAGCCCAATGGCATCTGTTCATTCTAGGAACACGAAGAGCCTCAAACCGATCATTCATGATCTTGATGAAGAAGTCTGACCATCTGGTAGGTGGGCGGCCGCGCGGTCTTTTGACATCCCGTGGAATCCAGTCAGTAATGGCTCTAGTTCAGCGGTAGTCTCTAAATCTCATTATGTGAGCAACCTATCTAATTTTTGATGCCTTGGCAAACGAGACAGCGTCCCTGATTCTTGATCGTCGATGGAGGTTGAAACTCTGGATTCTTTCTCTCATTTGAGTGAAACGTGATATTCCAAGCATAGCTCTTTCAATTCCTCTTTGGGAGACCCGAATACCGTTCTCATCCTGTTTGCGTAGGGCCCAGGTCTCTGAGGTGTATGTTAATGCAGGAAGAACAGTGGAATCAAAGAGATGTGCCCGGAGCCGGGGGTTCTTCGTCCCCTTAGCTATTTCTTCCAAGCTCTTGAAGGCGTTCCAAGCCGCTCTCTTCCTCCTGCGCAGCTTGGGTGCCAGGTCATTTGTCATGTTGACTTCTCGACCTAGGTACACATAACTGTTGCATTCGGAGATGGTCGTTCCATTGAGAGCGAATGGGGCATCAGGAACGAGGCTGTTTCTCATAAACATTGTCTTCGTAAGATTCAGCTTTAGTCCTACCTTTCCACACTCACGGTCGAAGTCGGCCAGCATTTGTGCCACTTGGCTAATGTTTGGTGTTATTAAAACAATGTCATCAGCAAAGCAAAGGTGGTGTAGTTGCCGATCATCTATCTTCACTCCCATTCCTTCCCATTCCAGTCGTCGCATGATGTTCTCGAGGGTGGCACTGAAGAGTTTCGGTGAAATGGTATCACTTGTGATGAAACACTTTTAGAAAATTGATGTAGGAGAGGGCACAGGAAACTTGGGGAGAAGGTTCCTGGACACTGCGCTCCAAAGTAGGAACCCACCCTCTTCAGCCAGATTTATTTTCATTTTTATTTTCTATTGTGATGCTGTGTGTAAAGTCAAAAAAAACTGCAGCGGCTCTATCTCTCCCGCTGCCCGCATTCGGTAGTCACATGCTGCTTCCCCACCCTGGGGAGGTTGATGGAAATGAGTAGGCGAAGAAGGAAATGAGGGCCAGACTGGTTGGTCTTAGTTGCATTTATTCCATTCCTCTCTCCATCCATTCCTGTCTCTTCTCTGCCTCCCCTCCACTCTTCTTCCTTCCCCATGTTACTTCATTCTCCTTCTTGATCCCCCTTCATCCTCCTTCTGGCTCTGGAATCTGGATCCCTTTCTCCTCCTCCTTCTAGAGTCTGGATCTGATCCCGATCCCCCAGCCCACTCTTCTAGTCTGGTTAAATCCCAAAAACATGAGGGTTTGGGGGTAACAATTACATATGGGTGTGGTCACAATCAATAGGGGTAAAGTTCTTTCCCTCAGGGAAAGCTGCTTCTAGGACAGATACTCTCTCAATAGGACAACTCACCCTAGAAAGGAATACCCTGGGTGTGTTTCTCCTCTCCTTGTCCAACAAACATATAAGCATACATAATATAAATAATTTTGTATGGTTACAGTAAGAAATACCTTAAACTTATAGAATTGATCTCCTAGGGCCATCTCGATCTCAGACTACAGTGCTCAGATCAGATAGTCTTTCCTCTCCCTAGCAGGGTCCTAGTCTCGTCGTTACTTTTGGATCATGAAAACATTTGTCTGAGATCAAGCTCTTAAGTTATAGTTAAGAATCATGGCACTTTAGCCTGGCCCATTTCGATGCCAGGGTAGTTCACAGCTTGCCTTGGGTCCACTCAGTCCCTCATCGGGACCCTGCTTTTGGGGTGCTAGGAACTAAGGGCAACTGAGGCTTAAGTCGAGAAAGCAGATACCCAGGAGTGAATAATATTCAAAGCCAATTAAATCCTAAGTTACAAAGCATAATATTAACTCTCTTCCTGTATCTATACAAAAAGGACATTGCTTTAAAATAAACTATTCATAATACATTAGGAGAGGAGAAAGGCAATAGTAACTTACAATACAAGTTCAGTGTCCTAGAAGGAACTGACCTTACAAATTAACAGATTCTGATTACGGGGGCGGGGGGAAGCTGATTAACTGGTTGGGGAAGAGAGCAGAGAGAAATGGTTACAGATACACAAAGGAATGGGAGTGACTCGGGAGCACTGTGATGGGTGTAACCTGATAAATCTAAGTTCCTTGTGGGCAAGGGAGAAAGGACAAATCAATTGTCCTACACCTTCTACTTTAAACCCCATCAAATGTGAACTGCTACTCTTGGAATATGAGTGAAATGACATATAAGCTGTCCAGTGATAGATTTACTCATGAGTGAGGCTCAGCCTGAGCAGGTCAGAGCCCATCTCACTGCATAGGGGGAGGGAAGAACACCACCCTCATTCACGGTCTACAAACAGGGCCTTTCTGGTTGAAGAGATGGGGTGTGTGTGTGTGGAGGGGGGGAGGTTGCCGCAACTTTGACCAGAGAAGGATCCCCACACCCTTCTTACTCTCTGAGGCAAGGAAACAGCTCAAGCCTCACCACACTCAGGAGATGCTCAGGTCACCACCAGTTTCCGCCCGTGACCTGGGCCCCTCTCCAATCATGCTCTGTGTGTATTCAAAAAATAAATTACGAAGGGCCACAGTGGCTCTCTCTCTTGCCCGCCTGCGTTTGGTGGTCTCTGCCGCTTCCCCCACTCTGGGGTAGCCGATGGCAATGGGCAGACGGAGGAGGGATCAAGGCCCAGGCTGGTTGGTGAAAAATGCAGTTTATTCCATTCCCATATCCATTCTCTTCCTCCCCAGATCCCCCTTCCCCGATCCCCCTCATCCTCCTCTTGGATCCTGCTCCTTCATACTTCTCCTTTCTGCTTCTGCCTGCCCCAGCCTACTCTTACAGCTTTAATTAAATCCCAAATTGTGAGGGGTTGGGGTAATAATTACACATCAGTGTGGTCATACAATCAGCAGAGTTAAAGCCCTTCCCTCAGGGGATGCTTCTTCTAGGACAAATTTTTCATTCAGTAGGACGACCCACCCAGAGTGAAATTCCATCTATGGTGTGTTTCTCCGTTCCTTAGTCCAACAAACAAATAAACATTCACAATATTAGTCATTTTGTATGGATACAGTAAGAGACACATTAAGCTTATAGGATGGCTCTCCTGAGGGCATCTCGCTATAGATCTCAGACTACAGTGCTCAGGCCAGATTAGTCTTTCCTAACCCTAGCAGGGTCCTAATCTCATCATTAATTTTTGTATGACGACAGAATTTGTCCATGACCATGCTCTTAACTTATAGATAAGTATTGTGGTGCTCTAGCCTGGCCCATTGTCAGGTTAGTTCACAGCTTGCCCTGGGTCCATCCAGTTCCTCGTCGGGACCCTCCTTATGGAGTGCTAGGAACTAAGGGTGACTGAGGCTTAAGCCGACAAAGCAGATGCCTAGGAGTGAATATTATTCGGAGTCAACTAACTCCCAAATTGCAAAAGCCTAATATTAACTGTCTTCCTGTGTCTATACAAAAAGGACATTGCTTTAAAGTAAACTATGCAGCGTTCAGAATAAGAGAAGGAACACATGGAGGGTGCGGGATCCCGGAGGAAAAGAAAAAAGAAAAAACAGGTTCCAAAAAGAGCCGAGAGCACCGGCAAGTTCCAGCTGGAGTAGGCGCCGCATCCCGCCTCCCCCAGATGGAACCCTGGTGACCAGAAGCCTCTACAAACACAGCTCGAGTATGCGGGAACGAGGACTTTTTCTCAAAACCGCGCGGCCGCGTAAGCCGCATCTCTCTATATACAAAGTGATCAATGAGAAGTAAACCACCCAATCTTTCTCCCTGAAAATCAGAGTTAAGTTTGGAGCATGGCCACAGCCCCAGAAACACAAGGACTTAATGCAGAAACCAGCAGCTTAGAGCAGAAAAGTGAACGGACGATGAGTTAACCCAGGCCATCATTTCTGCCCAGAGGGGAAAGGGTGTTGCCCCATTCGCCCTCTCTTCTCTGGAAAGAAGGATGGCGGCCGCATGGGAGCCTTGTGGACAGCAGGTATGAGCCGGGGGTGTGGGGGGCGACTAAAACTTCACGAGAAGGGGGGCATTCCGGTCCGTCCTTCACGCCCTACTGAGGTCACCAGTTGCCCCCCACGAGCGGCTCTCCAGCACGGCCACGGCCCCAGAAGCACAAGGACTTAATGCAGAACCCAGCAGCTTGGAGCAGAAAAGTGAACGGACTATGCGTTGATCCAGCCCATCAAGTCTGCCGGAGGGGAAAGAGTGTTGCCCCATTCGCCCTCTCCTCTCTGGAAAGAAAGATGGCGGCCACATGGGAGCCTTGTGGACAGCAGGTATGAGCCGGGAGTGTGGGGGCGACTAAAACCTCATGGGAAAGCGGGCGTTCCGGTCCGTCCTTCACGCCCTTCCGAGGTCACCAGTTGCCCCCCACGAGCGGCTCTCCAGCACGGCCACAGCCCCAGAAGCACAAGGGCTTAATGCAGAACCCAGCAGCTTGGAGCAGAAAAGTGAACGGACTATGCATTGATCCAGGCCATCAAGTCTGCCGGAGGGGAAAGGGTGTTGCCCCATTCGCCCTCTCCTCTCTGGAAAGAAAGATGGCGGCCACATGGGAGCCTTGTGGACAGCAGGTATGAGCCGGGAGTGTGGGGGCGACTAAAACCTCATGGGAAGGGGGGCGTTCTGGTCCGTCCTTCACGCCCTACCGAGGTCACCAGTTGCCCCCCACGAGCGGCTCTCCAGCACAGCCACGGCCCCAGAAGCACAAGGACTTAATGCAGAACCCAGCAGCTTGGAGCAGAAAAGTGAACGGACTATGCATTGATCCAGGCCATCAAGTCTGCCGGAGGGGAAAGGGTGTTGCCCCATTCGCCCTCTCCTCTCTGGAAAGAAAGATGGCGGCCACATGGGAGCCTTGTGGACAGCAGGTATGAGCCGCGAGTGTGGGGGCGACTAAACCTCATGGGAAGGGGGGCATTTCCGTCTGCCCTTCACGCCCTACCAAGGCCACCAGTTGCCCCCACGAGCGGCTCTCCAGCACGGCCACAGCCCCAGAAGCACAATGACCTAATGCAGAACCCAGCAGCTTGGAGCAGAAAAGTGAAAGGACTATGCGTTAATCCAGGCAATCATTTCTGCCCAGAGGGGAAAGGGTGTTGCTCCCTTCCGCCCTCCTCCCTCTGGAAAGAAAGATGGCGGCCACATGGGAGCCTTGTGGACAGCAGGTATGAGCCGCGAGTGTGGGGGCGACTAGAACCTCATGGGAAGGGGGGCGTTTCGCTCCGCCCTTCACGCCCTACCGAGGCCACCGGTTGCCCCCCGCGAGCGGCTCTCCAGCATGGCCACGACTCCAGAACACAGAAACCAATTTCTTAACTATCTGACTTTCAGTAGAAATACTTCCAGGGTCAATAGGTAAAAGAGCAGAAACCCAAAACCAACATTTAATTCTTGAACCCAGCCGTAGAAAGCAAATCACTTCACAATGCTTTTTCAGCATGCCTGATTTGGGGGGGGTAAACTCTAAATAATAGTGGTGAATCTTTTATTGAAACAATGAATCTAATCAAAGCAGATAGAGTGTTAACTAGAATTCATCTGCCTCACAGGGACGGGGAGGGGTGGGGGGTGGGGTTTTATTGGGGTTCTTCTTGGTAAAAAATAAGTATTGGTAAAGGGAAATGTGTTTGATATTTGCATGACTGAGACATAAACCTGAAAGCTTTGTAACCTTTCCCACAGTGATTCAATAAATAAATAAAAAAAAATTTAAAAAAAAAATAAAGTAAACTATGCAAAAGACATAAGAAAAGGAGAAAGGCAATTTTTCACATGAATACAAGTCAAATGTCCTTAGAAGGATCTGATCTTACAAGTTAACATAGTCTGATTAGGGGAAAAATGTGTTAGACCAGTTAGGGAACAGAGCACAGCACAGAGAAGTTACAGATAAGCAAAGGAATAGGAGTGACTGGGGAGCACTGTGATGGTGCTCCGATAAACCTAAGCTCTCTATGGCAAGGGAGAAAGGACAAACCAATATTATCCTACACTCTGGAGACACAAACTCCAGAGAGTGACCCCATGGAACTGTCTGTCTCAGTGTCCGTCTCAGTAACAAGGTGGGGAGGGATCCCATTGGAATTGGTGCAGAGTGGGGCAGGGATGTGGGGTACCAGGCAATTGACTCTGACAAACAGGCTGCCCCACAAGGGCCAGAGCCCTGCCTCCCACAGGGGCCCCATGGCCTGAGCATCTTGGGCTGGTGAGGTGCACCCACCACTTATACCCCACAGGTGGTGCTTCGTCCAAGCGAATCCTGGAAATGCCTGACCCTCATCATGTGCTGGGCTGCTGCCCAGTCAGGCCCCTACCACACCGGCCCACACTCCTGTCACACTCTCCTACCTTCCCTGACGGCTGAATCAGTTTCTGGCTCTCAGCATCAGAGCACTCAGCACACATTGATCCGTGAACATGGCACCACAGGAGTGGGAGAGGCCCCATGGGCAGCAAGTGTGTGATGGATAGTGCAGATGGCAGAGACCCATCCACCCAGCTGCAACTGGCACTGCCTAGCTCCCAGGACCCCCAGTCCTGCACAAGCTCAAGAGGTCACCCCTAATTGGGGCGCACACCAACACACACTGCAGCCCCATATAAAGCAGAGCAGGTGCCCCCTGCAATGGCAAGTGCTCATGTGGGTTCCCACCTCAGCCTCATATTCCTGTCCACCTCCAGAACCAGCAGTCTGGCCAGCTGATAATAAGATTTGTTTGCCTTATTATCTGCAGGAGATGATGGCTGAGCATAATTCACAGTATCTCATAGAACTAGATGGAAATAGGACCCCAGAGGAGCTCTTCATGGTAAGTGCAATGTTCACTGAGAATTACAGTTTGGAAATTGAATAATTATTAACTGGATTTTACTTACATTAAAGACTTCAGCGAAGTGTGTGTGTGTGTGTGTATGTGTGTGTGTGTGTAATCATATATACCTATGTGTGTATTAGTCTGACACTGTTTGTTTGTTTGTTTGGGAGCCATACCCAGTGATGCTCAGGGGTTAGTCCTTGCTCTGCACTCAGTAATTACCCATGGCAGTGTTTGGGGGGACTCTATGGGATTCTGGGAATTGAATCCAGGTCGGCCAATGCAAGGCAAGAGGCTTACCCACTGTACTATCTCTCTAGCCCCCACTTAAAATTGTGATATTTTGTTTATTTGTCTCTACATATTTCGGGGAGGCAAACCTGAAGGTATTCAGAGCTTACTCCTGGATCTGTGCTCAGGTAGAGGGCAGAAGCTCTAGTGAGTTTTGTTGAAAATACGTGTTACCAGTGCATCAGTGTACCAGTTCTCAGCTGTCATTAGTATGCTGGTACTCCTGCCTAAACCCTTTGGCAAAACCAAATACATGAAGTGTGCTGCATCCAAAATGAAGTAATAAGGGGAGAGGGAAAGAATGAATAGTGAACAAATATCACAATCTATCCCAGATGTTCACCCATCATCAGGACGTTATCCATCTCTTATTTCAGATCCCATGTTTCAGATTCTTCAGTATCATATTTGTTCCTTAATGCTGCTGTTTGGGGCTGGAGCGATAGCACAGTGGGTAGGGCATTTGCCTTGCATGTGGCCTACTCAGCAGACCCAAGTTCGATTCTTCCGTCCCTCTCAGAGAGCCCGGCAAGCTACTGAGAGTATCTCTCCCACACAGCAAAGCCTAGCAAGCTACCTGTGACATACTCGATATGCCAAACACAGTAACAACAAAGTCTCACAATGGAGACGTTACTGGGCCTGCTCAAGCAAATCAATAAACAATGGGAGGACAGCGCTACCGTGCTACCATGCTGCTGTTTAAATACACAGTTCTATGTTGCTTCACAATGACAAGAACATGTTCTCAAAAAAGTGTCCTTGTGCAAATATTGTAGAGCATGCTTACCAAACCTATAAAGTACAGCCTACAACACGCTCACATGTGTAGTGTGTTACTGTTTGTAATGTCATTATGACACATAAGACCATGCCACAAGTCAATGGTTGAAAATGGATATTTTATTTCCTCATAGTTCCTAAGGTTCAGAGTTTAAATTCAAAGTATAGGTAGGGCAATGCTCCCTCCAAAATTTCTTGGGAGGACCTGATTTAGTGTCTTACAACTTCTGGTGGCCCCAGACACCACTTGGCTTTCAACAGCAGAATGTCAACCTTTGCCCATGACACTCTTCTTTCTTTCTTTTTAATTTTATTTTTATAAAGTTGTTCACAATAGATCATTACAGATAATATTCAAACACCAATCCCACTACCGAGCACTTTCCCACCACCATAAGAGGAAAGTGTGTGAAGATTGTTGTATTTCATCCTGGAACCGTTTAAGTCCTTATATAAGAAATTACAAGTGTGTATGTTAAAACCAAACAAATATGTGCTACTTTTGGTACATCAGTGGGCTAGTGTATAATAGGCCACGTGTCCATGAATGTGGCCCTGCTCTCCAGGACATTCTGTGTTGCTCTCTTCAGGGAAGTTTATTTCATAGTGTCTGGATCTTGGCAGTTGATGAGATTATATGGTGCCAGGATCAGTTTGTGGGTGTGACTGCCAAGCTACTGGAAAACTGGGGATCTAGAGGGAGGAGGCCCAGTCCCAATCCAAGTGAGCTTGGAGATCTCAGTCACAGGTCCCACATACCTGGGTTCCTCTGCAGATTCCTTCATAGTTGAGGCTTGTCTGATCTTGTAGAGAGTGGCATTGAACGTGGCTGTGGTTGGGTTCTGGAGTATTTTGGCTGCTGGGGTTCTGTTTGGGGCAGGGAGGGAAACTTAACCCCCCACCCCACCCCCGCTGAAGTGCCCTGGTGAAGATAGTCTGGCGATACGTTCTGTGTTCCTCTTCTTTCTGGCTAAGAGTAGTCCCCAAAGCCACTTCTCTAAGGATGAGAGTATCTGGTGACCAAAGGGCAACCTATTATAACTAAATTGTAACACCCAAAAATATGTATTGATGTCCTAACCTCCAAAAGCTCTATATGTGACCTTTTTGGAAATAGAACCTTTTCCAATGTAATCAGTTGATCTGATTACTGTGGTTGTCTGATCCAGTAAGGTTGGTGGCCTTCAAAAGGAAGAAACTGAGATACCCATGGTGAAGCTATATGGCAACAGAGAAAGATCTAGTGATGTGTATACATTAAAGAATGCCAAGCGTTGCCAACAAGCTGTAAGAAGCTAGGAAGAGACAGGAGCTCATGAACTCATGACAAAGTTTCTGAATATCTGAGCAATTGAAAGCCGTTAAATTGAAGTTATTGTTCTTTAACTTTAGACAGTTATGGATCGGCTTAAATATTTGAACCTAAGAAGAGCAGGTGTTCTAGCCAAACTTCAGAGTTCAGAGGAGGAAATGAATTACACATTGGAAACTGTAAGTTTATATTTATATATTTGGAAACCTATCTTTTCACTGTATGTTGTGACCTCACTTGGCTATTCTTACAAGGTTTAAAGGAAATTGGAGATATCTTTTAGAAAGTAGGACTTTACTTCTGGAAAGAAGTCATTGCACTATTAGCACAATATTCATGTAGACCCTGAACACAACAAAATAATATTTTTAGACAAGCACAACTAACCACAGGGATAACAAGAAAGAAAGAAACTCATTATCAGATAAAATATTTCATAACATCAAGGAAAATAAAGAGGTAGAAGTTCTCAAATCTATAAGTCTCCTTAATTCCTTCTATTGGTCAACAAACTTCAATAATTATTGTGTTGCCAGCAGTTATGTTCCATGGATGTGATGGTGAGCAAAACAGAACTGTTAAAAGTTAAAAATGCCATAAAGACTTTCATTTCATTTCACTTGTGGGCCTTCCAACAGTGTTCATGTGTCCATGAACTCTTCCTGGTGATGCTCAGCCAACAGGGACAGCAGTTCAGTGTGAGTACCTAAGGATGTGGTGCTGTTCAAGCCCTGTGGTGTTGGGGATAACCAAGGCCACCCTGTTCAGTATTCTTCAGGGTCATATTCGGTGATAACTTGGGGTGCTGAGGGTTGAATCTCAGGGTGCTGTGTGTGCACTCTACCTCCTGTACTATTTCCCCAACCCCATAAGAACTTCTAAATGGAGGGTCTGGCCCATTCTGGGAAGTTCCACATCACCTAGGTGAGAAGAAATTTAATCAAGTCCCAATTCGACAGATATAGAAAGATTGCATTCATCTGGGGAATATAAAGTAACAAAATAGGAGACTAACACCAAGAATAGCTGAGATAAGTACCAGGAGTTTCACTCCATGGCTTGGAGGCCAGCCATACATGCTAGGGGAAAAGGCAGCTCAGACAGAGAAGGGAGCACCAAATAAAGGATGTTGGGAGGATCCTCCCAGGATGGGAGATGCATGCTGAAAGTAGACTATAGACCGAACATGATTGCCACTCAGTGCCCCTTTTGCAAACCACAGAACCCTAGAGGAGAGAGAGAACAAAAGGGAATGCCCTGCCACAGAGGCAGGGTGGGATTGGGGGGTGGGGGTGTGGGAGGGATACTGGGATCAGTAGTGGTGGAAAATGGGCACTGGTGGAGGGATGGGTACTTGATCATTGTATAATTGAAACCCAAGCACAAAAATTTGTAAGTTTGCAACTGTACCTCATGGTGTTTCACTAATAAAAATTTAAAAGAAAAAAATCAAGTCCCAATTCAATGCCAAGATCATGCATAGATAGACTTCCAGTGAAATAACCTGTGAGCAAATAGATCACTTACAGTTCTGTGCTTTCTACAAGTGAGATTCGCTGAATTGGGGACTGGGACTGCAATAACATGGTCTGGTGCTGCAGGGGAAGGAAGGTAGCCTGATAAGCATAGAGGCCAAGCCCTTGAGGTCTGCAGTGAAGGGAACATTTAAAGAGTTCATGATCCCCGGGAGGATTTTCACAGAGAAAGGTTGTCCTTTGAAACTGCCACGTGCATAGGCATTAAGTATTGGGTTATAGTTCATAAAATGCGGTAGTTCCTCCTTATCCTTAATTGAATTTGGTACTGAACCCTTTATGTATGTACACACTTTCTCTTTCCCCTATCTCTCTCTTTCTCTAAAACCTATACATATATACGTGTAAAAGTTTAGTTCATGTATTGGACACACAGAGATTTAAGAGATTAATAACAAGTTGTAGAATTAGCAATTTATAGATTAATAACAATTAATAAAATTTACCTACCAGAAGCCCAGATTCAATCCCGGGCAACCACATAGTCCCCTGAGTGGTCCTGAGTTGACCCCTGCCAAGCACCAGTGGGTATGGGTTAAAAACCAAAATCAAAACCCAATCCCCCCAAATACAACTAATAAAAACTATCATAGCACATACTCTAGGAAAAGTCATGTGAATGTAATTTCTCTCCCTTTCAGTCTTTTAAACATATTTCAAGTCTCATACTTTAAAGGGGCCTCATAATTAGTTCAGTGCTCTGTATTACAGGCTAAAAACGCCAGAAGAATGAATAAGCTAATTAATGCAAAAAGCACCCCAAAATTTATGTAACAGATCAACAGATAATCATACTATTTTAAAACTTAGCTAAATTAAATCTAATACATTTTCAAATATTTTTAATAAGAATTTTCTTGGCTCCTTTTCTGAAACAAAATAGAAAACATACTATCTGCTTTACCCTTAGTTAACCTTAAAATAGAAAACACTGAGTAATGGTTAAACAAGATTTTATACTAGAAATAAAACTGTTAGTCTTAACTAAAATTTCAGACTAATGCAGAATGGTTGCAATTAGGAAAAGAAAGCCAAAATTTACTTTCTGATGTCTTAACTAATAAAGCAATCAAATAGTCAAAGAAATCCTTAATATTGTCAATTTCAGCAAAACATATACAGAGGTTCTTAATATTTGTTTGTATCAGGAAGAAATGCTTCGTTCTCTCGCGTCCTATAAGCTTATAGCACCAAGATATCGATGGCAGAGAAGCAAATGGGCACGTATGTGCCCCGTGTCTTTAAAAGAAGGCAACATTCAGGCCGGATTGCCAGACTATTCTGTGAGGTAAGAAAAGATGTTTGAAACTTAATTTTAAGGAATATATTCTTTCACTTGTCTTGATTTTAGTTGTTTCTTATTGTGGTCTATGTTAAGTTTCCTAGGTAAAATGTACTGTCTTTCATCAGAAGAAACACTAAAAACATTTTTGTTGAACCCACGTCCCTATCTTCTTCCACCAATGCCAAAACCACCAGTTAAACTTTTTCTATTTGGACCTCCATCTTCAGGGAAAACAACACTTAGCAATTTGCTGGCAGAACATTATAACCGACCGGTAAGTATCTTGCTACCTAGGCAGATTTTACCTACCCATACTTGATCAGAACTGGTAGAATTTGGGGATTTGTAGGTTTTGCCCTTGGCTTTCCTTATCTGACACTGTTGACTGGGTTATTATTCCACTGGGAATAGATTGGGAAAGCATGCTCTTCGCTGTTCATTGCAGTTTCTAGGAGTATCCCTATTCCTGCATCCCTAAGGCCCTTATACATAATGGTCAGATATACATGCTACCACCCCTAATCTTTCTTGGTTCCACTTTTTGCCTCTTTCCTGCATTATATTCCTCCTGGCTCATTGGGATTCCTGGTGTGCTTGGTCCCTTGATATCACAGTTCTTGGTGATTTCAGTATCTACAGAGATTATCCTCCAGAGTCCCAACCTGTTGATCTCTCCCCCACATCTTCAGTTATCTTGCTATCCACCATTAGTAAATAGATTGTTTTCAGCTAGACTAGCATGATGAAGCTATGTAGAAGCAAAATGGTCTGGGAAGATAGTTCAGAGGGCTAGAGTGTAGGTACTCCCTGTGGGAGCCCAGGTTCAATCCACAGCACTGCAGAGTCCCACAAGAACAAAGACCTGTTTGGCTGGAGTGATAGTCCAGTGAGTAGAGTGTTTGTCTTGCACGCAGTCAACCCAGGTTTGATCCCTTGCTTCCCATCCTCCCCCAAGCACTGCCAGGAGCTACCCCTGAGCATCTCCTGGTGTGACCCAAAAGGCAAAAAAAAAAATTTTAATAAAAATAAAAAATAAGGAGCTCCTCCTAAGAAATAAATAAAGAAAGAAAGAAAGAAAGAAAGAAAGGTAAAGGAAGAAAGAAAGAAGTAAAGGAAGGAAGTAAGGGAGAGAGAGAGAGAAAGAGAGAGAGAGAGAGAGAACTGAGGAACTGAGGCCCGGAGTAGTCCTGTCAGCTTTGGCCCAAAAACAAAGCAACCAATATTTTTTCAAAGCATGGAAGTTTGGGATATAATTTGAAGACAGAATTGTATGATTTTACAGGGGATCTGAATATAGAATTATATGATAGCCAATGTGGCTAGACATAACAGCCTGTGGTAGACATAACAGAATGAAAAGTGTTGCCGATGTCAGACCAAGGAATAAGTTGGAACTTTGGATAAGTCCCCTGGAATTCTTTTAAGCACAGAATAACATCTGATTGCCTTTAATTTTTTTTAAAAAATAAATCAGATGTAAAGAAAAGTTAAGCTCACTAAAATCATTGCAAGACCAATGCCCTCTATATCCACTTCTTCAGTCAATATGAATGTTGTTTGACGTTCCAAGGCGCCCATCTGCATTTGTTTTATGACCCATGGATGGTGTTACAAATATCCAAATGGCACTTGGCAGAAGAAATGCCCCCATTCCTAAATTAAAGCAGGTCTGAAGGACTTCAGGTGAGACTCGGTGACAGAGAGCAAGCTCTGTATGTATAAGCAAGACTCTGGGTTCAATTCCCAGAACTATAAAATAAAGAAGATAAAATAAATCACTACATTTTACCTATACTCAAGAGGAGGAGAAGCATCCTGAAAGGAGGAGCATTAAGAGATTTATGGACATGTTCTAAAATCATTTCAATTGGTTCCAGGCAAAGGAGTTATATGTTTTGTCTTTCTGTAGGTTTTTGGTTTTGGTGGGAAATGGGGGGTGGGGCACACTCAGGTTCACTCCTGGTTCTGCACTCAGAGACAACTCCTGGAAGGCTCAGGGGACCATATGGGGTGCCATGGATCAAACCAGGGTCAGCCACATGCAAGGTAAATGCTGTACTATAGGTAGTACCTGCTGTACCATCACTCAGGCCCCAGGAGTGGCTTGAGTGACTGTTACTGTCACTGTCCTCCAATTGTTCATCGATTTGCTCGAGCGGGCCCAGTAACGTCTCCATTGGAGACTTTGTTGTTACTGTGTTTGGCATATCGAATACATCACGAGTAGCTTGCCAGGCTCTGCTGGGCGGGCGAGATACTCTCGATAGCTTGCTGGGCTCTCCGAGAGGGGTGGAAGAATCGAACTCGGGTCGGCCATGTTGGCTGCGTGCAAGGCAAACGCCCTACCACTGTGCTATCGCTCCAGTCCTGGCTTGAGTGACATTTTAAATTTTTTAAAAATTATTTCAAATCAATATGCAGATAAAGCCCTTTATAGAGTGGTAAGTGGAACACCATACAGGCAGTTTTCAAGTAATGAATATAAATAACCATTCATTATAATGAATATAACTAACCATTAACTAAGTGAAAAGAGACATAATCTCTTTAAAAGATAGAGAAATGATGTCCCCAAACAGAGGTGTGTCATGTCAGATTTACTGTTAGAGTTGAGACATCATTAACATTCCATTTTGACACAGGACTAGGATGAGGAAAATATATTCTCATATACTGTTGCTGAGAGGATATTAGGGCAGTTGGAAATGTGTAGCACTGTAGCACTGTCCTATTGTACATCGATTTGCTTGAGCGGGCACCAGTAACGTCTACAGTAACAGTAACCAGTGAGCCTTGTTACTGTTTTTGGCATATCAAGTAAGTCACGAGGAGCTTGCCAGGCTTTGCCCTGTGGGCGTGACGATACTCTCCGTAACTTACCAGGCTCTCCTAAAAGGGTGGAGGAATCCAACCGGGGTCGGCCCAGATTGACTGCGTGCAAGACAAGCGCCCTACCCGCTATGCTATTTCTCCAGCCCTTGGAAATGTATATAAGAGCTTAAAAACTGAACCTCATTTCAATTCTATTTTATGAATTTTCACTTTATTTTTTTTGTTTGAGGGGCCATACCCAGCACCCAGAGGTTCTTAATGTACTGCTCCAGCTGATTGCTGAGGCTTCACTCCAAGTGACACAAAGCATGCACTCCCTTTGAGCTATCTCCCTGACCCCATTTTGTGAATTTTTCCTAAATATCTAAATTATATAATAACTTTTTCTTATAGTCTAACTTAAATATTTATAACTTACAAAAGCATATATACCTGAATAAATATTAAGGTATCAAATAAATTACAATATATTCATCTAATACAATACAGTGCATCTGGGCTCGAAAGATGGTGCAGTGAACAGGGCCCCTGCCTTGAACGCATGAGACCCAGGTTCAGTTCCAAGCATCCTATAAGTCCCACCAGAAATGATCACTGGGCAGAACCTGAAGTAAGCCCAGAGCCTTGCCAGGCGTGGCCCCAAAACAAACAGAAAAGATGCCGAGTATTCACCTTAACTCTTTTATGCTTATTATGGTGGTTTTCTCATATATTCTTCACAGGTAATTGACTACAACCAACTTGTTATGCCACGTTTTGAAAAAGCCCGGGAAATGCTAATAAAAAATATGATCAGTGAAGCCACAGAAAGAGCTATTGCTCACGTGAAAGAGCGGCTTATAGCACAACTACACACCGACGGAAAAGGTGAAATATCTTTTTAAGAACATGGGTTTGGAGGTTAAGTGCACGGCAAAAACTGGCTTCCTGAAAATGGGGGCACAGTCTGAACGTCTCCCTATACTTGACCCTCAACACATGTCTAAGAAATAAATATACATAAGCCTGGTTCAATAGAGAAGAGTCCAACTGGAGATATATAAAGAATCGGGAAGAGCCTGTAAATGTATATTACTTTACTTACCTATGTCCACATGTTGGCAAACACTGAACAGAATTTATTATTTTTTTCTTTTAGTTCTTGAGCCACACCCAACTGTGCTCAGGGCTTACTCCTGGCTCTGTGTTCAGGCATCATTTATGATTGGACTCGGGGGCCCATATGTGGTGCCAGAGGAACAAACCTGGGTCTCCAAGCATGTCCTACCCACTGTACTCTTACTCTGACCCCAGAACTTTTTGTTTTTATCTCTACTCCCGGTGGCACTAATACTTCACCTGATTGTTGGAGAGCTGTCTCTGTTGCTGCCATTATCATTGTCTTAGACTTGAAAATACATTTTAAATAAAATCTTTCTATTGACAAATATTGACTTCAATTTAAAAAAATCAAAAAGCAGTAAAGATGACAGAAGGCTTAGTGATCAAGTCACACAGTTCTCTAATGTGACAGATGAGAAAATTGATAACCAGGAGGTTCAGTGGCCTCTGGATACCGACCCAGCCGGTCTCAGTTGAGACTTGAATCTTATTTCCAAAATCACAGTGTTATTTTTTCTGACAGATCTGCCTCTTCCTTCAGCTCACTTAATAGATTTTTTTAAAGATAGACACAAGTGTATGGGAAATGGGGCTTTTCATTCTTCTTTTGCAGGAGGAAATAGAGTTCTCACTTCATTTCTATATCATGAAATTTGTTTATTGGTTTGGGTAAAGTTTGTGTCTATGGTTTGCACCTTTGTAACTAATCATATAACACATAAAAGTAGTTTCATTTGAACATCATCTCTTAGTGTTATACTCAGTACTGTACTTACTGTGTATTACATGGAATTTTTCTCACTTTCAAAGATGTGGACCCCACATTTGAAATTAGCAACAACAGGGGGTTTTTTGCCTGCCCAATATTTTATTTTTTTTAAATTTTTAAAAAAATTTTTATTGGTGAGACACCATGAGGTACAGTTGTAGACGTACAATTTTTTGTGCTTGGATTTCAATTATACAAGGATAAAATACCCATCCCTTCACCAGTGCCCATTTCCCACCACCACGGATCCCAGTATCCCTCCCACCCCTATCCCCCCATCCCACCCTGCCTCTATGTCAGGGCATTCCCTTTTGTTCTCTCTCTCCTTTTGGGTGTTGGCAACAACAGTTTTAGCCTAGATTCAGTTACCCCTGTTCTGATTTCTCCAAAGCTGTGGCAGTATACTGTCTTTTAGGAAAGCCATCACTGTCTCAATGTAGATATTCTTTCCTGAATTTTTTTCTCACTACAAAAGTTATAATAGGTTATATATGCTTGGCACTGATTGGATTCAAGCTGATGCCTGTGCTCTGATATGGTGTGTCTCCCAAGTGATCACAGGAAACTGTGAAAAGCAGACTTCAAAAAGACTGAGTTATACTTAGTTCTAGAGATATACCCTGTATATCTGATAGTGGCTCTCTAGGCCTCTATCAGTGGCCTGAAACCCTGTTATACCTTCTTAATAAGTATGTTTCCAGAATAGACTTATTAAGAATAGATTTATTAAGAATCTAATGAATGTGTGGCATCGGAGAGATAGTATAGTGGGTTTGGCACTTGCCTTGCAAATGACTGACCTAGGTTCAATCCCTGGCACCCCGTGTGGTCCCCCAAGCTCACCCAGGAGTGATTCTGGAGCACAAAACCAGAGTAATCCCTGGGAACTGTTGGGTGTGGAAAAAAAAACAAAAAAGAATTTATGGACTCAATGATATGTAACTGTCATTAATAGCTATGCCCAGAAAATATTTAGGTGAATCTAAAGATGAAAAACATTTATTAGCAGATCTGTAGCAAGGCATGAAGAGTAGTATGATAATAGTAAAGGGTCTTAGTTCACATTTACATCAATGGAAAGAATATTTGCACAGAAATTTGGGAAGGAAATAAAGGCCTTAAGTAAGATAATTGGTCAAATAGACATAGTGGATAAATACAAAAATTTCCACCACCAAATAAAGTAATATAGATTTTTCTTAAATGTACATGAAAAATTCTCAAGGATAAATAAGATTTTGAAGCACTGTTTTGATAAATATGGGCATATAAACATCATTTTAAGCATCTTTTCTTGACTGCAATGGTAAGAAGATACTAATAATCCACAGAAAGGAAACCAGGGAAGGGGCCAAAGCGATAGTACAGCGGTTGGGCATTTGCTTAGCACACAGTCGACTGAGGTTCAATCCCCAGCAACCCATATGGTTCCCCAAGCACGAGGACTACCAGGATAATTCCTGAGTTCAGAGCCAGGAGTAACCCCTGAGCATCGCTGGGTGTGACCTCCCCCCAAAAATATCAAAAAAGCGGGGGGCAATTTTTTCAGGTCTGAAAGTAAATTCCAATAACAATTGCAATAGCTTAGCAAGAATTTTTATCATTACTCTTAAATCTTCTCAAGAAGACAAATAATATTCACATTATTTTTATCCTTTAAACATTTTGTAGCTTTCATCATGTATTTCTAACCACTGCCACCACCCTGCTTCCCTTCCTTGTTTATTTTGTTGCTGCAATCCCAGAGGTCTTATACACATGCACACCTCTGGCTGTAGTGCTTGAACATTTAGTTGTGATGCTTGTCAGAGCCACACAACAGGTTGTGGTGTTTGCACAGGTGGCTGTAGTGCTCATCAAGGATCACACCCCTTTTGTTGTGTAGTTGCTGGTGTGCTTGCCATGAACTGTGATCCCAAGAACATTCTGGTTGTAGTTTTCACTGAGGGCAGCTTTGTGACATCTGCTGGCCAGGGTTCACATTTCCTTGGTGTGGCACACACATACATCTTCTAGCATGGTGCACAACAGGGCTTGCACCCTTTTAGTTGTGAGGCTCATACACAGTTAACTACAGTACAAATGGAACTTGCTTGTGATCCAAGGGGTCACAGACAGCAGAGCTGCCAGAATCCCACTCAGTGTACGTGGCAGCAACTGGGACTGAACTCATAGCTTTGCACTTCACAATCCTGTCACTCTAGGCCACTATCAGTGGCCGCAAACCCTGTCTTCGACCTTCTTAATAAATCTATTCCCAGACATTTCATAATTTTCTTTTGCCACTGAATGGAATTGTTCTTCTTTTGCATGATCTAAACAGTTATTTATAGTATATTGAAAAACCTTTTTTTCATGTTTGGTGACCAATTGCCATATTATTATTATTATTATTTACTTTTTGGGTCACACCCAGCCGATGCTCAGGGTTACTCCTGGCTCTGCACTCACTCCTGGCAGTGTTTGAGGGACCATATGGGATGCTGGAAATTGAACCCGGGTCGGCCACATGCAAGGCAAACGCCCTACCCGCCATACTATTGCTCCAGCCCCCCAATTGCCATTTTAAAACTCCATTCTTACCAGTTGAAAGAAGTACAGTTTTAGCTACTCATTGCATACACTTATTTCCTGCTCTCACTAGCATTTCTGTAATGCTGGATAGACTTATTCCAAAATGATTCTAAAAAACAGCACTTGATAGAGGACCTCTGCAAGTGAGTCCTTGCCAACGTTTCCATATAGCATTATTAAGGTTTTGGTTTGGAGTGAGTAATGAGCTTATCTAATGCTCTCTCAGCATTTATCAAGATGATGATAGTCTTTAATCCTTTGACCTACTGATGTTATCAATTCATTAACGTGTTTTATAACATTGAACTATTCTTGTAGCTCTGAACTAAACCTACTCAGTTATAGCATATTAATCTCATACTGTATTTTTTTCTTCTTGGCTCTTTGTATAGTATTTTTCCTACAATAAATGTGTGATTATTTTATAGTTTTCTTTTTTTGTGCTTTGTCAGGTTTTTCTTCTAGAAAGATTGTATAATTTTCCTGATATTATACATAAATTGGTTAACCTTCCATTGTGTCTCTACTATTTTATTAGTAAATTATGTGTTTATACTTGGGCAATGGCAAACTTTTGTAGGGAAAGAACACATTATTTGCCTAATAAACCTATGTTTCTTCATGCTCTTTTGCCTGTAAGAAATAGGAAATTACCCTAGGGATTGCAAAAAACAACAGCAAAAAATTACCAATATTGAAATTGGATATAAACCAGATGATGTGGAATGAGTTTATGTTTTTAGTACAGTATACCAGAACCATAAACTTTAACAGTATTGTAACCATATTACCTAAGCTACAACTTAGAAAACGTTAAGCACTCATATGCAACTCACAAACTGAAACGAGCAATAATGGCTTATACTGCTAGTCAAACACTTTCAAAATGTATGGCCAAAATGAATTCATTTTTTGAACAACTTTTTGTGTTAAGATCAGCTTCTAGATATTGGGCCACATGGATAAGCAAGAAACATAAACTTCCTGTCTTTGTAGTGATAATATTTTAATAGATAACAGGAAGGGAAAAATTGGGGGCAAAAATATAGCCTGGAAAGGGTTGGTATAGGATGACAGCATGTTAGTAGGACTATGGTGGAAGACTCTTTGAAGGGAAACATTTAATGGAGACCCAAGTGAAATAAAGAAACTCACCAGTTCCTGGGGAATAGTATCTGGAGTGTCTCTTGAAGTAGTCCTGGTTTCTTTCATATCAAATTACAGCATGAAATCACACTTTCAAGTTTTTCACAAATTTTCGTCTCCCATCAGAATATGGAAATTGCATTTCTCAAATACTACAAACTTAAAAGGCTTTTTTTCCCCATTTAAATTCAGTGTTTATGCTAAATCTGCCAATAGAGATAGGGTTAGCTCTCTCTAGAGATAAAAGAATTGCACTATTGATATTTCAGTGGTAAATGAAATAAATTTCTGGTGTTGTTGGCTCGATCTTGTCTTATATAGATTAGAAGATAAAGCAACTGTGTTCTTTTATTGCAGTTTCAAATGATCAATCCAAAAGAGGTTCAGTGGAAAATGAAGACAAAAAGACATCAGAGAAAAACCCTGATCAAGCTGGTAATTTTTTAAAAATATGGTAACAAAATAAACTGCTAAAATCTATGATCAAGGATTTTTTAAAATTTATTTTATATTTCATCATTCTTATTTTGTATATTAAAATGCAAAAGGGGGAAATTTTGCTTCTTTCTTTCATATTTAAACTCACCAGCTACAGAACAAAAATAGACTCACTAAAATAAAACAAGCATAGCAACTTGGGCATCTAAGATAATTAGAAGTACTGGGGCAGAGCAGTGGTAGAGCGGGTAGGGCACTTGCCTTGCATAAGATCAACCCAGTTTTGATCCCCAGCACCCCATATATTCCTCTGAGCCCCACTAGGAGCAATTTCTGAGTGCAGAGCCAGGGATAAAACCGTGAGCATTGCTAAGGATGGCCCCCAAACCAAAAATAAATAAAGTAATTAGAACTCCCATATCATTTTTAGGGGGTAAGTTTCTAAACATAATACAGTCAAAATTTTTCAAAGAATCCCATTGCAAGAGATTTATATTACATGCTGTAATTTTCTGTAATTCATCTTCATAATTTTTTCCATTCAAATTTCAACATAATTGAAAATGTACAATGTAAATGTATTTGTACATTTAATAATGTAACATTTAATTACAACATTCATTTGGAAATAGTTTAACAGTCTTTCTAAATACTGTGAAATTTCCCTACTCATAGAGGGTAGTTTTTACTCATATTTGTTGTTGGCTCTTTTCACATGCTGCTTCTTCATCTATTGAAATCACCTAGTGATTTGGGAGAGATACCAGGGACTGAACCCAGGGTTCATACATGAAAGGCCTATGTTCTATCACTGATGTGAAAACCCTGGCCTAGACAAATTGGTTTTTGGAGGTTATATTTTTAGTCACTGTTTTACAGTACTGTTAATTTTAAAGTTTCGTGCAAACAACATTGCAATACCATACTCCCTACCAGAGTATCGACTTCCTTTTACTGTTGTCCCAGGCTCCCATTCTCAGCCCCCCAATCACCTTGTTCTTATCCCCACCCCCTTGTCTCACTACCATGATAAGTATCATTTTGTAGATTAGTTCTTAGCTTCTGTTGATTTTGGTCATTTGTTATTCCTTTGCCATCTTTATATCCCTCAATGAAGAAAATCATTCTGTATCTGTCTCATTCCTTCTGACTGTTTTCACTCAGAATGATACATTCTAGTTCCATCCACATAGTAGAAAATTACATGATTCCATCTTTTTTTACAACCACCTAGTATTCCATTGTATATGTGCCACAGTTTTTTATACCCAATCATCTGACACTTGAGTTGTTTCCAGCTTAGAGCTATTGTGAATAGTGCTGCACTAAACATAAGATTACATATATCTTTTCTGAGTAGAATTTTGGGGCCCTTGGAGCAGATGTCCAGAGTTCGAAAACTGAGTCATATGGAAGTTCAAGTATTAGAGGAATATCCATGCTGTTTTCCAAAAAGGTTGAACCATTCACCACCAGCAGTGAATGAGGGTTCCTTTTTCCCAACATCCACACCAACACAAAGGCCACTCTCATTCATTTGAGGTAATATCTCATTGTTTGACTTACACTTTCTTGATGATCAGTGATGCAGAGTATAGATATTTATACCTACTCGCCATCTATATGCCTCTTTAAAGTATGTTTCTGTCTATCTCTTCTTCCCATCTTTTATAGGTTTATTTTTTAAAGTTTTACCTGTACTTTATGGTATAGCTCAGGCCTCACATGTGTGAAGTTTTGTATTCAGTTCCTGGGAATGTTTTTGAAAATGTCCATCAAGTAGCATCTGGGGGGTCCCATATATGTTCCTTAATGTTTCCCATATTTTCTGTTCTCTTTTGGGGGAAGGTAGCCCAAAATAGAAGCAAGAGTGCCTAAAACCCGAGGAGCAATGACAACCCTGCCAGAATTACCAATTTAAAAAGCTTCAGGTGTCTAAGTTAAGCACAGTTTTTACCTCTTGAATTCAGAAAGGGCAAAAGTAGGATTTTTTTTCAATTTAGTTTTTCTGTCATTGTATAAAATTAAAATTTGTTTTGGTTAAATATGCTGAAGTCAGTTTTTTTTTAATTTTTATTAGGGAAATACCATGAGGTACAGTTGTAGACTTAAACATTTTTGTGCTTGGGTTTCAGTTATACAATGATCGAGCACCCATCCCTCCACTGTTTATAAACTTTTATTGCATAATCACTGTTTAGTTATTATTTGTGTTACTTTAACTTTCATCTATGAATCTCAGATCCCTTGAAATTAGCTAAAAGTTTTACTTAATTTGAATATCTAGGTATTAGTCAAAATGTTTTAGTCAAAGATGAAGAAACCAACGAACCTACACCTGAAGAACATTCCTTGGGCATGAATCAGAAAGCAAATACAGGCTAATTCATATTTGGGTAACTGGGATATCATAGATTGTATACCTAAAATTACAATTGGTTTCTTCATAATTTAAAAAAGACTATTTTTTTTCTTTAAAGGGGTATTGTAAAAAACCACCAAGGCTATTATATGAATAGTTGGGGCATTTAAGAACATAGAGAATATAATGTGTGAGGGACCAGAGTGATATTACAGCAGGGAAGGGAATTTGTCTTACATAGGGCCAACCTGGGTTTCAATCCCAGTACCATATATGGTCTCCTGAGCCAACTAGAAGTGACCCCTGAGCACTGCCAGGTAAGGCCCCAAAATAAAAATAAAAGTAATGATAATAATTGGACAAGTATTTTGGTGAAAAAATATTGGGATAATGGAGTTTCTCTCTTCTCTACCACCCCTGACATCTGGCTGTTAGCACTGCAATCATCATAGGATCATTCATAGCAGGAGGAAGGAGATGATAAAGGGCAAAACTGGCATTCCATCGAGCTGGATTAGCACCCTTTAAAGAGATAACAGGAGGTTTATCTCTCACTATCTCTGTCTCTGTCTGTCTGTCTCTCTCTCTCTTTTTCTCTCTTTCTCTCTCTCTTACACACACACACAAACACACACACACACACTGCTTGTACTTTAACTAAAATTTATCTCCATTACAAGAGAAATTGGGAAAGCTAGTGCTTTCAGTGGGGTAACATTTTTGTTTTATTTTTGTTTTTTTGAGAGGGTCACACCCAGCGATGCACAGGGGTTACTCCTGGCTCCGCAATCAGGAGTTACTCCTGGCGGTGCTCAGGGGACCATATGGGATGCTGGGAATCAAACCTGAGTCGGGCGCGTGCAAGGCAAACGCCCTACTCGCTGTGCTTTCTCTCCAGCCGCTAGTGGGGTACATTTTTGACCACAGCAAAATTAGAATTCTATTAATAGGGAATAGAAAAATTGAAAACTGAGCAGGAAAGCAACAGGTTCTAGCACATTGAACACCATTGTCTAATTATTTCTGCTTCTGCCATTCACCATAATCCGAAAAGCTATAGGAATCTGGCATGAATCGCTGTTTCTTCTACTCTGAATACCCAGGAACTGCTGCCTCTTTCTGTGCTGTGGAAAAAATTGTTCACTTTGTTGAGTGAGGGCAACAGGCTGCTATTTATTTATTTATTGAATCACTATGGGAAAAGTTACAAAGCTTTCAGGTTTAGGTCTCGGTCATGCAAATATCAAACACATTTCCCTTTACCGATACTTATTTTTCACCACGAAGAACCCCAATAAACCCCCACCCCCTCCAGCCCTCCCAATGCCTGTGAGGCAGATGAATTCTAGTTAACACTCTATCTACTTTGACTAGATTCACTGTTTCAATAAAAGATGCACCATAATTATTTAGAGTTTACCCACCAATCAGACATGCTGAAAAAGCATTGTGAAATGATTTGCTTTCTACAGCTGGGTTCAAGAATTAAATGATGTCACGCGGCCGCTATAGCAGCCGCACGGTTTTGGGTTTCTGCTATTTTACTTATTAACTCTGGAAGTATTTCTGCTGAGAGTCAGATAATTAAGAGATTGGTTTCTGTGCTCTGGAGCCATGGCCGTGCCAGAGAGCCGCTCGTGGGGGGCAACTGGTGACCTTGGTAGGGCGTGAAGGACAAGCAGGAAACGCCCCCCCCCCCCCATGAGGTTTTAGTCGCCCCATCCCGACCAGCTCATACCTGACTTTCCACAAAGCTCCCAAGCGGCTGCCATCTTTCTTTCCAGAGGGAAGAAGGCAGAAGGGACCAACACCCGTTCCCCTCCCGGCAGGCATGGTGGCGTGGATTAACGCATAGTTCGTTCAGTTTTCTGCTGCAAGCTGCTGGGCTCTGAATTTTGGAAGGGCCATTGGGAGTTTTCTGGAGATCAAGTGGCATTGCTGGGATACCCTGATGGTTGAAGCCTAGTCCATTTGCAAACACAATGGAGAAATCAAAGGTAGAGGCAGAGTCAGGCAGAGCTGTCAGTCACCTCTATGATCGCAAGAGAAGAACGTCTTCACCCTGATATAGTTCATGAGGCAACTCAGGTACACTAGGAGATATTCAGTATACTTTGAGAGTAGGAATCAAGCATAATATTTGAAAAACAAACATATTCTATCCATTCTCTCATTCCCTCTAGCCTATATCCTTTCTTTCTTACACATTCTCATGTATAATTGGAAGTGTTCACCTTGATTTTGCTTTGTTTTCTGACTCATCCTGTAGGTTCTCTTCTTTTAACTGAATCCCTTGAGCTCTTTGGACCCTGCCTCTTCTCCCTGGCTTCCTGGTTTTTGATTCCCATTAATCATGACTTTATTCTTCTTTTATTCATTTTCTTTGTAATTCAATACTCTGTTGTTTCATGCTCCACGACATAGCATTTCTTCCCTATTCTATTTCCCACTGCTAGCATAAACACACTAACAAAAACACTAACACAATGACAGTGTTTCTCTGGATCAAATATCAATACTCATGCCCCTTGCAAATAGCACTGTTCCCTAAAACTGTCACTAACATTTTTTATTAACATGTTTTATTTTAGAAACAACGCTAGACTTAATAGAAGAGGTAACTGCAGATCATCCAGAAGTTGTCTCTATGATAGCAGGGTCTGTACAAATGGTACAAAATGCGAATTTTGAACAACCAAATGAAAAGTATGCTGAAATATTAGCGGAAATCCTCAAAGAAGTAAGAACTCTAGTTTTTTTTTTTTTTGATCATTCATTGTACTGTAAGTGGGAAATGTTGGCCTAGTATATATGCACTCTCCACTGTCCTCCTGTTGTTCATCAATTTGCTCAGGTGGGCACCATTAACGTCTCACAACAAATTGTGAGACTTGTTGTTACTGTTTTTGGCATATCGAATACGTCATGGGTAGTTTCCCAGGCTTTGCTGTGCGGTCGATATACTCTTGGTAGCTTGCTAGGCTCTTCGAGAGGGGTGGAGGAATCGAACCCGGGTCGGACGCATGCAAGGCAAACGCCTTACCCGCTGTGCTATATTACCTGACAATATATGAAGTTTTTTTAAAACCTAAGTATTAGTGTATTCTTTTTTTCAAATTTTTATTAAGACTCCATGGTTTACAAAGTTGTTCATAAATAGAGTTGTTTCAGTCATACAATGTCCCAACACCAGTCTCACCACCAATGTCCCCAGGTTCCCTTCCAAACCACCACCCCAACCTGGACTCTTGGTAGGCATATAACAAATTTATTTTATATTACTTGTTCCAGCAAAACTTAAAGGAATGGCAAATGAAATTATTATAAAATAAATCAATATTTTTGGGCAATCAAAAGTACCCTTAGTGAATGTCATATTCAATGTCACATGTTGGGAAGTTTTTCCTGTTCTCATGTCCTTTAAAAGAGTTTTTTTTTCTTCCTGGATTTGTTTTTGGGCCACAACCAGCAGTGCTCAGGGCTTACTCCTGATTCTGTGTTCAGTGATTACTCTTAGTGATGAATTGGGGGACCATATGAAGTACCAGGAATTAAACCCAGATCAGGTGTGTGCAAAGCAAACAACCTACCCTCTGTAATATAACTGGAGCCCTAAAGGAGCTCTTCTGATGCTTCTTTTAAAACTTGTTTCCAGGCTATAAATTCCCTTAACTGTTGCCTGACCATGAAACTCTATATCATTCCTTCAATTCTGAATGATAATCTGGCTGGATAAACTATTGTTAATGAAGTGTTTGTTTCATTGAATTTTTGTGCTATATCCCTCCATACTCTTCTGGCTCATAAAGACTCATTTAATATATCTGCTGTACATCTTGTTACATCTCTTTAGTATGCAAGTTCTTTTCTGATCTTGCTGTTTTCAATATTGTCTCTGTCCTTTGGATTTTGTCATTTTGAGTATAACGTGTTGAAGTTTTCCTAGTTGGGCACAGACTCGCATTTCTAATTTCTACTTGTGTGCTAAAGAGATTGTTATTAGGCAACAAGGAAATGAGTGAGAGATGAGAGTTTGACAGAACTTGACCATGTTAGAGATGCAAACATAAATCACTGCTCCAGACATTGTGAATTAGCACCTGAACTTTGCACCGTTGACTAATAAACAACAGAAATATAGTGTATTTATTTAATAAAGGTTTTTGCTTCCCGATCTTAATTTTTGAAATTTACAGTTTATTGTATTAAAATTGTTTTTCTTTTACAATTAACTGGATATTTTTTTCTTTTAAGAGTCAGAAGAACTGAAGGTCTACAAAATTGATGCACTATAGTAGGATCCTTGACTTGTGAAGTTTTGGTGGTAACACCTGTGTACAATTTTTCACAGGTAGAAGAAGAAAACATGATCAGGTATCCTGATGCTTCAAAATATGGAGGCTGGATTCTAGACAATTGTCCAGTTCTGAAAGAACTGTGGGTTTTCCTTGTCGAAAAAGGAGTTATACCTGATTTGGTCATTGTTTTATCAAATATGGAAAACAACGGTTGGTAATGATTTATCATTTAAATTTGCAAGTGAAGTGTTTGTTACTGATAAAATTTTTATTTAAAATAAAAAATGGAGGGGCTGGAGCAATAGCACAGCGGGTAGGGCATTTGCCTTGCATGCGGCCGACCCGGGTTTGATTCCCAGCATCCTATATGGTCCCCTGAGCACTGCCAGGAGTGATTCCTGAGTGCAAAGCCAGGAGTAACCCATGAGCATCGCCGGGTGTGACCCAAAAAGCAAAAAATAAATAAATAAATAAATAAATTAAGGAAAACTCTTCACCATCTCCAGATGCAAATATCACTCCAGTTACTAATAACACCTCTTCACAATCTACGCTTACACCAAATGAGACTTCCATCCACAGAGGAGGCGGCCAGGGATAGTATACTGATCACTGAGTATTCTGGCAGGTCCTTATAACCATTTATGGAAGCTGAAATTTTAACAGCTCTCTTCAAGTCAGCACTATAATTCCATAAATGTAAGATTGAGAGAAAAACTATGTGTAGTATTTTTTCACCTCAAATGGAAAATAATTGGTATAAAGATAGTAATTTTCATTATTCTGTCACTGTGTGAAACTACATACAGTAATCAAAATAATAAGATATTGACATAAAAAGAGATATAGACTAGAGAGAGAAAAAAAACTTTAAAAAATATGGTCAATAAGTCTTTGATGGGAGCACCAACAATATTTTATCATTTTGCCTTTTAAGGAAATGTATTTAAAAATACTTTCCAGAGGGAGACTATAATACTAACTCCTCTCATATTTTAGTTATTTATAAATTGCCTTATATAACCTTAAATTGGTTTTAATGTTTTAATGAATCCAGACTCTATTTAAAACACTGTCCTCCCATTGTTCATCGATTTGCTCCAGTGGGCACCAGCAATGTCTCCATTGTGAGACTTGTTGTTACTGTGTTTGGCATGTCCAATACGCCAAGGGGAGCTTGCCAGGCTCTGCTGAGTGGGCAGGATACTCTCAGTAACTTGCCGGGCTCTCCAAGAGTGACTGAGAAATCAAACCCAGGTTGGCCATGTGCAAGGCCAACGCCCTACCCGCTGTGCTATCATTCCAGCCGGATGTATCAGCATGTCAGTATTTTCCTTTTAATTTGGTTTTTGCGGGGAGCCTCCCAGTGGTGCAAATGGGGATTACACCGGTGGTGTTCTGGGCCCCCCCCCCCCGCCCCCTGCTGCAAGGGGAGGAATCTCTGGGGGGGGGTGGGCGGGGGGGGGACAGGAACTCTGGGCTCAGCATGTTGGGGCCGGAAGAGCCAGCCCCAGCCTGGAAGTGTGTGGTGAAGTGAGCGCCATCCTGCAGGCGAGTGGGCTCCATAAACAGGGAAGGGCACTTGAAATGACCATCACTGTGTTAAGGGCAGGGTGTAGGGGACCCAGAAAGCCGCCTGTTCCCCTGGGAGGACTCAGATGCATGAGCCAGAACCAGTGAAGATGGCCATGAGTCACTGAGCTGACAGGGGCCGGCCCTGCTCCCATTCCCCGAACCACAGGGCCCCCCCAGGTGACCCCTGGGCTCACAGCCCTGAGCACCACCAAGTGTGGTGCAACATCCCCCACACCCCCCACCACACACACACAGCATGAGTGACAGCCAAAGACTGGGGCAGGCCTAGTGCAGAATGGGCACTGAGCTTGAAGTGGGCAGGAGAGATGGGAGCTGGCGGTCGTGAACTCACACAAGCACCAGGCCTGGCTCCTCCTCGGTCAGCACAGGAGGGCCTCAGAGGGGCGACTCAGGATCAAAGGTAAGGCGAACAGAGCTGCCTGCGCTTCTGGAAGCTGAGTGTTGCCCAGGCCAAGGGATCAAAAGCACCGGCTGCAGAAAATGGGAAATCACTGCGGGGATCTGAGCAAGGAGGATCTACTTAAAGCAAATGCTTAAAGAAAAATATAAATATGTAATATATCAACAATTATATTTCTAATTTCCAAAATATATTTTACTATATTTTATAGACCTCAAAATTAATGTTATTCTCTTTAATCTGTATTTCAGGACAGTGTGTATTAAATAGACTATATTTGCAGAATAAGTCTGAAATTGATTCCAGTATTATAGAAAGATTAACACAAGAAATGCTACTGAAGAAAAAAGAAGAAGAAGAAGCAAAGTAAAAGATCTTTCATACATAATACAATTTATCAATGTATCTTTAGTTCCATAAAACAAAAAAATTAATTTTGCTTTTGGGCTGATTCTGGATTTGCTCAGAGTACACCCCTGGCTCTTCACTCAGGGATCATCCTGAAAGTGTTCAAGAAACTATATGGGGCATCAGGGATTAAACCCAGCTTGGTCAAGTGCTAGTTTAGAACGTTAACATTCTCTCTTCAGTGTCCTAAAGCAAATAATTACTTGCAATTGATTTTTACTAAATGTCTAATATAAAAATGATGGTCTGTTTACTAGAATCAATTCTAATTAATGCACACAGAAGCTATAATTTCACAAATACAGAATCTCTAATGTACTGTTGTAGATGTTTTCACACACCCAAATGAAATATTCTAAATCAAATTACTATTCTCAAAACACCCCATTAAAAGAAGTGAACACATAGTAGATGAAAACAAAATCAGATTTTATTGTTCAAAGAAAACAAAATCAGTAAGGGTTTTCAATCAAACCTTAGAATAAATGTCATCTTCATTTTTTAAGCGAACATAGATGTTTTTAAAAACAAGTTTCTCTGTGATAAATAATTTCAACTATTATCCACAAATTGAACAAGTAATATACATTTTTATAAATTAACATATTCTTGTTCAGTAAGACTAAAATCCACTGACCAGAGAGATAGTATCAAGTCTATCTGTGATAAATAATTTCAATATTTTCCACAAATTGAACAAGTAATATACATTTTTATAAAGTAAGATATTCTTGTTCAGTAAGACTAAAGTTCAGCGGCCAGAAAGATAGTTCAGGTGATAAGTGCTTGTTTTGCATGCAGCTAACTCTGGTTCCATCCCCAAAATCACATATGGTTTCACAAGCACCACTAGGGATCATGCCTGCACAACAGACCAGTCAAGCCTCTGAGCACTATAGAGAATGACTACCCTACCCAAAAAAGATGAAAATCCAAACCCTACCTAAGTTGAACATAAAAAAAAAATCAAGTCTAATTATTTACATTTGACAGACATATCATTAAGAACTTATTTACTGATTTGGTACAGAGAAGAACTTTTAGAAATGTGGACACATTTCTATCTATTAGTGGCTGGAGTGAAGATAAAACTGTGTTAAATTATCCAATTCCTCAGGTTGGAAAATAAACTGTAATAATAAACAATAACAACAATTTTTCTTAACTGAAACATGTCTTAGATATTTTTAAATTTTAATTTGTCCACTGGGATGCCTACCTCTCAAAAGTCAAAGGTGGAATCAATTAGTAGCTAATTTTCTTTTTCTTTACATTAAGCCACCATTACATGTTTCCATGAATCCATATCTTGAATCTTCCTTGACTTCTGTTTCCTTTTTCCCTTCATAATTAATAATTGGAGATTTTTAACTGTAGAGATTATTTTGGTGAGAGCTAGATAATTTGGGTGCTGGGAATGGGAAGTGTTAATAGGTGTGAGTCAGAGAAATTATTTTTAGAATTCCTTATTCATCTAAATTAACCATGCACTGGGATTAACTAAAAAATATAAAGTATAATTTAATTATATTAATTGTTAAAATTATTTGGTATATTGAAAAAACTATATCATTAATTCATAGAATAGTTACAGTTACTGTTAGCTTTTATATATTTTGCTTCGGAAGGAGCTATAATCTGCTAGGATATAAGGGATTACCTGATGCTTCTCAAATATGTGAGAAGTAGTCAAATCTGCGAACAAATGAAGGTATTGACCAAAGAGTAAAACAAAGTTCATGTCATCTCTAGACTGATTTTAAACAGAAAAAGTACATATACAACTATACTTTTTTGTATGTTGAGGATTGAATCTAAGACCTCAAATGCAAAACTTCCCTCTCCTTTGCCCAAATATTCAACTTTTGCCATGCTTTCCTATGTGGAATTTTGTGAACTCTAATAAATATTTACTTCTTTTGAGTCTTATTTTTTACATTTTTATAAATGTTAGAGACTTTCCCCATTTTAAAGTCTTTTCTACATTCTTTATGTTGCGTTTCAAAATTCCACATGCATATGTCAAAACAAGCATTTTTTTTTCAATTTTTATTAGTGAAACACCATGAGGTACAGTTGTAGACTTACAAGTTTTTGTGCTTGGGCTTCAGTTATACAGTGATTGAGTACCCATCCCTCTACCAGTGCCCATTCTCCACCACCAATGATCCCAGTATCCCTCCCACCCCCACATTCCCCTCATACCATCCCACCTCTGTGGCAGGGCATTCCCTTTTGTTCTCTCTCTTTGGGTGCTGAGGTTTGCAAAAGAGGCATTGAGTGGCAATCATGTTTGGTCTATAGTCTACTTTCAGCATGCATCTCCCATCCTTGGAAGATCTTCCCAACAACCTTTACTTGGTGTTCCCTTCTCTATCTGAGCTGCTTTTTCCCCTAGCATATGCGACTGGCCTTCAAGCCATGGAGTGAACCTCCTAGTAGTTATCTTGGTTGTTCTTGGGTGTTAGACTCCTATTTTGCTATTTTATCTTCTGCAGATTATGTCTTTCCCTATCTTTCTGACTCATTTCACTTAGCATGATTACTTTCCATGTAGTACCACTAAAACAAGCATTTTTTTCTTCATACACTACAGAAAATGAATCAAGACAGAAAGAAAACAAAATAGAAAATCACTTAATAGAAACTCGTCAAATTTAGAAAAGATCAGAAATTACACTTTAAACATGAAAATTATAAATGTTATCACTATCATAAACACATTATCTAAACTATAATAAACAATTTTTTCCAAATAATTACTCCTAGGACCAAATATCTAAAAGCACAGTAAATTTTATAACTTCTCAGGAATCAGTTTCCAAGTGTGCCAGCTAAGTGAAAGATAATTTCTGCCATCTCCATTTATCTCTGACTAGTCTATGCTCAGATTCTTAGCAGCACTGTGCTCTATCCAGGTTTTAGATTTGTACGTCTCAGCAAAAGAGTCAGTCCTAAGCACAGTCAAAGAAGGGAAGGAATCCAGGCACAGTACCTGGAATCTGAGCGGCAGGGCTCATGGAGTAGGAGACTTTGAATTACACTAAGATTTCAGGTCAATCGAATTTAGAATACAGTGAGATAGCATCCTTATTAAGGAAAAACGCATGCAGGGTCAGAGAGAAAACACAAGAGGTGTCATTTGGAGACAATATACTTAACTAGATTTTTCCAAAATGGGAAAGGATACAAAAATGACTGAATATGGGAGAGAATGATGGAGACATGGGATACTGTTAAGAAGATGTGCTGAAGAAATGAGTAGAGTCTACCTTACTAGTTCCCTGCCAGTGAATATTGATACAGTTTAGTAATTATTTTAAAGGGTGCATCTGACATTTTTACATTTCCTTTGTACAGTCGTATACTGATTCCTGAGGATTAAGTTTCTTTTTTTTAAATTTTTTAAATTTTTATTAGTGGAACACCATGAGGTACAGTTGTAGATTTACAAAGTTTTGTGCTTGGGTTTCGATTATACAATGATCAAGTACCCATCCCTCCACCAGTGCCCATTTTCCACCACCATGGATCCCAGTATCCCTCCCACACCCATCCCCCCCATCCCACCCTGCCGCTGTGGCAGGGCATTCCCTTTTGTTCTCTCTCTCCTTTTGGGTGTTGTGGTCTGCAAAAGAGGCATTAAGTGACAATCATGTTCAGTCCATAGTCTACTTTCAACATGTATCTCCCCTCCTGGGAGGATCCTCCAAACACCCTTATTTGGAGCTCCCTTCTCTATCTGAGCTGCCCTTTCCCCTAGATGGCCCGGCTGGCCTCTAAGCCATGGAGTAAACTTCCTGGTACTGATCGTGGCTATTCTTGGGTATTAATCTCCTATTTTGTTACTTTATGTTCCCCAGATGAATGCAATATTTTTATGTCTCTTCCTCTCTTTCTGACTCATTTCGCTTAGCATGATACTTTCCATGTGGTACCACTTGTATGTAGAATTCATGACTTCATCTTTTCTAACAGCTACATAGTACTCCATTGTGTAGATGTACCAAAGTTTCTTTAACCAGTCATCTGTTCTCGGGCACCTCCAAAGAAACAGTGACCAAAATACAAAGACAGTCTACAGAATGGATACACATCTGACAAGGGGTTGATATCAAGGATATATAAAGTATTGGTTGAACACAAGAAGAAAACATCCAACCCCATATAAAAATGGGGCAACGAAATGAACAGAAACTTTCTCAAAGAAGAAATCCAAATGGCAAAAAAACACATGAGAAAATGCTCTGCATCATTAATTATCAGGGAGATGCAGATCAAAACCACAATGAGATACCATCTCACACCTCAGAGACTGGCCCACATCCACAAGAACAAAAGCAACTGATGCTGGCACAGATGTGGTGAGAAAGGGACACTCCTTCACTGCTGGTGGGAATGCCGACTGGTTCAGCCCTTTTGGAAAACAGTATGGACCATTCTCAAGAAATTAGAAATTGAGCTTCCATTTGACCCAGCAATACCACTCCTGGGAATATATCCCAGAGAGGCAAAGATGTATGGTCGAAGTGACATCTGCACTTGTTTGTTCATTGCAGCACTCTTTACAATAGCCAGAATCTGGAAAAAACCTGAGTGCCCGAGAACAGATGACTGGTTGAGGATTAAGTTTCTTAACATGGAATTTCTAGATCACAGGTGTATGCATTTGAATTTTAAAATCAATACTGCCTTTATTTATCATTTTACAAATTTTCTTATACTTCTCTTTGTCACTAAAAAGGTTCAGTACTTTAACATTAATGAAAAAGACTCCCTCCAAATATTTAAGTTGTCATATTTCAGTTCTCTTTAGATGTCATCATTACTATTTTAGGAAAGAAATAAAATTTTTTTCTGATTACAAGATACATTTACAAATTGTTTATTATTTGATATAGAAAAAACTCGATGTATAAAATTGCTTTAAAATATTTAAGAAATAAGGGGCTGGAGCGATAGCACAGCGGGTAGGGTGTTTGCCTTGCACGCAGCCGACCCGGGTTCGATTCCCAGCATCCCCTGAGCACCGCCAGGAGTAATTCATGAGTGCAAAGCCAGGAATAACCCCTGTGCATCGCCAGGTGTGACTCAAAAAGCAAAAAAAAAATAAGAAGAAATAAAACTAATAATGTTACCATGCAGAGAGAGAAGTGTGATTAATTTGATCTTAAGCTTTTAATCATTTATATATATTAAAATATGACATTTAAATTGCATTAAACTTTATTATGCTATACTTTTTAATTTAAAATTTTATTGCAAACATTTTTTATTTAATCAGGAGGTAAATAAGATCATTTATTCCATTTGCCTTTTCAACTTGGAGTTAGACAATTCTTTATTTTAATGGGTTTCCTAGTAAAAGGTTTTCTTTGTTTTGGGGTTTTTTTTTTTTTTGCTTTTTTGGTCACATCCGGTGATGCATAGGGGTTACTCCTGGCTCTGCACTCAGAAATTACCTCTGGCAGTGCTCAGGGTACCATATGGGATGCTGGAAATTGAATCCAGATTGGCCGTATGCAAGGCAAACACCCTACCCGCTGTGCTATTGCTCCAGCCCCTGGTCAAAAGTTCTTACCATACAAAACTTTATTCAAAAAAATATCTTAAAATTAACTGGACTCACAGTTGGAGTGCAGAAGGTACGGCATTTGCCTTACATGCAGTTGCATCGGGCCTGACCTAGTTCAAATCCCAGCAATGCATTTGTCCCTCCTCTCTTTCCCTCCAGCACCATCAGGGATCATTCCTGAGCACTAAGTGTGGCCCCAAAAGTAATAAAAATTAACTAGTATCAACATGAGTAAGTTAACTATCTGCATTATAAAGTAAAAGGTATATTGAACAGTATAAGCATTTTATTCCTTATTTTTACCACTCAAGTCATCAACTCTATAATAATATGAAATATCTTAATTTCCAAAGATAATTAAGGTTTGGACCTTTTTGTTTCAGAAAAGCTGACGAGGCACTTAGGATACAAGAAAATAAAAAAGATTCAGAATTAATGAAGAAACCAAAACGCAAAAATATTGGTATGATTAATGGTTTGTCATTTTTGTATTCTTGCTGAAGTTGGGGGAGTTGAGAACCAGTTTTTAAATTTTATTCTAATATAGGTAACATGGTTGTAATAGCATTCATATTTATGGTATTAATATATAGAGTTACGGCAATCCACCACCAACAAAGTGCCCATGACCCTCCACCACTGTTCTCATGTAACTATAGTTGGCTATGTTTTTAGGCTCCATGAGTGACAATACTATTAATGTTCCAACCCTACACTCCACCAGAGTACCCACTTCCCTTCACTGATGGCTTAGCACCTATAGTTTTTAATGTCAGCTATTGACAGTGTGAGCCTATTTCCCAGTTGGTCCATGAAAGTCCAGATTTATGTCTATGGGCCTGAAGTATTTGATCTCCTTTCATTCTCAACACTCAATTGCTCCAACTTGAGTACTAAATTACATTGTTGCTGAAGCAATGAATTGATAAGAAAAAGGCTTATGACATAAAAACCTATGGTGAGGAAGTGAACACAGTGGGATGGTATAGAGCATGTCTTCAAATGGTTGTCCTTATCATGGATGACACAAAACAGGCTTTACTTCTGGAATTGAAATTACTTCTATTAACAGGACTCTGAAGGAGTTAACAGATAAACTCCCACCATGCCCATTTCTTGGCACCTACACTACCATTTCCAATATAGATGGGATCCATGAAGTAAACAGGGGTCTGTGATATGGAAAAAGAAAATCACTACAACATTATTTTAAATAACCTTTAACTGAAGCATAGTATTTTCTACAACAAGGTGATAAGCCACAATAATATTGGTGTACTTTGATTCTGTTTCCAGAAGAAATGAATATACTTTCATATCATATTATAGCATTATATCTCTTTTTTTACTCTAAGGATAAATCTACTGTTCATGTTAATTAATGCATTAGTAAAGATGCACAAATATCCTATGGTACAAAAATATTTTGATCTCTTGATGAAAGTTTTCAATGCAGCTTAGTATGTTAATATTTTGTGTATTTTCTTGTGTATTTTAAGGACCACTAAAGGTCTTTAATGGAGGCAGAGACAGTGCAGAGGTTAAGGCACTTGTCATGCATGCTCCAATTCAAAGCCCTGACACCACATGTGATCCTCCAACCATCTCCAGGAGTGATCACAGAGCATGAGTAAGCTCTGCACACTGCCAGGTGTGCGCCCCCCCAAAAAAGGGCAAAAAATAATAGTAATAAATAAAGGTTCATAAGTCCCAAAGTCTTTCACAAAGAATGTCTGAATTCTCCATCCCTATACTACAAGTCACCCCCAAACTGTGAAATAACCACCGTATTATATAAAATACATAATATGCATAAGAATAAGGCTTATAGAGAACAACATGAACACATGTTAGATGGAGAGGACTCTTTTTAATACTCTAACCATAAGAGATACTCAGCTTAAAGACATTTGAATTTACAGTGTAGAGTATGTAACTTTATTCTAAACCCTAGTGGTATTAGCAAATACAGCTACTGTTTTATGGTGTAGATCACCTTAATTTCCTCCAAATAACGCTAAATTCACAAAGTCCAAATTGCTTACTTGGAAGCCACATGCTCTATACTCCTGGTCAGACTCAAGAAGTAAGCATCTCCAGGATGCTTTCCTCTAGGTGTTTCTCATCCATATTTTGATTAAAATTCAGAGGCAAGCACTATTTCACATCACTAGAATCTGATTCTGTGTAGGTACTCATTAGGACAAGAAATTCCCACAGTCCAGAAAACAAGCTCATTTTATTTTTTCATACCAGATTTGGGCAGAAAGTGCCTTTTTCTGTAGTCCATATTGTTCATTCATTAAAGAGAATTTGAAAGATAGGTTTTCCAACATTACCTTTCACCTCATTTTCCTGAAAGACTTCCATGCATCTATTTCTTACAGTGCTCATCAGCAACATGAAACCAGACTTATATCTAATGCTTTGATAAGTGTGTACTATTATTTTTAATTAGCTACAAGAAAACACATGATAACATATATGGAGCTGCTTGGTGCTGCTCAATAGACATATAATGCAAGTTGCATTGCATAAAAAAGGAGCAACATGAAAAGATAAAAGGGATAGGTGCAATTAACTATTTTTTAACATATGTAAACTATTATTTTAACATGCAATCACTAACACCATTAATATAGTTCACATTCCATACTTCATACCAAATTTTTGAAGTCTGTTGTTTTTGTTTAGGGGCCATACCCAGCTGTGCTCAGGAATTACTCCTGGCTTTGCACTCAGGAGTCACTCCTGGTGGTGTTCAGGGTGCCATATGGGATGCCGGAGATCAAACCCAGGTCAGCGGTGAGCAAGACATGCACTCTACCTGCTGAATTATTGCTCTGGTCCCTGCTGTGTATTTTTGTATTCATAGCACATTGGATAACATCATGACTAGTGGTCACATGTCAGAAAGTGGAACTCTAACCATTTTCTTATTGAATAGTCATTTGTACAGGCCCCATTTTCTTGCTTTTTTAATATTTTGAATTCAGTAAATATTTTTTTCCATCTGAATAAACATTTTTTACACTGTGGTCCCGCAGAACTCTGAGCACATGACTATTATCTTTGGCAACTACAGTTTAAAGGGCTACAGTATAAAACATGCTTCTTTTTGTTTGGGTGGGGTGTTTGGGGACATATATGGTGTGATTCTAAAGTACCTCCTACCCAAGCAGTTATCCATTCTTGGGCCCAGGCATTTAACCACCAGGCAGTTGACTTAGTACTCCTGGGAGTGGTCCCCAAGGGCCCCTGAGCACTACTTGGGAGACCTAATAGTAATATATATTTATTCACTAAAATAAATTTATTTCTCCTCATTCTTTTTTCTAGACCTAGATGAAATTGAAACTGAGGAAGCATATGCTGAAAATGAGTTCGAACCAAAATTATCCAGAAACCCTGTGACAACTGAGGAGGTTAAGGGTGCACCAGAAGAGTCTGAACCAACTGACAATGCTGAAATAACCAATGAATCAGGTTAGACTTTATTGAAGTATTACATCCTAACTTCCACCCAATTTCATTGTTGGGGAGGAGGTAGTGTGGGGCTGGGGATATATGTGCATGTCTATGTGTGGGCATGTTAATAAAGTAGAAGCAGGTTAAAAACAGTGAGATAGGCTCCCTCATGAAAGCAGTTTATTTGCCCAAATCACATGGTTAGAAGTACAGAGGAAAAGTCACAAATGTGCCCTGTAGAAATTATACTCAGAGCCACCTGCAGCATTTGTGGGCCATATTGCTGGGAAAATAGAAAAGAGTCACTAAAATTAATAAAACATGAAATTTTTCCTTTTATCATAGTCTCTTAATTTGTCACGTGTTTTTGTTTGCTATTTAATATCATTCAAAGTATAGAAAAAATCTATTTTAACTTACAAGCATAAATTTCACTGCACATTTTATGCTTGTAATACCATCTTCCAATGCAGATATAATAAGAATATGCAATTCCAATGCAATTAAAATTGTACAACTAGAATTTTTCGGCTCATACATGCATCTGTATTCTTAGCAGAACACAAAGTCATTTTCATGCATGAAATATCTCAGTTTTTCATTTCTACAGAATTCTACCAACACACTCTACTTGAACTGCCTAGTGATTAAGGAAAGGTTGAGAGGAAAAGGAGCTCTGGACAGTTTTCCTTTGCTTATATGTATTCATTCTCAGCATTTAGCTAAAAAAGGAAAATAATATGAGAGATAAAGGGTATAATGGTGCTTGTTGGCCTTTCATGTCTCTTTGAATGGTGTTACTTCTGCATTGAAAGCAAAGTCTATTTTCAAGGAAAAACATGGTCTCTTGAGCTGCCACATTCTTCATTCTGCCTACCAGTCAGTTGCATACTACGTGGGTTTCCAGGGACATCTGGAACATTCACAAGATCTATATGACAAGGAATGGCAAATATATACTGTACACATATCTTCTCACTAGTATGATCTATTGTCCCACTGGAGTCCCTTTGAAATTTCCAAACAAAACAAGGGTCAAAGGTAAAATTTCAGAATTTATAAACAGGGCCAAAGAAAGCATTCAGAGGTTATGCACTTGCCTTGAGGAAAGCCAACCAATTGATCCCCAATCCTCTGAGTACAGAGCCAAGAAGAGCCCTTTGGTACCCCTGGGATGAGACCCCCAAAACAAAAATGTGACCACCAAAGAATATTCAGACATTAAACTACATGTGAGACCATTTTGAGCACAAAATGCTGTGCTGTTACACAGATCAAACAGCCATCAGGCTAGATCTGCCTCTAAGGCTCAGTTTGGTGGGGTGGGCAAGGCAAAAAAAGGAGTTTATGTACAATATAAACCAGTAAGACTTCAAACCTTCAACACAGCGAGCTTAGACACAGCACTGGCTTCTATCACATTCTTCATCCCAAATACTTCATGGGCATGTAACAGAGGCATATATTAATACACAGGGTCCAGAGAGATAGTACATTAAATAGGGCCCTTGTTTAATCTCTGGCATTTCAGATGTCACTCGTAGGAATGATCCCAAAGCAAAGAATTAGGGTAAGTCCTAATAGTCCCATTGGGCTGTGGCTCAAAACAAAAACAAATATTTTTTCTAGAGCGGGCCCAGTAACGTCTCCCCTATGAGACTTTGTTGTTACTATGTTTGGCATATCAAATATATCACAGGTAGTTTACCAGGCTCTGCCGTGAGGGCGAGATACTCCCGAGAGGGGCGGAGGAATCGAACTTGGGTCAGCCATGTTGGCTGCGTGCAAGGCAAACGCCCTACCCGCTGTGCTATCGCTCCAGCCAATAAACATTGGGAAATCCATTCATTCCTCTAAGTATTTATTAAATTTCTCTAAGTGTCAGGCAAATTCACAAGCTCTTCCCTAGGCACTGTGGGTTGAGCAGTGATGAAAACAACATCCTTGTCCTCTAGAAGCTGCTGTTCTAGGAAGTGAAGAACAGAATAAATATTAAATAGCTAAGATAATTTTTGACAGTATTGAGTGCTGCATAGATGCTACAGCAGTGTCTGGTACTCATTCAGTGATTGTTAAATGAATAATCAAGGTAGACATTGCAGGAATAGTTTAGAGGGAGCAAACTAAGCAATAAATTCATGAACTATGTCATACTTGAGAAGAAACTAAAAAGCTAGAAATGACCTGGGCAAAGATCAGTCCACTGCAAAGGTCAAAGGAAGGCATAGCTACAGCTGGTCCGAGAAGAAACTTGGTGTGACTGCAGAGAGCTGGCAGGAAGGCAGTGGGGGATGAGACCAGAAAGCCTGGCAAAGAGCCAAGGCTTAGGAAGTTGGGGGTATTTATGTATGTATGTGTGTATGTATGTATGTATGTATGTATGTATGTATTTTGCGGGAGGGGCTTTTTTTTTTTTGGCTGGCCGGTGGTTTTTTTTTTTTTTTTTTTTGCTTCTTGGGTTACACACAACACTGCACAGGGGTTATTTCTGGCTCATGAACTCAGGAATTACTCCTGGAGGTGCTTGGGGGATATATGGGATGCTGGGAATCAAACCCGGGTCGGTCGCGTGCAAGGCAAACGCCCTACCCGCTGTGCTATCCCTCCAGCCACAGTATGTATATATGTATGTATGTATGATCTAAGTCAATAAGGTCTCAAAAACAAAAATAACATTGTTTTTCCACATTGGCTATTATATAAGAAGTTACTTAATTGTTCATCTCCAAGTTTTCATTTGTAAAACCTGGCAGGACTATTTCCTCAGCAGTATTTTTGGAGTTAGACATTTCCTTTACAGCACCAAGCATAGAGGAGATGCTTGAGTGCCACATTTTCTGGGCTAGCACTGAAGATTTCCTTTCTCACCTGTCTCACGTAATCTTTCTAGTTAAACATAATGCACATAATGTAAGCAGCGTTTTGAAATATTTTATACTTAATCTTTAATAGTGGAATAATGTTTCAAAATACAAACACTAACTATTAGATTTATTTTTTTTCTGAACTTACTGAGGACACTACAGCTGAAGCAGAAATTCCAAAAGGTTCCAAGGAGGACCTGGAAACTGAAGATCTAAATGTTGCAGGTTAGATTATGAAATAATAATCATTAATGAATAATAGTGTTTTACATATTCTTTTGCTAAAATCTATTCCTCATTTAAGGTATAACATAAGTTTACTGTTTTCTTTAGATTTTGTATACAAATTTATATATATTATAATCATATAGTTTATCATATTCAAAGTCCACTTGGGGGCCACAGAGATAGTGCAATGGGCAATGTCTTGCACAAGCTGACCTGGGCTCAATCCTGAACACCACATATGATCCCACAAGCACTGCCAAGACTAGTCCCTGAGTACAGACCCAGGAGTAAGTCCTGAGCACAACTGTGTGTGGCCCAAAAATCTAAAAATAAAAAATAAAAATGCATTTAGTCAGCATATGACACTATCATCAGATTTTATTTAAGTATTTTATGAACAGTAAAATTTTCCATGTGGTAAACAGAAATAATACAGCAGGTAGGTACTTGTCTTGCATAAATATGACCCAAGTTCAAGCCCTAGCACCCCATATGACTACCAAGAGTGATCTCTGAGCACAGGAGGTGAGACCCAAAAATCAAACACAAAAATAAAATTTTTCCATTTGAAATGCATGTTATTTATCCAAATGATTTTGATTTTACTAATAGATAATTTATTTTCAATATAAAACACAAATAACATAAAATAATTAATGCCTATTACTGTTTAGAACATTAAGTTTGTAAATAACTTGGATAGTATGAATAAAGATCTCGTATTTAAAACTTCTTTTTTCTTTTCTTAACCTTTATTCAAAAGTTTCACTCCCTGAGTTTCCAGCAGATGCTTATCCTGAAGTACCTGAAATGGAGCCATTTAAAGAGAAAGTTAAATATTTCAACAATTACTGGAAATTTATTGAAGCAGTGATATTAGAGAATACTCAGCTTCTAAACCTGGAAATCACTGACAAAACTTCAGAGGAACTATTACAAAAAGTTGTTGATACAATAGAAAGTAGGAGTTAATTCATATTTATTATAAATTTCTGGTAATATTATTAAAAAGGACTGTGGACCTATAAAGCCTTTTTTGATAGTTTTATAGTAAAAACATTCACTATATCCAGGGGAAATGTTTAAAATAATTAACAATTCTTGGGGCCTGAGAGTTGTCACAGTGAGTCGGGCCCTCACCTTACTCAAGGCCAACCTGGTTTCAATCTCTAAGTCCCATCAGGAGTGATCTCTAAGCACAGAGCTAGAAGTAATATATGAACATCCCCAAGTGCCGCTCAAAAAACAAAACAATAACAACCAATAAAAGAATTCTTGTAGCACAGGCACCAATCACAATAGCCACAGGGCACAAACAGCACTGTCCTGGATACTTGTCACATAAAGAATTTCTAAGGGCCTGTGTGCAGTATATTTCAACTGAAACATTAGTAATTACAAGTCAGTTTTCTAATCTTTACTATAGTTCTCTCTGTGGCTACTATTCTAATATTAGAATTATAGTTCTATAGCTAATATTTTCTTAATATTCTCCCAATTCTCTCTCTCTCTCTCTCTCTCTCTCTCTCTCTCTCTCTCTCTCTCTCTCTCTCAGGACCTTTTCAATATTCTGGGTGGGAATTAAATGTGGAAGATTTTGAAGAAGAAACAGAAGACTATCAGGCTGAAGCAGAAGTTGAGGAGGATGAAGGAGAAGAGGAGGAGGAAGAGGAAGAGGTATGATTCTTTAATTGTGGCTCATTCACATTGGTCAAGTTATTGAAGATGCACATTTCCAGAGTGAGAGGTACATGTGTGGGTCCCAAGTGAACAAGGCCATGTCCTCAATTTGATAAACATGGTCACACAGCCTTTCCTTCCATGCCAGGGAAATGACCACTGAAGTGCCAGGGCTGCTCCGTAGGGTGGTATATTAAGCCCAAGGGGAAAAAAGAAAAGGGAAATCTTCATTTTTCTTCCCACTGGAAAATTTGTAGACATTAGTGACAAAAATGTTTGATAAATTTAGCACTAGTAGATATTCTATATAAAATAATATCTGAATTTTTGAGAGACTGCTTGTATGATAATAATGAGTGGAACTCTCAAATATAATCAACTTTCTAGCAGGTACCAATCTACTCCTTTGACACCAGAATTCTGAGAACTATTCTCATTTGACAGCCTCTTTTAGCTGGGGGCTTTGTCAGTGAAACTAAATAATGCATTTCATGAACATCCAGTCAAAAATAACTTTATCGTTTAATTTTAATCCAAATATACATGTATCAAACAACAAGTGTTAGGTGGTGGTATTCTATAACTTTCAGCATGTTATCAGTAAGAAACTGCTGAGATCTTTAATCAGGAGAACTATAGGTTGAGAATTTGTGGCCAGGGAGTTAGCTCAGTAAGTTAGCTGTAAGGGGAAACTTACATGCTCCAGACCACTGGATTGATAACTAGACCCTAGAGAGGAAGAAAGGAGAGAGAGAGAGAGATAGAGAGAGAGAGAGAGAGAGAGAGAGAGAGAGAGAGACAGAGACAGAGACAGAGACAGAGACAGACAGACAGAGACAGAGACAGACAGAGACAGGGAGAGACAGAGAGAGAGAGAGAGAGAGGAGAGTTCCATGGACTGAGCTCCTGCTTTGCAGGCAGGAAACCTGTGTCCAATACCAGGCACCACAAGCGTCCAAAGAACTGCCAGGAGTCATCTCTGAGCTCATAGCTGGGCATAGCGCCTAAGCACTTCAGGTCATAGGTTAAAAAACAAAAGACAGAGTTGAACACCCACGAATAGTGAGATAAGTACCAGGCGGTCTGCTCCAGGCCTTGGAAGTCGGCCTCACATGCTGGGGGAAAAGGCAGCTCAGATAGAGAAGGGAACACCAAGTAAAGCATATTTGGAGGACTCGCTCGGGATGCGAGATGTGTGCTGAATGTAGACTACAGACTGAACACGATAGCCATTCAATACCTCTATTGCAAACTACAACACTCTAAAGGAAAGAGTGAGCAAAAGGGAATGCCCTGCCACAGAGGTGGGGTGTGTGTGTGTGTGTGGTGGGGGCGGATGAGGTGGTGGGTGGGAGGGCTACTGGGATCATTGGTGGTGAAGAATGGGCACTGGTGGAGGGATGGGTACTCAATCATTCTATTACTGAAACCCAAGCACGAAAGTTTCTAAGTCTACAACTGTACCTCATGGTGTTTCGCTAATAAAATAAATAAATAAATAACTAAAACAAATAAATCAGAAAGAAGGATATGAAGTTTTCTAGACATCCACTGGAAGCAGTGAAACGCAGTAGTTCCAGAGGAATGATAGGAATGATGAGGGACACACCGCAGTTTCCCAGCTTGCTGTCTGTACAGTCCTGTGCTTCTTTCAGGCCTAGAGGAGGAGGAGGGACCCAGGCACAGCCTAGCAGACTCCTTGATTGAAGGAGAGAGAGACAGAGACGGAGACAGAGAGATAGAGAGAAACAGAGACGGAGACGGGGGGGGGGGGGAGAGAGAGAGACAGAGAGACAGAGAGACAGACAGAGACAGAGAGACAGAGAGGACAGAGAGAGACAGAGAGAATCCCAGGAGACTGCAGAATCTGGTGTTGACAGAGGAGAGGTAGCAAAGAGAAAAGTACACGAGATCAAACTCCAGAGCCCTATATAAAGTATCCCCTTCCAGAATATTGATTAGTATTTTCACACAGAAAAGACACTTCAGGCTGGAGTGTTTTTACTGTGTATCCCTGGACAAGATGCAATAAACCCGTAGTTGAATCTCACCCACTGTCACTGTCACTGTCCTCCCGTTGTTCATCAATTTGCTCGAGCGGGCCCAGTAATGTCTCCATTGTGAGACTACTTGTTACTGTGTTTGGCATATTGAATATGTCATAGGTAGCTTGCCAGGCTTTGCCATGCTGGCAAGATACTCTCGGTAGCTTGCTGGGGTCTCCAAGAGGGGTGGAGGAATCTAACCTGGTTCAGCCAGGTCAGTTGCTCTACCGCTGTGCTATCGCTCCAGCCCAGGGCTAGAAATAATTCAATTTTCAATTAACTATAAAATATCTTAAATAGGACCAACAAATTAAAAATTGCTAACAACAAAAAAATGGCCTTGTGAATATCAGCAACAATAAAAGGAGAAGTGTATTACAAAACCTCAACAAGATATACTGTTGTTGTCAAAGATAAGCAAAGCTGGTCAGTGATGAGAATAAACTTTTGTCAGTAGTGACTACTGTCATAGATAAAAGATTCCAATGTAAACTGAACTCTGATTTGGACAAGGTAAATGGGTGTTTTTAAAGGAGAATTAGGGAGTCGAGGTAGGGCAGGCGAAGGGCTCAGTAAGTAGAGTCAGAGAAGTAAAAATATAACAAAAGTTTTATCAGAATAAATGCAGCTAGTCCAGCTGTGACTTCTAGATAATAAGTCTTGAAGGTAGGATTCTGTGTTGTATAAGAAAATGGTATTGGGCCGGAACGATAGTACAGTGGGTAGGGCGTTTGCCTTGCACACGGCCGACCCAGGTTCAATCCCCAGCATTCCATATTGTTCCCCAAGCACCGCCAGGAGTAATTCCTGAGTGCAGAGACAGGAGTAACCCCTGATCATCGCTAGGTGTGACCCAAAAAAGAAAAAAAAAAAAGAAAAAGAAAAAGAAAATGGTGTTAATAAGGGATTGGAGGAAAGAAGGTGAAATTCACTATGCACCATGGTGTGTTTTTAATAAATTTAAACTAAGTATCTTAAAACAATTTTTAACAGTTATCATTGTTTAGATAGCATGATTACACAGTGCTGCATTTATGTTTTTGATACATGTACATAGTTACTGCACTTTCACCACCAAAATGCCCGAGACCCACTCCCACTGTCCTGATGCCATTTCTAGTCTGCCTCCTTAGAAAATCATTTTGAAATGTGATTCTACTCTTTTACATCAGGCTCCTGAAAGTACTTGAAACACCTTTGTCTTATCACAAATGAAAATATATCGAGTACTTGCAATTGAACTAAATAAAATATTTCTAAATTATTTGCTTTTAATATTCACTTACTAGGAAACAGAACATTTTGAGGCATCTCCCATTTCGTTTTCAATGGATCACAAGTTGTGACTCTGACTCAGGTTTTACTTCTGAGGAATAATTTTCATTTAAAAAAAGGACCTATACCCCAGCACACTTGGGTTTGTAGAAAAGACACTGGGGTTTGTAGACAAGACAAGGAACCTCTTCATTCTCCATGCTTCAGGCTGGGATGTGAACTTAGGGGATGCAAAAACTTATTTTTAATTAAAATAGTTTAAGAAGTGGCCTCTAAAGCATAGGGATTAAGGAATTTACCTTGCATGTGGCACCAAGCCTGGGTTAATCCCTGTTACTGCATTATGGCTGACTCCTGGCTTTGCACAGTGAGCAAAAAAATATTTTTTTAAAAAAAAGACATATCGATATGCCAGACACAGTAACAACAAAGTCTCCAATGGAGACGTTACTGGGCCTGCTCGAGCAAATCGACGATCAACGGGAGGGCCTTTACCTTTGGGCTGGAGCGATAGCACAGCGGTAGGGCGTTCGCCTTACAAGCGGCCAACATGGCCGACCCGAGTTCGATTCCTCTGCCCCTCTCGGAGAGCCTGGCAAGCTACCGAGAGTATTCGATATGCCAAACACAGTAACAACAAAGTCTCCAATGGAGACGTTACTGGGCCTGCTCGAGCAAATCGACGATTAACGGGAGGGCCTTTACCTTTTAAAAAAAAGAATTGGACTTTGTGGATTGCTTTATTGTGGATTATACATTATTGCTTTTGTGTTCCCATATTTAGTGTTGTATCAAAATAACTTTTCAAATGCTGTCTTCCAAACTTTGAAAAATATTTCCAGAGTGAAGAAAAAGCTAAAGAGAAGAAAAGACATTTGGGAGATTCGAAGCATTTTTGTCCAGTGGCTCTCAAAGAATATTTCATTCTACAGCCAGGCAACACAGACGATGCAGTTAAATATCGAGAGAAGATCTACTACATGTCAAGTATTGAAGCAAAAGAAAAGTTTTTGGAACATCCCGAGGATTATGTGGCTCACAAAGAACCATTAAAGGTGAAAATAGTCTTCCAATCCTAGTGAGTGCTCCTGAGTATGTTTTAGGGGACTACTCAATCTCCTCCATTTTATTTAATAGTGAGGTCTCAGATAGAGCGAAAGTGTGGGGGATAAACCACTCTCTTTACACATGGTTTTTATCCCTGGCACCACAAATGATCACTGTTAGGAGTGACCTGAGTACAGAGCCAGGAGAGAGTAAGCCCTAAGCATCACCACACAAAATCCTCCAAACAATTAATATGGAAGTCCCAAATCTGTTTGAACAACATAATGAAAACTTGTAAGTTTCATTAACAACTCTTTGTGATTTATCTTTTTAGCCCAAGTGGAAAGATACAGATAACTAATTGCTTGCTGTGTTAGAGTCCAGCTATGCTGGCTAGTGTCTTTGAACAAAGCAGTCTGCTAACTCTAAAATAGGATCTGGGGGAGTTGGGATTTAGTGACTGGTAGTCTCTAAGGAGTGGGAGTGGGCTGACATCATTTATAAAGTATTAATCAATGATCAACCATGTCAGCCTGACACATACTCAGAGGCATGATACTCAGAGGCATGATCATACTCAAAGGCATGGTCATAGTCCATGTCTGAATTGTTGACTCTCTAGAGAGAGGAATGACACTGATTAGCTGCATCACAAAGGAGTGTTCCCTAAGATGAGTTATCCTTGATCAAGTAAACCATTGTAAAACGAGGAAATGGCTGTTGTTGCCATGGTTTTTAAAAGACTTGGCTTTATCTAAGTTTAAGAGACTATTTCAATTTTTTTCTTTTTTATCACCATTATAATAGTTTTCTACCTTTACTACCTTTAAAAATATATATGGTGCGGCTGGAGAGATAGCACAGCGGGTAGGGCGTTTGCCTTGCACGCAGCCGACCCGGATTTGATTCCCAGCATCCCATATGGTCCCCTGAGCACCGCCAGGAGTAACTCCTGAGTGCAGAGCCAGGAGTAACCCCTGTGCATTGCCGGGTGTGACCCAAAAGAGAAAATAAATAAATAAATAAAACATTAAAATATATATATATGGTTATCTACCATATATATTTCTTAAAATATGCCCAAAAGAACAAGTACCAGGTGATTTCACTGATACAAGGTGCCTATAATAGGCCATAGGCCATCTCACAGATTCAGAAAATGGAATAGTGGTTACCAGAGGCTGGGGGGTGAGGGGAAAGGAGAACTACTGTTGACCAGTAAAGAGTTCTAGATTAGGATGTTTGACAAAGTTCTGGAAAGAGATAGTGGTAAAGGTTATACACAACATTATTAATGTACTTATAAGCGTACTTATAAATGCCACTGAATTGTGACCTAAAACTGGTCAAAATTATAATATTTTATGATGTGTTTATATTGCTGCAATTATCAGAGAACATATGACAATACTTCATTCATTTTTACAAACAGAGCACACATATCATTGCTCTGCTGTTAGACGAGTCTTCATTTTTATATTTTGTTTTCTTATCCTGTTCCATAAAAACATAGATTCTTGGGGCCACAGAGATCATAGAGGAGTTCAGACACTTTCCTTGTGTGTGGCTAACCTTAGTTTGATCACCAGCTCCACATTTTTTCCCCTGAGCACCAGTAGGAGTGATCCCGGAGCACAAAGCCAGAAGCCCTCAGGAGGATGACTCAAAACAATAAAAGATTAAAAGGAATATAGATTCTTTTTGTATTCTTTACAGTATGTATTTTTGTTGTTTGAGGACAAAACCCTACTGCACTCAGGGGCTACTCCTGGCTCCGTGCTTAAGAGTGACTCCTCGTGATGCTTGGGGGAATCATAACATGGTGCCAGGAATTTGCACCAAGGGTCAGTGTCATACAAGGCAAGTACTTTGCCTTTACTCTATACTATCTTTCCAGTCCAGTCTAGTGGATATAATATTTTCATGTTTTTTCATATAATTTTTTGGCAATTTTTATATATTTTATTTTCATAAAGTAGTTCACATAAGTTCATTACAGATAATATTTAAATTCCAATCCCACCACCGAGCAAAAAGAGGGAAGTGTGTGAAGGTTATTGTATTTCACTCTGGAGCCATTTAAGCCCCTATATAAGAGAATACAAGAAAATATGTTATAACCAAACAAATGTGTGCTACTTTTGGTATGTAAGTGTATTATAGTATAAGAGGTCACACGACCTCAAATGCAGTTATGCACTACAGGAAATTCTGTGTTGCTCTCTTCCGGGAGTTTTAGTTTATAGTCTCTGGGTCTTGGCCATTGATGAGATTACGTGGCATTGGGGGCAGTTTGTGGATGTGACTGCCAAGCTGGAAAACTGGGGAGCTGGGTGGAGGAGACCCAGTCCCAATCCGAGCGGACTTGGAGATCTCAGTCACGAATTTCCACATACCTGGGTTTTTCTACCAGTCTCCTCTTGGGTGAGGTTTATCCAGGCATGTGGAGAGTGGCCTTGAGCATGGCTGCAGTTGGGTTCTGGAGGTTTTAGGCTGCTGGGGTGCTGCTTGGGGTGGGGTGGGGAACTCAACCCCCCCCTCCCCGAGGTGCTGCAGTGAAGACAGCCAGGTGTGGGTCTAATATCAATGAAAGTTTATGTAAATTTTCTATGGATGTTAAAACGCTTAATCGGTTTTATTTTTTCTTCCCTTTCTTCTTTTTGGTCTTGGGGCCACACCCGGCAGTGGTCAGACATTACTTCTGGCACAGTTCTTCAGGGTCAGGTTCGGCAGCACCCCCAGGACCATGTGATGCTGAGAATGGAAGCCAGGCCTCCTGCATGGAATCATGTGCTCAACCCATTAAACTATCTCTCTGGCCTTTAATCATTTTGATGTACCATTTTAGAACCTAATTTATCATATATCTTTCCACTGTTTTTTATAGTGTGATTTTTTTGACTGTGAATATGAAATAGTTGTCAGAAAGTCATTGAACATATCATTCTTAGTTTCCCTTGATTTAATGAGTATAATTTCTTATAATGATACCCATGTCATATTCGATATGCCAAACATAGTAACAATAAGTCTTATAATGGAAATGTTACTGGGCCCCCTCGAGCAAAATTGATGAACAATGAGAGGACAGTGCTACAGTGCAGTGAAATTTCTTAGAATGGTACATAAAATCAAAATGTGTAAACCACAATACATGTCATTACTTGAAATAATATCAATGCTGCAGAACACGACGTGTAAGTTATTTATTTGTTGTTTTACTATTTTACAATACTGGGGATCAGACCTAGGTCTCATGTAACATACAATTTAAACTCTTCTGGACAGGGGCTGGAGAGATAGTATAGCATGTAGGTTGCCTTGCACACAGCTGACCAAGTTCCATCCCCAGCATCCCATATGGTCCCCTGAGCACTGCCAGGAGTAATTCCTGAGTGAAGAGCCAGAACTATACCATGAGCATTGCTAGGTGTGACCCAAAAACCAAAAAAATTTAAAAATAAACTTTATAAAATAATTCAGACTATGTCATAAACCTTCATTTTTATGTCGCAAAATATGTGGATAGTCATGCCTTGGGATGACTGCTAGTATTGGGATAATTTAAAGGCTGACTTTTTGTCATCTTTTGTAGATGTAGTTCCTCTTACTGTGTTTCAAGAGTTAAGTGCATGCCTTGAATACAGCCACCTCATGTTCCATCCTGGACACCAAGGCCCAAGCACTGCCTACTCCCCTCCTCCTCCACCGTACTACAGGGTCAAAAGGACACCAAATGCTCTGGCCATTCCATTAAACCAGCCACCTAATTTTCTGTGAACTGCCTCAGAGAGTGGAGAGCACTGAGCTCCAGAGAACTGCTTGGGAGCCCCCTAATTTTTTTTAACGAAACTCATTTTATTTTATTGATTTCTTTTAGCATCTAATATCAAGGTGATATTATGGCTGATCAAGATGATTCCTACAAATCATTACTGTTTCTTACCTGTTTAACCCGTAGTTTTGCTTTCTAGCATCAAAGCATCCATGGATTTACATAGTGATAATTCCTATTCAATCTTAGGAAGGATAGTTAATTTAACCTTTTTTCCCCTGCTAAATCACTAAACTTTTCTTTCCTCCATTCTCCCTTTGCCTCTCTTTTCTCTCCAACCTACCCCTCCTGGGCAGGCTCCTCCTTTAAGAATATGTCTGTTGGGCCCTCATGGCTCAGGCAAAACTGTCTGTGGAAGAAAATTGGCAGAAAAATTTGGCATTTTTCACATTCAGTTTGAAGAATTTCTCCAAGAAAAACTAATGCTCAAAACTGAAAAAAGAGCTGGGCCTGAATTTGAGGAGGAGTCTGATGATGAACAGGCTTTTAAACAAGAATTCGAAGAGCTTGCAGCTCAAGCTCATGTTGCAATTAAGATAAGCAACACAAAGAAGCCAAAGGTAATTATATGAATATTCTCTTTTCAGATAATTGTGCTTATTACTATCATTTTAGGGAAGTAGAATATAAGCAAAACAAAGCTTGATAAAATTGTTGAGTCACATAAACTCCAGCTTATATTGCCCAACCAGAACATAAAATATTGGGGCCCGAGTGATAGCATGCAGGTAGGGCACTTACCTTGCACTGTCAACCCAGGTTTGATCCCCAACACCCCATATGGTCCACCAGTTACATCAGGAGTGATCCCTGAGTGCAGAGCCGAGAGTAAGCCCTAAGCACCACCAGGTATGGCCCTAAAACAAAAAACAAACAAACAAAAAAGAAAGATATAAAATACTGAATTTTATATGAGTTCAATAAAGCTCACCAAAGTTTTTCCTGATAAGCCTGTTATATAGTATTTATTGGGGATTGTGTTATTTCAAATGTCTGTTCAAGACTATAAGGATTTTTATTGTTGTTTTCTGCCATGTCATAAAAATCTGCCCCAACCCCACCAGAGGAGTTCTCAAAATATCCTTTTCTAATGCTGCCTTGTATGTTTTTAAATATCTCCCATATGGTTTCTGCTTGGGATTATAAAAGAAAACTTTCAACTGTAACTCATTTTTTTTACCGTTTCCTGCGTTAGCCCCTTTCTTATGAAATAATGCCCTGTACAGGTACAGACTGTTTACAGAGCATAGCCTGGCTGATCAATCCTTTAGTCAGGATCTGGTGGAATCATTCTAAGATGTCTGACGGAAATAACCTAATCCTTATAGGCATGTAGGTCCAGCACAGGCTGATAAGGCTTTAGCGAAAAAGTATTCTGAGGCTGTGTATAAAAATTGGCTGGAGCGATAGCACAGGAGGTAGGGCATTTGCCTTGCATGCAGCTAACCAGGGTTTGATTCCTCCATCCCTCTCGGAGACCCTGGCAAGCTACTGAGAGTATCCTGCCCGCACAGCAGAGCCTGGCAAGCTCCCTGTAGTGTATTCGATATGCCAAAAACAGTAACAACAATTCTCACAATGGAGACATTACTGGTGCCCACTCGAGCAAATTCATGAACAAGGGGTGGACAGTGTTACAGTGACAGTGTATGAAAATCAGTCATGCTGTTTGTCAATGCTCCCTTTAGCTAAAGTAGATACTATTTAATATTTACAGTCCAAAGTGATAGTACAGTGGGTAGGCCACTTGCCTTGCACAAGGCCTACCCGTTTCGATCCCCATCATTCTATTGGTTTCCCAAATTCCACTAGGAGTATCCCTGAGCACAGAATCAAAAGTAAGCCTGAGCACTGCCAGGTGTGGTCTGAAAAAACAATAATTTTTTAAAAGGGAAAAAAGAAAAAACACAAAAAAATAAAATATTTATCAAAAAAGTATTTACAAAATGACCCTAGAAAAAGAAAACAATGGGTATCATGAAAACCAGCTAGTTAATACAGTTTCATTTGTTAATATGGGATTTTCATTTGGAAAATTCTTTTCTGAAGCTGGAATTTTGGTTTGGGTTTGTTTTGTTTTGCTTTTCTCAGCCTGTAGATGTAGAGCTTACTGAAGAAGAAGAAGCAATCAAGGCAAATCTAATGGAAAATGACCCATTGCCTTCTGAGATCCTTGAAAAATTCCTCTCTGAGTGGTGGTTTCAGGAACCAATACGGTATGTTGATTTGCATAGATTATCTATTTGCTGATCTTATATTTCTTTTATTCTTAAACATCAAAGTGTAATTAAGTGTAGATTTAATATTTTTGTCCCTTAACTTGCCTGTAAAATAGTAATTCTTGCTTGGAGTTCACATTTAAAATATCTGGGGCATTATTTTAAAAAATCATGATGCCAGGGGCCCACTCCAAAGCTATTGAATCTAATTATCTAAGTTTGTGGGGTTAGACCCAGGCACTGGTCCTCTGAGAGATACTCAGAGAACTCTAACAGCATAGTTGAAAACCCATTTTCTAAAGCCTATGCATCCTAATGAGCTACCAGATTCTTGTCCTCATAAACAATTATAGTTCAAAGCAATTCATAGTTGTCCATGATGTCATCCCTTATCCGAAAGTCAGAGAAGCCTGACACCAGACTGGACAAGTGAAGAATCTCTAGGTTACCAGAGTCTGACAACTTCACCTTGATTTTCTAACCAGAATTCTTTGCCCCAGTATTAAAGTGAAATATTATTGATAATAAGCAAACACCTATCTGGAATTTATTATATGCCAGGTACTATTCTATTGTATTTGTTCCTATTCTTTATAATTTTCTTAATCTTTACAATTACTTTAAAGGATAAAAATTTTATTATACTATTATGGTGAAAAGATAATAAAATGATATATGAATTCTACATGATATGCCATAATTCTGTATAGAATTAAAATAACATATAGAATTAAAAATAACTGATCAGTCCTCTGAACACTCTCTTGCTTAGTTCCTGACCTGAGTGAGTGGACTTTATTATTCATCAGCCTTTATTTTAATTTTTTGGTTTTGGGGGTCACACCTGGCAGTGCTTAGGGTTTGGCTCTGGCTCTGCACTCAGGGATCACTGCTAGGGAGGTCAGGGGACCATACCAGGGATTGAACTGGGTCAACAACATGCAAGGCAAACCCCTATCCACTGTCCGATCGCTCCAGTCTCCTCAACTTTTATTTTAACTTCCTATATCTTAAATTAGATCTATAGTTGTAGAAAATTCAGGAAGTTTGCCTCAACTATGTAATCATAGTCTATTCTTCATTAACTTTCGGACTTTATACTGCATTTTCTTTCAGTGGTGCTCAGGGACAGTTCCTGGCTTTGTGCTCAAGGATTGCTCTGCTCCCAACAGTGCTCCAGGGGAAACATGTGGTGCTGGAGATCAAACCCAGGTTTCCTGAATGCAAAGCATGTGCTCAGCCCATTGATCGCTCCTCTCCAGCCTTTATAGTACACATTTAAAAAAAAACTTACAGAATATTCTCTCTCATGTTGGAATATAAATAAATATAGTGGGGAAATAACAAGTGCCCAAAGTAAACAAATGCTGAGAATTGATCTTCAGTATGAGAAGAAGAGTTGTGGGAAGAATTTAGAATGGGAGGGGGCCCTGAGACAATGGTGGAGAGAAGCTAGTATTCTGGTGAAGAGTGATGTGAGAATGCTTTATACATGAAACCTTTATATTAACAGTATTTGAACCATGCGCCTAAAATAAAAAATGACAAAAACTTAACAATTAGAAGCAATTAGAAGTTAAAAGGAAATTTTAAAGGCCTGTGTAAGATAACTGAACATTATACAACCATTAAAACTCATTATAATGAACTTTTCATTAAGTGAGCTATAATCTATCATATTAATATAAGGAAAATTTTAAACTAAACAAATTTTCCCAGATCAAAGAGGGACCAATATTGATTCACTGAACTAAACAAAGTCAGGTTCTCAAAGCCTTATTTTTTAAAAAATAAGTACTCTTGGGGCTGGAGCAATAGCACAGCGGGTAGGGTGTTTGCCTTGCACGCGGCCAACCAGAGTTCGATTCCCAGCATCCTATATGGTCCCCTGAGCACCGCCAGGAGTAATTCCTGAGTGTATGAGCCAGGAGTAACCCCTGTGCATCGCCGGGTGTGACCCAAAAAGAAAAAAATAAATAAAAATAAATAAATAAAAATAAAAATAAGTACTCTCCAATAATAATATTTCAACTTGGACAAGTTGGTCGTCCTATTTGAATATAATCACCTTAAATGTATAAATCAAAACATACTAATTAGTCATTGCCATTGGCTACAAGAAACATGAGAAAGAATGTTTCTTGAAAGTAGGTATCATTAGAGGAAATTTGCTTCAAGGTAAGAATCTGTATTAAAGGTGGGCATTCCCAGTTTCTCCATTAAGAACAGTAAATTTGTTTGACTGGACACTACTCCAAGGGAAAGAACTTCTTTGCCCTTTCCCTTTAATCCTAAAACTTTTACTAAGTCCCCAATAAAAAGTAATTACCTATAAACTCACCAACTATAATTTGAAACTGCAAATTTAAGTATAAAATGTTATTTTAGGGTCACAAGAGTTTACTGGAAATATTGAAAGCAAGAGAAGATTTCTTTCTTTTTTTCCCGCTTTTTGGGTTACACCCAGAGATGCTCAGGGTTACTCCTGGCTCTGCACGCAGGAATTACTCCTGGTGGTGCTCAGAAGACCATCTGGGATGCTGGGAATCAAACCGGGATCAGTTGCATGCAAAGCAAACGCCCTTCCTGCTGTGTTAATTGCTCCAGCCCAGCAATAGATGATTCTAAAGTAAACATTTTTTAACTGTTCATTACATATATTTTATGAAGTTGACATTCATACTTTCGGTCATTTTTTAACCAACATAATATATTAAGCAAGTAAAATAAATTATGAAATTCCCATCTAGTTCCACAGGTTTTATCTTGGATGGTTTTCCACGAAATCCTGAAGAGGCCCAGATTCTGGGGGAACATGGTTTTTTCCCAGATGCTGCTGTTTTTTTGCAAGTTGAGGATCAAGATATTTCTGATCGTCTCCTTCCTGAGCTAATTAATAAATGGAAAATGAAACAGAAAAAGAAATTAGAAAGGAAAAATCTCATCAAAGAAATGAAGACAAAAATCAGGGTATGTGTCTATTTTTTTTTAAGTAGAGGAATATATCTGTACAGGACCTTTTCAGTTTGTCGAATGATCTTTATAAGAATGGTTTTTTATGTTTTTTAATTTTTTTTAATTTTTATTAGTGAGACACCATGAGGTACAGTTGTAGATTTACAAATTTTGTACTTGGGTTTCAATTATACAATGATCAAATACCCATCCCTCCACCAGTGCCCATTTCCCACCACCATGGATCCCAGTATCCCTCCCACCCCCCAAGGAATGTTGTTTTTGAAGTGAATACCACAGTATGGTATAAAAAATTTTTCACTAAATATAGAGATATAATCAAAGAATTCAAAATTATTTGAGGTTTCTTGTAGTATCTATATGTTAATACTCTCTCCCAGGCAAACAAAATGAAAAGAACAGAGAGCACAAAGTCCCAAGTGAAAACTCTCCCAACCTCATCTGAAGCCTCTTTGGTTTTTTAAACTTCATTTCTCAAGTTGGAACAACAAATACAAACCCCCCTCTGGAGCACCCAACATACCATAAGCATTTCCATGCCCTTACCTGGGAATTTCTTGCATCACCCCCACATTAGCCTGGCAAAGTCAAGCCGGCCCTCGAATCTGGTTTTATTCACCTACAAGTGTGACAAAACAATCTCCCTTACAGTATGTTTTGAGCAGAAAATAGAAACAGCTGTATCAATTGCAGGGTTCAAGATATTCATGGCATGTGACAGACATGCAGTAATTGAACTTCCCTAATCACTGCTTGAGTAAAAAGACCAGAGGAAAAATAAAATTGGGAAATGCAAATGTGTCACCATGTTTAATCTGCATTTCTTTGTGGTGGTTTCCATTTTTTTCACATTCGGTGTCTTCACTGAATGTTAGGAAACACAAAAGAGTTGTTGTTTAAAAAACTCTATAACTGAAGCCCAATCCAGAACTCTGAGGTTTTCTGCAGGTTTGGAGAATGTCTGGTGATTACTCCTGGCTCAGGGTTTAGTCCTGGCTCTGCACTCAGGAATTAATCTTGGGGTGCTCAGGAGACCACATGGGGATTGAAACCCTGGGTTGACCACATGCAAGACATATGCCCTACCCATTGTACTTTATCTCTCTGGCCCCAAAAGTCTGGTTTTTAAGGGAGTTGTGAAAATGTATATAAAAAAAAGGGAGGTGGGAGATGTAAAGCTATCAAAGATAGGCTAAACATCAGTTCTATATTCCCAAAACAAAAATGCCACAGAAGGAGATAAATGGAGGTGAGGAAGCAAGATGAGGAGGTCTGAAAGTAACATAGGAACAAGGGTCCGGGACCTTGCGCTTGTCTGACATGTATCCGTATATATGTAAGCTAGTAAATCCAACACTCCTAAACGCATGGGAAACAAACTACAATAATTCAGTTTTAAAATGTACCTGCCAAGTATTCAGGTTGGGACAGGGAGGGAATCTGGGGTCATTGGTGGAGAGATAGGGTTTCAAGTGTAGCAGTCTTGGGGGTGGAAATACTGTATGCTTGAAACCCTATTATGAACAACTAAAATTAATTTTTATTTGACACCATTATAAACAATTAAATAATTTTATTGATGTGGGTGCTGGGATTATTCATATGAATCCAATACTAAAAGTTATTAATTTTATGTAGTTGTATATAATGGTATCAAATAAAAATTAGTTTTATAATAAAGATGTGAAATCCTATTATTAACAGTATTCTACACCATGTGCTTCTAATCATATAAATATAATATATTAGACATTACATACATTAGAGATATTGCATATCTAATATATGTAACATAAGAGAGATGATTTTTTTGTAGGAGTACTGCTATTTATTCAGCCACTGATTGGCTGATTGAATTGTACATGAACTCCGCCTTACTTTTTTTTTCATTTTTTATAATTTTATTTATTGAATCACCGTGAAAGCAGTTACAAAGCTTTCGGGTCTAAGTCTCAGTCATAAAATGAAACACCCATACCTTCACCAGTGCCCATTCTCCACCACCAAAAACCCCAGTATGCCCCCATCCCACACCCTCCCCCTACCTGTGAGGCAGATGATTTCCACATTACTCTCTCTCTACTTTGATCACATTCAATATTTCGACACCAGACCCACCATTATTATTTGAGATTTTACCCCAACACTCAGATCTGCTGAAAAGGCAACAGTAGACAACTTGTGTTCTATTGCTGGTTATGAATAACATATGATGTCGCATGGCTGCAGTAGGGCCACGTGATTTTGAAATTCCGAAATTTTAACACTTTATTTTATTTTAACTGGGGGGATTTCTGCCAAAAACCACTGGGTTTCGAGATTTGCTCCTGAGACTCTGGGATCATGGCTATTGAGCAGCTTGATCAGGAGTCAGAGAGGCCATTCACGGGCGATGAATTGGGGTCTTGTTGGGGTGGGGAGGACAGGCCCGGCTCCACCCCCATCCCGTGAGGCCCAACAAGTTTCGTCACTGCGGGCCCAAGCCTGACTGTCCAATGGCCTCTGGAGGATGACGGCCACTGAGCCGCCAAGGGGGAGCAGGCGGAGGGACAACACCCTTTTCCCCCCTGGGGTTCCCTGGCGACAGTAACCAACTGCGTGGTCTGGACGCATTTCTGCCAAAAGCCGCTGAGTTTCGAGATTTGTTTCTGAGTCTCTGGGATCATGGTCGTTAAGCAGCTTGATCCGGAGCCAGAGGGGCCATTAGTGGGCGATGACTTGGGTTCTCGTTGGGTTGGGGAGGACAGGAACGGTTCCACCCCCATCCCATGAGGCCCAACAAGTTTAGTCACTGTGGGCCCATGCCTGACTGTACAATGGCCTCTGGAGGATAATGGCCACCAAGAGGGAGCAGGTGGAGTGACAATACCCTTTCCTCCCTGGGGGTGGCCTGGTGACAGTAACGAACTGTGGGGTCCAGACGCATTTCTGCCAAAAGCCACTGGGTTTCGAGATTTGTTTCTGAGTCTCTGGGATCATGGTCATTAAGCAGCTTGATCAGGAGCCAGAGAGGCCATTAGTGGGCGATGACTTGGGTTCTCGTTGGGGTGGGGAGGACAGGCCCAGCTCCACCCCCATCCCGTGAGGCCCTGTGTGTCTCGTCACTGGGGGCCCAAACCTGACTATCCAGTGGCCTCTGAAGGATGGTGGCCACTGGGCCGCCAGATTGGGTTGCCCTGGGTTGGCCCAGCACCGGTAACCTACTGCAGGGATCGGATGCATTTCTGCCTTAAGCCACTGGGTTTTGAGATTTGTTTCTGAGACTCTGGGATCATGGCCATTAAGCAGTTCAATCAGGAACCAGAGAGGCCATGCCTCCAATTATATAGCTGAGCTGGAGGTGGTTTGTGAGTGTGTTTCCCACATACCTAACTTTTGGCCATTTGCTTTCTTGGTAAACTTTGCCCCAAGTTTTTTGGGTCTGGCCAAAGGCACAGCAGCAATTTTGGGGTATCTGGAAGTCTGAAGGCGCCATCAGGCTGCTGATGCACTCGCCTCAGAGGTACAGAATGACCTGCTGGCGGCACCATACCCCCGGAGAAATGATTTTTAAGTGTAAATTATCACCCTCTTAATACCTAAGAGAATCACTCTAAGGGATCCTAAAATAAATGAAATTTATCCTATTTTTCTATCTACAAATATTGCAGATGGAATATACTTCTACCTATAAATATTTCTTGAGTGTAAAACATAACCCTAAAAATACATCTGGCTCTCAATAATGACAAGTCAAAGCAGCAGGGGTCCTGGTTGTCTTGACCCAAATTCTCAGAGCACATCTTCCGGCAGCCCTTGAATCTCACAGTCCCTAAAGGAATTTCAATTTTGTCAGCTAATAAGCCCCCAAAGTCCACTAACTTCCATATAAACCTTGGGGACAGACCACAGGATCTATTGCATTAGTTTCAGAGAGCCCCAAGAAGAATTGGAATTTGTAAAGGAATCCAAAGTACACATGCTTTCCTAATATGTGTATATGTATACACACACACACACACGCACACACACATTGCCCTTCTTTTATCTCTCCCTAGATATACAGACACATATGTTTACATATATAGATGCATATATGTTATTAAGAGTTATTTAAAGTTATTAAAAGAAGTAAACAGTAAACGTGTATGTGTGTGCTTGTGTGTGTGTAAGTTCTGTTAGATGGCTATGTTTTAATAGTAAGATAAAAGATGACTAAGCACTTTTAGCAAGTTGCCTGCCAGTATTGTCCTGTTTTTGCTTGTATGGAATCTACCTCTCCACCAAAAGTAAACTAAAAAGTAACATATTTTCTAAATTTGAAATTCTGAAGTTTGTAGAAAGAATGACTGACCCAAGTGTTACTTGTCCCTGCAGAGAAATGGATGACTCAGAGGTACAAAGGCACAAAGGATGTAGTGACATAATTACCACCATCCACATACTTTTCTGGAAAATTCACTCACCTTCCACCCAAATGTTATTCCCACTTTGGGAAGAAAAAAATTGTTAATATATGAAAGTGGTTTTATTATTACTTATGAGAAATGTTAAATGTCTTTTTCTTTAACAGAATGATATGATTTCTAAAAGAAGGGCTGAACTTTTAGCAGAGAGAGAAAAGAAAAGGAAAGAGGAAGTAAGTGAAAATTGTTTTTGATTTGGTTTGGGGGAATTATCCAACAGGGCAGCCAGGGGGCCATTCCCAGCAATATCAAGACTGTACTAGGGCAGGAAGATGGGAGCTGCTCAGCCCTGCAGAGCCATCTGGCTACCAGGGTCATCAGGCAGTGCCCAGGGGCCTTTGGGTCTATGCTCAGCAGTGCTATGTGGGCCATGTGGTACAGAGGTTCAAGCCTGACACAGGTAAAGTATGCACCACCCTAACTGGTAAGCCATCTACCCAGCACCCCACTCGTTTGTTCTTGTGACAAGAACATTGAACCCAGAGCCTCACACTTGCAGTGCAAGTGCTGAGTCACATGCGCAGACCTCCCCACCTCATCTTTTGAATTTTATGTTTCAATGCCCTAACATTGGTTTACGACATTGTATAAGTTTTTAGTATGTAACATCATCCTTCCACATCTGTAATACTACAGGATGACCACCACCAAAAGTCTGAATTTGCATCGATAATCCTGCACTTCATCCCCTTTAACCCATTGACCCCAGCCCTGAATCTCTCAGTAACCTCCAATCTGTTCTCTAGGTCTTTGTTCTGATTTGATGTGTTTGTTTGTTTTCCTTTTTTCATCGAAGTAACACTGTACATAAGTTTGTATAAATTTCAAGTGTGTGTCATTGAAAATCAACATGAGTATATATACTATATTCATTCATTCATTCATCATCCTGTTATTCGTCGATTGCCTCAAGCAGGCCCCAGTACCGTCTCCTTCATCCTAGCCCTGAGATTATATTCAAGGCTCTTTAGGAGAATGAGACCCATCATTGTTACTGGTATTTGGCATATTTGGTACGACATGGGGCGTTTGCCAGACTCTGCCCTGTGGGCAGGCTCATTCGATAGCCTGCAAGTTTGTCCAAAGTAGGAATGAGATAATAAGATGTCATAAAAAGATGTCCTGATAAGATGTCTCGGGGCCGCGAATGTCCTGGAGGTCTTCGGCTGCCAGAGCCCTGGTCGGGGCGGGGAGGAAAGCTCAACCCGCTCCCCTCCAAGGGGCCCCGGTGAGGAACAGCCAGGCGCGGGGGCAGGAGACTGCACTGTTCTCGTCCAGGAGCTGGATTTTATAGTCTCTGAGTCTTGGCCGTTGATGGGATTACACGGCGCCAGGGGGCCAGGTGGTGGGTGTGACCCCCGCCTACTGGAATTTGGAGGATCTGGGTGGAAGATGCTCGACTCCAATTCGAGTAGGCTTGGAGGTCTCGGCCCCGGAACCCGCGTGGCTTTGTCCCTCTGCCAGTACCTTCATGTGTGCGGAGAGTGGTCTCAGCATGGTGGTGGCTGGTCCTGGAGGTCTTCGGCTGCCGTAGCCCTGGTCGGGGCGGGGAGGAAAGCTCAACCCGCTCCCCTCCAAGGGACTCCGGGAAGGAACACCCAGGCGCGGGGGCAGAGACTGCACTGTTCTCGTCCGGGATCTGAATTTTATAGTCTCTGAGTCTTGGCCGCTGATGGGATTACACGGCGCCAGGGGGCCAGGTGGTGGGTGTGACCCCCGCCTACTGGAATTTGGAGGATCTGGGTGGAGGATGCTCGACTCCAATCCGAGTAGGCTTGGAGATCTCGGCCCCTGAACCCGCGTGGATTTGTCCCTCTGCGAGTACCTTCATGTGTGCGGAGAGTGGTCTCAGCATGGTGGTTGCTGGTCCTGGAGGTCTTCGGCTGCCGGAGCCCTGGTCGAGGCAGAGAGGAAAGCTCAACCCACTCCCCTCCAAGGGGCCCCAGCGAGGAACAGCCAGGCGCTGTTTTATATATATATATAATATAATATAATATAATATATTATACTATATTAATTACCAAAATTATTTTCTTTAAAAGCAAAACATCCATACCCTTCTTTTATCTCTCCCTAGATATACAGACACATATATTTACATATATAGATGCATATATGTTATTAAAAGTTATTTAAAGTTATTACAAGAAGTAAATAGTTTGTATACAAGTAGCATTGTGGCACTGTTGCACTGTCCTCCCGTTGTTCATCAATTTGCTTGAGCGGGCACCAGTAATGTCTCCATTGTGAGACTTCTTGTTATTGTGTTTTGGCATATTGAATACGTCACGGGGAGCTTGCCAGGCTTTGCCGTGAGGGCGAGATACTCTCGGTAGCTTGCCCGGCTCTCCTAGAGGGGTGGAGGAATCGAACCTGGGCCGACTGGGTCGACCGCATGCAAGGCACACACCCTACCACTGTGCTATCGCTCCAATGTACATATAGTAAGATCATATATCATTTTTTTCCTCTTATACATTTTGGTATTCTTTAACTATTTGCAATGACCTTTAATTATTTTTTTAATCAGGAAAAGGAAAGAGAACCATAAAAGATGTTTAAATAATCTACTATAAATTACAATGCTACATGAAACGGTGCATCTGTATGGTTTTCACTTTTTTAAAAAAAATTTTCATAAAGATAAATTTCTTTTTTTAATTTTTTTATTTTTTAATTTTTATTAGTGAAATACCATGAGGTACAGTTGTAGACTTAAAGATTTTTGTGCTTGGGTTTCAGATATACAATGATCAGGTACCCATCCCTCCACCAGTACCCATTTTCCACCACCTGGGTCCCAGTATCCCTCCCCATCCCCCCATCCCACCCTGCCTCTGTGGCAGGCATTCCCTTTTGTTCTCTCTCTCCTTTTGGGTGTTGTGGTTTGCAAAAGAGGCATTGAGTGGCAATCATGTTTGGTCTATAGTCACTTTTGCTTTTCACCCTCCCAGGTCATAGGGAAATGGGCTGGGAGCTTAGGCTGAGAACAGAGAGCCTGTGAGATTGTACTGGAACTAAAATCTCTGTTTTCTTTTCTTTTGTTTTTGTTTTTAGACCACACCTGGTGCCTAAGCACTCACCCCTTCCTCTAAGCTCAGGGACCATTCCTGGAAGGGCTCGGGGAACCATATTGTGACCAAGTGCAAGATAAGCACCTTACTATCTAAAACTCTCAATTATCTTGAGACAAGAGTGGGAGGGGACAGAGCCAAAGACCCCCTTAGTCATAAATGCTACAGAGTTCTCAGTATAGATACTTCATCTGCTGATTCTTTCAAAAAAGATGAAGATCATGGACTTTGTTTAAAGAGGCACTATTCTCAAAATAAACCGACTGAGCCCAGTCAAACTAGTTCTGAAAAGGGCTTGAAACTTCCATCATCAACTTCTATGTTTCTCTCGTAACCAAGTCAAAGAGGACCTCTCTGCCTTCTTTCACATCCTCTAGGCACCTTTGTAATACTCGTCCCAAGTAGCAAGACATTGACTCTGCTATGGTTCTTCACTGTAGATTCTTCCCAAACCTTTATATTTGATATGATTCTTATTTACAAGTCAACTGTTCTCACTACACCTCTTATCAAAGCAACTCTTGTGTCATTTGAAAGGACTACTCAAACCTTATACATTGCTTTTCTTCGCATTTGTATACTTTGTTTTTTTGTTTTGTTTTGCTTTGTTTTGTTTTTTTATTAGTGAAAAACCAAGAGGTACAATTATAGACTTACAAATTTTTGTGCTTGGGTTTCAGTTATCCAATGTTCAAGTACCCATCCCTCCACCAGCACCCATCCTCCACCACCACGGGTCCCAGCATTTGTATATTTTGAGAGGGAGCAGAGAAAAACGGTGCCTGTTGTGTGTCAAGAAAGAATCATTTCCCATTTGCTGTCCTACTATGCGCTGCTCTGGCTCCTGTGACGCTTTCTTCTCTGTTTCTGGGGATTGTCTCTAAGTTGTTGACTTCTGGCATTTTTAAATTTCTCAGTGTGCTTCTACTATTTTCTTTCTCTGTGACTCTCCAAAGAAATGGTAATAATTTTCTAAAAGTATACGAATGTGAAGAAAAGCAATGTGTTATCAACGGTTTCATTTTTGGGGGTGCAAAGTAAAAATAGTGAAAGGACAGCTACAGATGTGGTTGGAATAAGAGAGCAAGTGCCTTCTGAGTGTGAGACCCTACTTTTGATCCCTGGCCCCACATACAATCTCTACTAATACCATCTGAATTTACCTTGGTGACCCCATGGCACTACCAGGTATGCCCCCAAAGCAGCAACAACAAGAGCAAACAAAACTTTTTAAAAATAAAATCAAAATTATATGTTGATTGTTTTTAACTTTTAATGGGAGTTTTATAAGGTCGATTCTATTTCCTCAGAAAAGATTAAACCAAATCAAGGATCTCTTTGTGAAACTTTTATGACCAATGAAGGCGATACCCTGAGTCAGACCCTTTCTGACTCCACTTGGACTCCAGAGCTTACTTTTATGAACAGAGCCAAGTCTTCTCATCCTTGGCCTCTGCACAGATTATGTAGTTCTGTGACTCATCTTTTTTGCAACAAATTGGGGAGCCAAAGGCAGACAAAAACCTTTGTGGGTTTGTCCTCTAATGCTTAACAAAACTCACTGCCTTTATTAGCTGATCTTTGAGCAGCAAATTAAACTTTTTTTTTTTTTTAGCTATAGAAGTCATTTCCACTTTTAGGTGCCTACTTCACTAATTTCATTGGAAAAGGTCGCCATCTTGTGGACATCTTGTTTCCAAACGCCTTTGGATATTACTCAATAAACCAACCCCTTCACAAAGAAATTTGGCATTACCAATTTCCAACTCCTCAGAGGCCTTGCTGCTGCTCTTACTCCAGGACCTTTGCTCTCTTCCTGTACGCTGGCTCCTTCTCTAGCACCTGGGTCTCTTCCGCTAGGTAGTGGGTATTACCTAAAAGCAGGGAAAAGGGAAGACAAGCCAAGAGGGTAGCCAGAGCATCCAGGAAGCCAGAGGTTATCCCCAGGTGAACCACTTATAGTAGAGAGGATGCCACAGACAGCACCTAAATGAGGTTCAAAATTGGATTCAGGCACCAGGGTTAGACCTCACTATGACAGTCAAGGGACGTCCTAATCGATAAACCCAGGATATAAGTACAAAGGGAATTTTGGGAGAGAACAGCAAGCAAAAAGGTACAAGGGATATACAGGTTAGAGATGGACAATGAAAGCAAAATAGTTTAAAGAATGTCTCAAAATGCAAAACTAGAAAACGCCTTCCTCCCCAGTGCAGTAAGGGGCTCTACTGTCTCAGTAGCGCAGACATTTGTGTGAGAACGGGTCTCAGAACTCTGACAAGCCTTCTACTTCTCTCACTTTACATTTGGGTCTCTCACTCTTCCCTAGCTGATAAGCATTCTGACTATAATCTCCATCACACTCAGCACAAATACCCTTTGACCGAAATGAAGACGTCCCATACTAGTAGGAAGTTTGAGTACAGCTTATCCAAGAAAAAAAATTCCACTTTTATGTCTCTGATACCATGAATTTTTCTTATTTTCTGTTTTCCTGTTTTGTCTTCACCCCTTCCAGCCTTCTCTCTGGGATTGTTTTTCACTTGACAGTTTGTGTAGGTATATCTCTCTGTGGGTTGCAGCAGATCTCCAGGTCCTGGTAAGAAACTATTTCTTTTGTTCTCTTCCTCATCACTCTGCTCTCTGTTTCTTCTCTCTTTTCCTCCACTTTTTACAGTAACCTGAGTCACTTTCTACAGTGATCTGATACATTCCACATATTGTCCTCTTTAGTTTTCCCTGCTGTCTGATTGATTATGTGCTATGAGGTCAACCCATTGGAATGAAAAATCAGATCAGACTGTGTATACAATAAGGGTATGGTTGATTGTAGGATGACCAATCAGATTGCGTATACTCTTATAAGGCTTTGCAAGATAAGCCATCAGAAGTCTGGCCTCCTCATTTCCTTTCCTCCTCATTTCCTTTCTGCCTCATTTCCTCTACAAACTCAGTGGCCCATATGAAGAGCAAGGATTCCAAACAAATTCCCAGGATTCTCACCAAAAGGGAGGACTTCAGTTGAAATAAAGAACATTTTTAGGGAGGATATATAGTGAGTATAGGAAGAATCATTTTGTAGGGTTCATTTCTATGCAAACTGAACTGATATTTAAAGTCTCTATTCAGGATCATTTAGTCCCAATACCTTTTCTTAGTTTTCAATAATCACTAATTCTTGTTTCTTTTTTTTTTGTGTGGTTTTTATTTTTTTTTTATTTTATTTTTTTTTTATTTATTGAATCACCTTGGGAAAGGTTACAAAGCTTTCAGGTTTAGGTCTTAGTCATGCAAATATCAAACACATTTCCCTTTACCAATACTTTTTTTTTTACCATGAAGAACCCCAATAAAACCCCACCCCCCACCCCTCCCCGTCCCTGTGGGGCAGATGAATTCTAGTTAACACTCTATCTGCTTTGATTAGATTCATTGTTTCAATAAAAGATTCACCACTATTATTTAGAGTTTACCCCCCCCCAAATCAGACATGCTGAAAAAGCATTGTGATGTGATTTGCTTTCTACAGCTGGGTTCAAGAATTAAATGTTGGTTTTGGATTTCTGCTATTTTACTTATTGACCCTGGAAGTATTTATACTGAAAGTCAGATAGTTAAGAAATTGGTTTCTGTGCTCTGGAGTCGTGGTCGTGCTGGAGAGCCGCTAGTGGGGGGCAACTGGTGGCCTCGGTAGGGCGTGAAGGGCGGACCGAAACGCCCCCTTCCCATGAGGTTTTAGTCGCCCCCACTCCCCCGGCTCATACCTGCTGTCCACAAGGCTCCCATGCGGCCGCCATCTTTCTTTCCAGAGAGGAGAAGGCGACTGGGGCAACACCCTTTCCCCTCCGGACAGACATGATGGCCTGGATTAACGCATAGTCCTTTCACTTTTCTGCTCCAAGCTGCCGGGTTCTGCATTAAGTCCCTGTGCTTCTGGGGCTGCGGCCGTGCTGGAGAGCCGCTCGCGGGGGGCAACTGGTGACCTCGGTAGGGCGTGAAGGACGGACCGGAACGCCCCCCTTCCCATGAGGTTTTAGTCGCCCCCACACCCCCGGCTCATACCTGCTGTCCACAAGGCTCCCATGTGGCCACCACCTTTCTTTCCAGAGGGAGGAGGGCGGAAGGGACCAACACCCTTTCCCCTCCAGGCAGACATGATGGCCTGGATTAACGCATAGTCCTTTCACTTTTCTGCTCCAAGCTTCTGGGTTCTGCATTAAGTCCTTGTGCTTCTGGGGCTGTGGCCGTGCTGGAGAGCCGTTCGTGGGGGTAACTGGTGACCTCGGTAGGGCGTGAGGGATGGACCGGAACGCCCCCCTTCCCATGAGGTTTTAGTTGCCCCCACACCCCCGGCTCATACCTGCTGTCCACAAGGCTCCCATGCGGCCGCCATCCTTCTTTCCAGAGAAGAGAGGGCGAATGGGGCAACACCCTTTCCCCTCTGGCAGACTTGATGGCCTGGATTAACGCATAGTCCGTTCACTTTTCTGCTCCAAGCTGCTGGGTTCTGCATTAAGTCCTTGTGCTTCTGGGGCTGTGGCCGTGCTGGAGAGCCGCTCGTGGGGGGCAACTGGTGGCCTCGGTAGGGCGTGAAGGACGGACCAGAACGCCCCCTTTCCCATGAGGTTTTAGTCGCCCCCACACCCCCGGCTCATACCTGCTGTCCACAAGGCTCCCATGTGGCCGCCACCTTTCTTTCCAGAGGGAGGAGGGTGGAAGGGACCAACACCCTTTCCCCTCCGGGCAGACATGATGGCCTGGATTAACGCATAGTCCTTTCACTTTTCTGCTCCGAGCTGCTGGGTTCTGCATTAAGTCCTTGTGCTTCTGGGGCTGTGGCCGTGCTGTAGAGCCGCTCGTGGGGGGCAACTGGTGGCCTCGGTAGGGCGTGAAGGACGGACCGGAACGCCCCCCTTCCCATGAGGTTTTAGTCGCCCCCACATCCCCGGCTCATACCTGCTGTCCACAAGGCTCCCATGTGGCCGCCACCTTTCTTTCCAGAGGGAGGAGGGCGGAAGGGACCAACACCCTTTCCCCTCTGGCAGACTTGATGGCCTGGATTAACACATAACCCGTTCACTTTTCTGCTCCAAGCTGCTGGGTTATGCATTAAGTACTTGTGTTTCTGGGGCTGTGGCCGTGCTCAAAGCTTAACTATGATTTTCAGAGAGAAACGTTAGGTGGTTTACTTCCCATGGATCACTTTGTATATAGAGAGATGTCGCGCGGCCGCGTAAGCGGCCGCACAGTTTTGAGAAAAAGTCCTAGTTCCCGCATACTCGAGCTGTGCTTGTAGAGGTTTCTGGTCACCAGGGTTCCATCTGGGGGAGGCGGGATGCGGTACCTACCCCATCTGGGACTTCCCCATGATCTCGGCTCTTTTTGGAACCTTTGTTTTTTTTTTTTTTTCCTTCGGGATCTGTGGATCCCGCCCTCCATGTAGTCCTTCTCTTCGGCTAAATGCTGTCAAGATGGCGCTGGGGGGCGGGCTGTGGGCGTGACTTCCGGAATCTGAGGTTACCTGGGAGGTGTAGTCCCGGCATTTTTGAGGAAAAGTCCTAGGTCCCGCATACTCGAGCTGTGCTTGTAGAGGTTTCTGGTCACCGGGGTTCCATCTGGGGGAGGCGGGATGCGGTACCTACCCCATCTGGGACTTCCCGATGATCTCGGCTCTTTTTGGAACCTGTGTTTTTTTTTTTTTTCCTTCGGGATCTGTGGATCCCGCCCTCCATGTAGTCCTTCTCTTCGGCTAAATGCTGTCAAGATGGCGCTGGGGGGCGGGCTAATTCTTGTTTCTTTAGTGCATATTTATAGTCATCCTAAAGCCTATACTGTTCTGTAAGTATAGAGCTTTATGCATAGTGATACTAGTGGCTATTGTAGCATATAATAGTGAACATTGCAAGCATACTTGCTTCTCTTATGATTTTGCACACATTAACTTAATGCCCTCAGCAATCTTGTTGTGATTGTTAAGTAAATGTTCACGATCATCCTGTTGTTTGTTGATTGCCTCGAATAGGCACCAGTAACGTCTCCTTCGTCCTAGCCCTGAGATTCTAAAAAGTGCCACATTCAAGGCTCTTTCAGGGTTAGGAGAATGATACCCATCATTGTTACTGGTATTTGGCATATTGGGTACCCCACGGGAGTTTGCCAGACTCTGCCATGTGGGCAGGTTACATTCGGTAGCCTGCCAAGTTGTCCAAAGCAAGAATGAGATAATAAGATATTGTGCGGCCGCATACACATTCACGGCCGCGTGCTTCCAGGAGCTGAGTTTTATAGTCTCTGGGTCTTGGCTGTTGATGGGATTACACTGCACCGGGGGGGGGGGGGGGGGGGCAGTTGGTGGGTGTGACCCCCTGCCTACTGGAAGATGGAGGATCTGACATCAGGTAAATGTTATTGTGCCTATTTTACACATAAGAAAACTGATGTTCCAGCTAACATAGCTAATACATTTTATACTCTAAATTGCATTAAACATTGGTACTGAAAACCATAAAAAATGTAATATCCTGACAATCATAGACTATCATTTAATATTTATTCACTAACCATTCATTGTTTTGTCTGTTTTTGAGATCACTATAGAGGTAGAGTGAGTCTAGAAGATATGGTGAGTCTAAAAGGTATTAAATGTTCATGTAACATATATTTATATACTTACTATAAAATGTTTTGATGCAAAATGCAGGTATTTAAAAATATTCTAGATGACTACTTAACAGTGTCACTCATTTCATGGTTTTATAGGGGCCACACCCCATAGACCTGGAAGGGAGGCAATGCAGCCAGGGGTCTCTTGGCAATGTTCATAGCAGGCCTGAGGGGGTCAGCTGCAGTACTAAAGGTTCAGCAGTGTTGGAAACCATGAGGACTATATCCAACGGCACTCAGAGACCATGTGGTTGACGGAGATAAAACTATAATATGTTAAATTTTGCTTTACCACTGCAAGACATATAAATGCCCCCATCTCATAGTTTATATCTGTAGTAAAAGGAATATTTTTTCCCCTAGCTTGGTAGAGACGATGATGAAACAACTGAGGAAGAGCCAGACGATGATGATGATATTGACAATATCCTGGAAGATGAGTTTCCAAAAGATGAGGAAGATTTAAATGAAGAAGAAGAAGAACAGGAAGCTGATGCGATTGATCGCCTGAGAACTGAAATAGGAGAAAAATTTGAGCTAGATATGGGTAATATGCAAACGATACAGGTTAGTACTTTGCTGTGACTTTCCATAATTCAAAAAGTAACATTTGAGAATTCTTTTAAAAGCATTATAGTATATACCCTGATTAACCTCTTTTTTTTTAAACATCACAGAAGAAATCTCTTTCTTAGGGTTATAGTCCCCCTTTGTCAGCACAACTTACAACTGTGAAAACGATTTACTAACATGAGGGCAACATGACAACAGCATAGGAATAAATATTTATATGCCAGCACACAGTCCCTCAGAAGTGGAAAGTATTTGTTCTCTAGACTGAGATAGTTTGAAGTAGTCTAAGGTAGTCAACAGCAGTGTCGATGTGCTGTGACAAAAAACTATTGTTATCTTTTCCCACTGAAATGAATTTATTTAATTTTTCTTCATCAGGAAGAATTTGAGAAGCTCCTGATACCAGTAATTCCCATTAATGGATCCCGGAAAATCCACATTGTTGAATATACCTTAAATACAAAATTGAAACCACTGGTAGAAAATCGGGCAAGCATTTTTGAGAAATGTTATCCAATATCACCAGCCCTTGCTCAGAAAATGATCAATTTTACCTACAAGCATATCAGTTCTTTTGGCTATTGGGACCCTGTGAAGGTAAGATCAGCAAATATATCTGAAAGTCAGGTTGCTTTTATAAAAGCACATCAAAGGCTGGAAAGAGAGTATAGGGGTTAAGGCCTTGGGTGGGGCTGATCCCAGTTTGATATCTGACACCTCAAGTGGTCATTCCTGATCTCAGAGCCAGCTGTAAACACTCAGCACAGTTGAGTGTGACCCCAAAACAACATCAACAAAAGTTCTTCAAAGGAAGGAACCAAGAATAGCCTGGTATTAGAACATCTGCTTTGCCGGCTTGAGAATGGGCATTGGAGCCTTGTTGCATGCGCGTGTGCATACACACGCGCTCGCACGTGCGGGCACACACACACACACACACACACACACACACACCACACACAAACACGCATGCTGAATGAAATTCCTGCAGCTCTGCTGTTCATGAACGCAAGCACCAAAACAAAGAGCGTGGTCTCCAGCACAACCTAGTGTCTGTGACCACCACAGTTAAAGCATGTAACCCCCAGCAAGCACTGTAACTCATGTGCATCCCTTGGTAAGTACACACCTAAAGTCTACAGGTGCACAACTTCCAACAAGCACCACTCACTGTCAAGTGCATGTGACACAGTCACTGCAGTATCAAAAACACCAACTAGGAGGAACTGGGAAGGGGTAGAAAAAGTGTGTCTCAGAAGACTATGATCATTTCAAAACTTGTAAATTTGTATCATACTGGGGGGAGAGCAGGGGAGGCTGCCAGTGTACAGGGGTTGCATCCAATAAAGCTTGGGAGACTATGCAATTGCCAGGAATTGAACCTGTGGTTCCTACATACAAGGCAAGCATCTTAACCTCGATGCTATCTCTCTGCCCCTGAAGATGTGTATTTTTATGCAATGTGTGCAAAAATATTTCATTCCAATGGAGTTCACTGGCTTCAAATATTGTATGGTTTTCAACAAATCATTAGAGAATAGTCTGTACTAAGAATATGTCCATCACAGTTCTAGTCAGGGGGAATTGAGTAGTGAATGACACAGATTGGATGTCTTTTGTCATGGAGTTTATAGTGTATTGGGTTGGGAGGGACGATCAGCAATCAGTAAACAAACAAACACATTCTTATCAGGTAATAGAAACTGCTATAGAGACAATGAAAGAATGTCTTATGATATCAACCTGCTCTCTAGGCAAGTGTACCTTCTTGTTTTCATTGGTGATACGAACACTATGACCTCTGGAACCAGATCACCTGAGTTCAGAGCGACCATTCACTAGCAGAATGGCCTTGAGCAAAATTCTTAATCTCACTGACATCTGCACAATGGGAATGAGAATACTCTGTAGGTTCTGGGATATTTTTGTGGTGATGAAGGTGCAGTCATGTATAATAATAGTTTTTTAAATATATATTTTAAATACCACATGGTTTCTTGAGTATCTCATTCCTACTTTGGACAAACTGGCAGACTACCGAATGTAGCCTGCCCACACGGCGGAGTCTGGCAAACTCCCCGTGGCGTACCCAATATGCCAAATACCAGTAACAATGATGGGTCTCATTCCCCTAAAGAGCCTTGAATATAATCTCAGGGCTAGGATGAAGGAGACTGGGGCCTGCTCGAGGCAATCGATGAATAACAGGATGATTTGTGATTTTTTGATTTTAAATACCACATGGTTTCTTGAGTACCACTAGAAGTGACCCCAAACATCACCAAGTGTGCCACATTCATAAAAATAATCGTTGTACAATTTCAGGGAAATTGGATTTTTGGAACATATCTAGTGAGCTTATTCTGTGCTAACTGTTGATGGTGTGACCAAAATAGGAATCCTAACACCCCTTGGTCACTGGATTCTACCATTTCCTTTGCCTAGCCACTTCCTGATTCTATGTGGCAGTCAGGAATAGTGTATTCTAGACAATCAGGTCTCAGTCCAGGAAATAATTTGTAAAAATTTTAACTGCAGGGGCTGGAGCTGTAGTAAAGCAGGTAGGGTTCTGACCTTGCACACAGCAGACCCAGGTTTGATCCGAAGCATCCCATATGGTCCCCTGAGCCCTCCAGAACAAATTCTTTTTTTTATTAAAAAATTATATTTTTTATAAAAGAAATGTACTTTACAAATCTAATAATAGTTTAATTTTAGGCATATAATATTTTAACAACAATCCCACCAAACAGTGTCAACTTTCCTCAACCAGTATTCCATATTCCCTCCCTGCAGAGCCAGGAGTAATCCCTGAGCACTGCTGGGTGTGGTCCAAGAACCACCCTCTTCCGCCAAAAATTAGAATCGCATACCTGACATTTCAATAATAACACCTGGTATTTTGGATCATTTTCCTCTTGTAACCTTATTTCATATTTTCAACTATTCCATCAGATGGGTAGAATGGATATTGAAATCCCAGTGTCTGAGAGAACGGAACTCCACTCAAGTGGAATGATCTGTCCCTTACTCTATGCTCAGGGACCATTCCTGACAGTACTTAGGGTTGGTGCCAAGACTACAACTGGGATCCATGTATGCAAAACAAATGCTTTAACCCCTATACTTTCTCTCCAGTCCTTAAATACTTTGTATTATATAATTTTGAATATTAACATTTGATTATGATTATTTTTCTTATTCTGTAAGATTTTCTTATTTTACAAAATTTTTAAAAATATAATTGAGTGACTCCTTCACTGTTGGTGGGAATGCCGACTGGTTCAGCCCTTCTGGAAAACAGTATGGGTGATTCTCAAAAAACTAGAAATTGAGCTCCCATTTGACCCAGCAATACCACTCCTGGGAATATACCCCAGAGAGGCAAAAAAGTATAGCCGAAGTGACATCTGCAATTGTCTGTTTATTGCAGCACCCTTTACAATAGCCAGAATCTGGAAAAAACCTGAGTGCCCGAGAGCAGATGACTGGTTGAAGAAACTCTGGCACATTTACACAATGGAATACTATGTAGCTGTTAGAAAAGACGAAGTCATGAAGTTTACATACAAGTGGTACTACATGGAAAGTATCATGTTAAGCGAAATGACTCAGAAAGAAAGGGATAGACATAGAAAGATTGCATTCATCTGGGGAACATAAAGTAACAAAACAGGAAACTAACACCCAAGTATGGCAGAGATTAGTACCAGGAATTTTACTCAATGACCCGGAGGACAACCACACATGTTAGGGAAAGGGGGAGCTCAGAAAGAGAAGGGAACACCAAATAAAGGGTGTTGGGAGGATCCGCCCTTGATGGGAGAGCATGCTGAGGGTAGACTGTCGACCAAGCATGATTGCCACTCAATGCCTCTTTTGCCGACCATGGCACTCAAAAGGAGAGAGAGGGAAATGCCCTGCCACGGAGGCAGGATGGGATAGGGGCTGGGGGGGGAGGGGATGCTGGGATCCAAGGTGGTGGGAAATGCGCACTGGTGGAGGGATGGGTGTTTGATCATTATATAATCGAAACCCAAGCACAAAAATGTGTAAGTCTACAACTGTACCTCATGGTGCCTCACTATAAAAAAATAAATAAATAAATAAATAAATATATAATTGAGTGAGCTCAATGAGACCACATGAGTGCAGAGACAGGAGTAACCCCTAAGCACAGGTGAGTGTGTCCCAAAACACAAAAACAAAAAAAATAAAAATATTCTTTATATGAAAATATATATATATATATATATATAATTGAGGGCTGGAGCAATAGCACAGTGGGTAGGGTGTTTGCCTTGCACACGGTCGACCCGGGTTCAATTCCCAGCATCCCATATGGTCCCCTGAGCACCGCCAGGGGTAATTCCTGAGTGCAGAGCCAGGAGTAACCCCTGTGCATCGCCGGGTGTGACCCAAAAAAGGAAAATATATATATATATATATATATATATATAAAATTGGAAGGGAAGTGCAAGAAATATTGAAGTTAACAAATGCAGTTGTGTGTTTTTTGCAGCTAAGTGAAGGAGATACAATCAAGCCCGTTGAAAGATTAGAGAATCCCCTGTATCCTGTAATCCATCGTCAGTATATTTATTTTTTATCTAACAAGAAAAATAAAGAAAAATTTATGAAGAACCCAATCAAGTATATCCGCCAACCTGAGCCTAAGCCTACTATGCCCATCAGGATTGCAATTGTGGGGCCTCCAAAATCTGGGAAAACTACAGGTAAGGAGGTGTCTACCTTGAGTTGGTGGGAAAGTTTTGGGAAGGGCTGAAAAGAAGGGCACTGGGGTGCTGGGGGATCAACGTAGGTACACCGGCAATGGATGTCGTGTTGGAATTATGTGCGTGAGAAAACATCATTAACAATATTTTAAATCACAGAACCTCAATCAAGAAAAAAATAATAATTTTAAATTTTAAAAGAATTTTTAAAAATCACGATCATGATCATCCTGTTGTTCGTTGATTGCCTCCAGCAGGTACCAGTAACGTCTCCTTCGTCCTAGCCCTGAGATTCTAAAAGTGCCACATTCAAGGCTCTTTCAGGGTTAGGAGAATGAGATCCATCATTGTTACTGGTATTTGGCATATTGGGTACGCCATGGGGAGTTTGCCAGACTCTGCCATGTGGGCAGGTTACATTCAGTAGCCTGCCAAGTTGTCCAAAGCAAGAATGAGATAATAAGATGTCGCACAGCTGCAAATGTGGCTGTGCGCTTCCAGGAACTGGGTTTTATAGTTTCTGGATCTGGGTGGAGGATGCTCAGCCCCTATCTGAGCAGTCTTGGAGATCTCAGCCCCCGGACCCGCATGCCTTTGTTCCTCTGCCGGTACCTTCATGCGTGTGGAGAGTGGTCTCAGCATGTTGTGGCTGGTTCCGGAGGTCTTCGGCCGCTGGGGTTCTGCTTGGGGCGGGAAGGGAAACTCGACCCGCCCCCTTCCAAGGGGCCCCAGCGAGGACAGCCGGGCGCAGGGGCAGGAGACTCTGTCTTTACTATTTTTAAAAATAGTTAAAAAAAAAAAGTATTTGCCTTTATTATCCATAGCAAAACCCCTGAACTAGTGCCACCACTCCATCACTCCTGGAAGCAACTATCCAAAATGACTGAAAGAAAGAGATTGGGCCAGAGCTATAGTACAGGGGATAGAACACTTGCTTTGCCAACCTGGGTTCAATCCCCAGTACCCCATATGGTTCCCTGAGCCTGCCAGGAGTGATCTCTAAACACAAAGTTGGGAGTTAGCCCTGACCTCAGGGTGTGGTCCCAAAACAAACAAAAACCAAAAGAAAAAAATTAAAACAAACAAAAGAGGTAAAAAGCCTACGTGGGATAATGACTAAAGAGAAAGCATTCAATAATATCACCTGCTCCAAAAATTCCAGAGACAACTGGTTTTAGAGAAGCATTTTAAAGAATTAAAAACTCAGGAGATAGTTCTTGAAGCTTTGAAATTTTTTCCAGTGCAAGGGGGAAAAAAAGACAATTAAGCCTGCCCAATGTATTTTTAATGTCTTTATTTTGAGGGGTGGCCCATATCCAGAGATGTTCAGGTGCTACTCCTGGTTGGATGCACAAGATCAGACCTGGTTTCTTTTCCTTTTCTTTTCTTCTTATTTTTTTTTAAATTTTTTGTTTTGTTTTGTTTGGGGGCCACACTCCACAGTGCTCAGGGACAACTCCTGGCTGGGCTCCGTGAGAGGGTGGAAAGGGCATAAGTGGTGCCAGGTATCAAACCTGGATCTGCTATATACAAAGCAAATTCCCTACCCAGTTTACTAGCATTGACTCCCCCAGTTTCTTTTTTTTTTCAGTGTCATTTTTTTTAAAAAAGAAATTTTTTTAAAAGATTAAAAAAACAACTTTTAAAATACATTTTATATAATCAAAAGATATTAAAAAATACAAATTATTTTAGATTAGCACAACTTGATATCAAAACTTAAAGAAAATATAGGAAATTGTGAGTGAATATCACTTTTAAATGTAACCAGGGGACTATTAAGATTATACTGGAATAAAAGTAATATTTAAAATTATATTTTTTATAAATACAACCTATTGCGTTGTGAGTTAAAAAAATAAAAATCTATTCTCTTCATCTTTGTGGAGGTAAATTTTGTATAAATTTGGACTTTGGAGGTAGTGGTTACTTTAAGCAAACAATCCAACAATAGCTTGATTGTTGTATTTCAACATCGTGTGATAATCATGTGAACACTCCATAGCTATGAAAATAAACTGGAAAGATATGAGTGATATTTAAAAGAATAATTATAAGACTCAATGACTGCATAGAAAATAAACGGAAAAGGTCAAAGATTAACTTGCCACCAAAAGGGGAACTTCATGTTCCAGTTTTTCAGAAGAAAGCTTTGTTTTGCTTATTAAAACTCCTTAATAATTAAACTCAAAAGTTCCTTAGCTGTCACATTTTAAATGTTCACAGAAATGTTTTCCAAAGGAAGATTATTGGTATTTCAATAAAATCCCACCAGCATAGTTGAGAAGAAGAGAGCATAGAGAGAACAGGTTTGTCTTTGTGAGAAGTTTTTCTATAAACCTAAATGTGCTCTTGAATAATAAATTATTTTAAACATTTTTAAAAAAATTTTTTAAACTAAAATCCACCACCACCACAAACGGCTTGAAAATACAAACAGCCTGATGTCTCATTTCTTTGTTGAAACACAAGTTAATTTTTATAAGATGTTACACTGTAAAAGCATCGGGCCAGTCCATGGCTTTCCTATACACAAACAGTGAGAGAGAAGAAAGCAACATGAAAAAAACAATCCCGTTCACAATTGTGCCCCAGAAAATCAAGTACCTAGGAATCAGCTTAACTAAGGAAGTAAAGGACCTGTACAAAGAAAACTACAAAACGCTACTTCAGGAAATAAAAGAGGACATGAGGAAATGGAAAGATATCCCCTGCTCATGGGTCGGGAGACTTAACATTGTCAAAATGGCAATACTACCGAAAGCATTGTATAAATTCAATGCAATCCCTATAAGGATACCCATGACATTCTTCAAAGAAATGGAGCAAACACTCCTGAAATTTATATGGAACAATAAGCCCCCACGAATAGCTAAAGCAATTCTTGGGAAAAAGAAAATGGGAGGAATCAACCTCCCTAACTTCAAACTGTACTACAAAGCAGTAATAATTAAAACAGCATGGTACTGGAACAAAGGCAGAACTGCAGACCAATGGAACAGGGTTGAATACACTGACATCTCCCCTCAATCATATGATCATCTAATCTTTGATAAAGGTGCAAGTAATGTGAAGTGGAGTAAGGAAAGCCTCTTTAATAAATTGTGTTGGCATCACTGGATGGCTACATGCAAAAAAATGGGCTCAGAACTCTGCCTAACACCATGTACAAAAGTAAGATCAAAATGGATTAAAGACCTCAACATCAGACCAGAAACCATAAGGTACATTGAAGATAAAGTTGGCAAAACCCTCCATGACATTGAAGCTAATGGTATCTTCAAAGATGCCACGCCACTGGCCGAGCAAGTGAAAACAGAGATAGATAAATGGGACTATCTTAAACTAAGAAGCTTCTGAACCTCCAAAGAAACAGTGACCAAAATACAAAGACAGTCTACAGAATGGGAAAGGATATTCACCAAACACACATCTGACAAGGGGTTGATATCCAGGATATACACAATACTGGTTAAACTCCACAAGAAGAAAACATCCAACCCCATCCAAAAATGGAGCAATGAAATGAACAGAAACTTTCTCAAAGAAGAAATCCGAATGGCAAAAAAGCACATGAGAAAATGCTCTACATCATTAATCATCAGGGAGATTCAGATCAAAACCACAATGAGATACCATCTCACACCTCAGAGACTGGCCCACATTCAAAAGAACAAAAGCAACCGATGCTGGCGTGGATGTGGCGAGAAAGGGACACTCCTTCACTGTTGGTGGGAATGTCGACTGGTTCAGCCCTTCTGGAAAACAGTATGGACGATTCTCAAAAAATTAGAAACTGAGCTCCCATTTGACCCAGCAATACCACTCCTGGGAATATATCCCAGAGAGGCAAAAATGTATAGTCGAAGTGACATCTGCACTTGTTTGTTCATTGCAGCACTCTTTACAATAGCCAGAAACTGGAAGAAACCTGAATGCCCAAGAACAGATGACTGGTTAAAGAAACTTTGGTACATCTACACAATGGAGTGCTATGTAGCTGTTAGAAAAGATGAAGTCATGAAATTTACATACAAGTGGTACAATATGGAAAGTATCATGCTAAGCGAAATGAGTCAGAAAGAGAGGGATAGACATAGAAAGATTGCATTCATCTGGGGGATATAAAGTAACAAAGTATGAGATTAATACCCAAGAATAGCTGAGATCAGCACCAGGAGGATTACTCCATAACTTAGAGGCCAGCCGGGTATCCTAGAGGAAAGGGCAGTTCAGATAGAGAAGGGAGCACCAAATAAAGGATGTTTGGAGGATCCTCTCAGGAGGGGAGATGCATGTCGAAAGTAGACTATGGACTGAACATGTTTGTCACTCAATGCCTCTTTTGCAGACCACAACACCCAAACGGAGAGAGAGAACACAGGGGATTGCCCTGCCACAGAGACAGGGGGGATGGGGGGATGGGGGTGGGGGGATATTATCCATGGTGGTGGAAAATGGGCACTGGTGGAGGGATGGGTATCTGATCATTGTATAATCGAAACCCAAGCACAAAGAATTGTAAATCTACAACTGTAAAAAAATAAAATAAAATAAAGGAAAAAAATTTAAAAAAAAAAAAAGCATCGGGCCAGAGCAATAGTACAGTGGGTAGGGTGCTTGCCTTGTACGCAGCCGAGCTGGGTTCATTTTCTGACATCCCATGTGGTCCTTAGAGACCCACCGGGAGTGATCTCTGACACAGAGCTAGGAAAAAGCCCTGAGCATCACCAGGTGTGGCCCCAAAACAAAAACAAAAAACAAAACAAAAAATGTCTGATCCAGATCTCTGTGGCAAAGATCAAGGGCTATTTGCTTTTCAGGGAGCTGCTTCCTGGGTTGGGGGTGGGGAGTAGGAGTGTCCTCACTGCACTGGGTTACCTGATAGAGTAAGTAGGTTTCCTTGCTGTGTCCACTCAGGATAAGTGCCACAATGTAGCACACCCATATCTACTACTTACTGGGAGCCATGGTGGAAGTTGGTCTGGCTTTGTTAGCCAGTGGCAATAAGGACCCTGGATAAATCATTCCACTTGAGTGGAGTTCCATTCTCTCAAACACTGGGATTTCAATATCCATTCTACCCATCTGATGGAATAGTTAAAAATATGAAATAAAGTCACAAGAGGAAAATTATCCATAATACCAGGTATTATTATTAAAATGCCAGGTATGCTACTCTAATTTTTGGAGGAAGAGGGTGGTTCTTGGACCATACCCAGCAGTGCTCAGGGATTACTCCTGGCTCTGCACTGGTGGAGGGAAGTTGACACTGGTTAGTGGGATTGTTGTTAAAATATTATATGCCTAAAATTCAACTATTAATAACTTTGTAAAGCACAGTCCCTTTATAAAAAATATAAATTTTTAATTAAAAAAAAGAATCACTTCTTGTCTCACAAATTTAAAAAAAAAATCACTTCTGGAGGACCATATGGAATGCTGCGGATCAATTCTGGGTCTGCTGTGTGCAAGGCCAGAACCCTACCTGCTTTACTATAGCTCCAGCCCCTGCGGTTATAATTTTTACAAATTGTTTCCTGGACCAGGACCTGATTGTATAGAACATACTACCATATAGAATCAGGGGGCTGGAGTGATAGCACAGCAGGTAGGGCGTTTGCCTTGCACCCAGCCAGCCTGGCCAAACCGGGTTCGATTCCTCCGCCCCTCTCGGAGAGTCTGGCAAGCTACCCGTGACATATTCAATATGCCAAAACACAGTAACAAGTGTCACAATGGAGACATTACTGGGCCTGCTCGAGCAAATCAGTGAACAACGGGAGGACAGTGACAGTGACAGTGATAGAATCAGGAAGTGGCTAGGGAAAGTAAATGGTAGAATCCAGTGACCAAGGAATGTTAAGATTTCTATTTTGGACACATCATCAACTATTAGCACACATAGTATTATAGTAGCACTGTAGTACTGTCCTCCCATTGTTCATCGATTTGCTCAAGCAGGCACCAGTAATGTCTCCATTGTGAGACTAGTATTATAGTATTATCGTATTATAGTATTAGAACAAATAAGATGCCTTATAGAGCTCTTGAAAATCTGGCTCTTTCTGTTGGGAAAATAAAAGCAATTTTTTTGACTTCCATTGTTCATAGCAGCTTTATTTTTTAAAAAACTTTTTTTATTGAATCACTGTGGGGTAGATCCTTACAAAGCTATTGATTTAGTTATTTAAAAATTGTATAACTGAAACCCAAGCACAAAAATTTATAAGTCTATAAGTGTACTTCATGGTGTTTCACTAATAAAAAAAATGATAAAAAAATAAAATAAAATAAGTTAGAAGGAAAAAAAATTAAAAAAAATAAAAATAGACCATAGAGTGGTGAATCCTACCTATACACATGTAGAAGTGTTCAACTTTACCAGTGAACATTGAATAAGTTAATTACATTGATTTGAGGGTGGGAATTAGGGCTGGAGATTTAGCTCAGTGGAATAAATGCTTGATCTGCAGGTCTGAATTTCATCTCCACACCTCTGATCTGAACAGCTGTAGTATAGAATGGGAGCAGCTTCTGAGCCTGACCTGGAGTGGGGGAAAAAATCAAAGCAAAAACAAAACTAAAATAAAACTAACAAGGGAGAAATAAATGTTTTAAAACCCTACAGAATTTACCGATTAAATCCATCAGACCATACCTGAAGTGCCACTGAGACTTTGACAGTGTTAATTCAGTAAATGACCTAATTTTTTGGCTTCCATTGTTCATAGTAGCTTTATTTTTTAAAAAACATTTTTTTATTGAATCACTGTGGGATAGATCCTTACAAAGCTGTTCTCTCTCTCTCTCTCTCTCTCTCTCTCTCTCTCTCTCTCTCTCTCTCTGTGTGTGTGTGTGTTTCCACATTTGGGCATTGTGGTTTGCAATATTGATACTGAAAGATTACCAAGAATATTCTTTACCTACTCTTAACCCTCAGATCTTGTCCAGCATGAGAATTTCCAGCTATTATTGTCATACAGGTCTCTTCTCTATCTTACCTGCCCTCAGCCCCACATACACTTGTGGTTAGATCCAACCGTTGACCAGTCCTCCTAACCTCTGTTTTTCCTGGCCATGGATATTAGTCTTCTACTACATATTTTTCGATAGCACAGCGGGTAGAGCGTTCGCCTTACAAGTGGCCAACATGGCCGACCCGAGTTCGATTCCTCCGCCCCTCTCGGAGAGCCTGGCAAGCTACCGAGAGTATTCGATATGCCAAACACAGTAACAACAAAGTCTCCAATGGAGACGTTACTGGGCCCTCTCGAGCAAATCGACGATCAATGGGAGGGCCTTTACCTTTACCTTACCTTTACATATTTTTTTATATACTACAAATGAATGCAGTCATTCTATATCCATCCCTCTTCTTCTGACTCATTTCACTCAGCATGATACTATCTATGCCCATCCATTTATAAGCAAATTTCATGATTTCTAAATGTACTAATTTTAATTCCCAACATTTCTTTCAAGAATGCAAAATGTAGGCACTCTTAACCAAAAATTACACCTCAGGTTAACTGGTAAATTGATGAAATACAATAAGATTAAGGTTTGGGTGTTTTCCAGTTGCCCGAGCTTTTGCAAAGGAGTACGGTTTAAAGAGTTTGTCCATGGGAGATGCTCTGCGGTACATAATACACCACCAACCCGAAACAGAGCTGGCTCTTGTGATTAAGTGGCATCTTTATAAAGGAGAGACAGTACCAGATGAGTTAGCTATTCAAGCCCTAGAAGTATGTCTGATGGAAAGTATCTGCAACACTGCAGGGTAAGTAGACTGGGTGGGATGAGGTGGGGAGAATGGAATCTCTCAAAAAATTCTTCTCTAGCACATGAAACACTTCAGCTTATTAAGAGCTCTTGTGAAAGGTGTGATCTACTTCTCAAAGGCACCTCTGTAGTTCTATATTTCAATTTCGTGTCAGGCTAAAACTTTGCTTTGGCACTCATTTGCCAAAATGCCAAGTAGACCTCTTCCCCAGGGACCCCTGAACTACCCCCACAACCCTGCTTCCCCGCAGTTCCCCACCCACTCCCGCTTCCATAGTTTCCTGTCTCTGATGTGACTTTTGATACTCAGTGTCTCCTGTACCCACGAAGTGACGAGAAAGAGTGCCTCCTAGTCCCTCGGATGGTACTGGTACACTGGAAATGGTCCCTGCTGGGCCCTTCCCATGAAGCTGCTTTTGGATGTGGGAGCGTCAGGCTTGAATTCACTCTTCAGTTTCCACTCCTCTCCTCCACTGCTCAGCCTGAAGTACAGCCACACTGAGCGGAATAGACCAGTGAAACCTATGCCCTAATCAGGGGGCACTGACTGTGGTCCCCCGTTGACTCAAGATTTTTTTGTATGTGTGTTTGATTGGTTTATGTTTGTTTGAGGGATAGGGTACCTAGCAGTTTTCTGAGCCTACTCCTGGCTCTGTGCTCAGGGATCACTCCTGGAGGTGCTCAGGACCATGTGTGATGCCAGGAATTGAGCCCAGGCTGACCACATGCAAGACAAGCACCTTATCTGTTATTCTATCTCTTTAACACTATATATATATACATACAACGATCAAACACCTTTCCCTTCACCAGTACTCATTTTTCACCACCCAAAACCCCAATATACCCCCTCCCACCCCTCCCAATGCCTGTGAGGCAGATGATTTCTACTTAACTCTTCTCTACATTGATTACATTCATTCCGACAAAAGATGCACCATTATTGTTTAGAATTTCCCGATAGCGGCCATGTGATTTTGGATTTCTGCAAAGAGCCAGATAACTACGAGATTGGTTTCTGTGCGTCTGGTGCTATGGCCCATGAGACTGCAGTTGCCCCTTCACCGCTGGCTCATACCTGGTTTTCCTATAAGCTCTGAAGAGGCAGCCACCTTGCTGCTGGGGGGGGGGGGAGGGGGGGAATGTGGAAGGGAGCAACACCCTTTCCCTCTCAGGGAGGCATGGTGCCGTAATTTAATGCATGGTCCATTCACTTTTCTGCCACAAGCTGCCAGGCTCTGGATTAAGTCCTTTTGCCTCTGGAGCCATGGTCGTGCCGGAGAGCCATTCATGGGGGGCAACTCGTGACCTCAGTAGGGTGTGAAGGATGAGCCGGTACCGTCCCCCTTCCCATGAGACTGCAGTTGCCCATCACAGCCGGCTCATACCTGGCTTTCCAATAAGCTCTGAGGCAGCACCTTGCTGCTGGGGGGGGGGGGGGGGGGCGGAGAGGCGGGGCTGTGGAAGGCGGAAGGGAGCAACACCCTTTCCCTTATTTGGAGGGTTTTTGAAGGGAAGGAGGAAGAGAAAAGTGGGAGAGAGTGGAGAGTAAGAGAGAGAGAGAGAGTAACACGCTTAAGAGAGAATGCGGGCTTCTCTAAGAGTGAAGAGAGCCCCTACACACATCCCAGCTTTAGATAGAAAAGCATAAAAGTACACATCTCAAGAGAGGAGATGCAGGTGACACATGTGTTCAGGCACCACATGTGCTTGGCCACAGGGGCACAAGCAGTACATGGGCTTGGGCAGCATATGTGTCAATCCTAGTAATATTTTTTTGTTTTAGCCTCTCTGCTTTTCCTTGTCACTGTCCCTAATTAAATTCTTAGAAAGTTCTCCTCATTTCAGTTCTGAGGAAACAGATTCTAGTATATTACATTTTTTTTTCTTTCAGGAAAGGTCTAGGGACTGATGATAACTGAGTTTCTTCTTCCCTGATACACAGCTTTGCCAATGAGTGATCTCCATGTAGACAACCTTGACTGTGCCAAGAAGGTGAAATTTCATCTTCATACCAGACTTGGGACTGCCATTCCCCCTGAGTGCCCTATATGGATCTACCCTCCAAGAGACAAAATCTATGGCTGTTAGACTTCCTGATCTTTTTATTTATTTGTTTGTTTGTTTATTTATTTATTTATTTTTCCAGCATCTCTCACTCTCAGGACACTTTTAAAACAGGAGACATTGATGGAGATCATCCAAGAGAGGGCATCTGGAATCAAACTGCCTCCAAACCATTCTTTGATAAACAATTCAAGTCCTAGGAACCTGTTATGTGAGGCAGGCAGGGGTGGGTGAGGCCTGCAGGAACCAGCATGTCCCAGCTTGCTCCCACGATGGAATGAGTTCCTTGGCTTTGAGAACTGTGTCTCCCAGAATTTGCAGAATGCCTCTATTTCTCTCCCTCAGTTTGGCAGGAACTCTTTAATTATCTTAAACTGTTGGGTTAATTTAAATTAATCCCCATCCTAGGGGCCACAGAGATGGCTCAATAGCCAATGCATACACTCAGCATGCAGGAGACCTGGTTGGATCCTGGTATTATACGGTTCCCCAACAGAAGGGACAGAAGAAAACTGAGTACAGAGTTGTGATTAGCCTCCAGACAACTGAGGTGTGGCCCCAAAACCTATTAATCAGTTCTCCAGCCCTTCTTCTTAGAGACCTGATGAGGCCTGATGAAATGATTCCTACCACCATAGCACTGAATTCGCCTCAACCACTCCCCTTCCACACTCCCAACCTCTTAAGAGAACTTTCAATCAAAGCAAGCATAAAGTATAACTTTACCCATATATGCTAAATCTCTTCTTTAGATTCTATTTATTCTTCCAGGCCTTGTTGTAATTGTTTCACATACCTAATCTACAATTCTTAGGAGTTAAGTATCATTTCCCATGGGCCAGAGAGACAGTACAGTCAGTGTCAGTAAGGCACTTGCCTTGCACACACCCATCTGAGGTTCAATCCCTGGCACCACACAGAGTGTCCGGAGCATTGCCAAGAATGATCCCTGAACACAGAGCAAGGAGTAAGCTCTGAGCACAGCTGGGTGTGGTCGAACACCCACCCACCCCCAGCCCCAGCAGTCAAACAAACAAAAAGCAAGAAAACGAATATACAAAACAATTTTGAGTCACAAGAGACTATTGTCAGTACCCTGGACTCAACATCAGGATCTTAGGTGTGGCCCAAAACTACCCCTTACAAAGAAAGAAAGAAAGAAAGAAAGAAAGAAAGAAAGAAAGAAAGAAGGAAGGAAGGAAGGAAGGAAGGAAGGAAAGAAAGAAAGAAAGAAAGAAAGAAAGAAAGAAAGAAAGAAGAAGAAAACTACAAACTTCACACACACATGCACACACACACACACACACACACACACACACAGAGTTTCCCTTTATTTACTGAAAACTGAAAGTCAGAGATACTTTCAATCAAGTCAACTTTGAAATCCAAATCTGAAACTGTCCTCATCCAGTGCATCATGCTTAGAAGTAGAGCAATTAAATGACCTAATGAGCGATAGCACAGCGGGTAGGGCGTCTGCCTTGCACGCAGCCAACATGGCCGACCCGAGTTCGATTCCTCCGCCCCTCTCGGAGAGCCCGGCAAGCTACCGAGAGTATTCGATATGCCAGACACAGTAACAACAAAGTCTCCAATGGAGACGTTACTGGGCCCGCTCGAGCAAATCGACGATCAACGGGAGGGCCTTTACTTTACTTTACTTAATGCTCAAGATATTAATGCTTATTTTTTCTTGAATTCTACCAAAACACAAATACACAATGAAGAAAAGTGTATGTACACATATTGCCCTTCTGTGATTCATGGATTGAAAGAGGTTAGGGCTAAAGACACAGTTCAATAGGGTGAGTGAATGGATTTAATCCTCAGCACTGCATAGTAACACAAGTACTTCTTGAAGTGACCCCCAAGCACAGAGATGGGAGTAAGCCCCTAAACACCATAACTGTGACCTAACACCCACACAATATATACACATATATTATGTACATATACATATATCTATACATATTTACATATATACATACATATATAAAGAGGGTGAGATGTGAGATGTGAAGAAGGAAAATTCCATTATATAAGGAGGAACATGGGACTAATCCTAGAGAAATACATTAATTCTGTAAGAAAATAGGGGCTGCATAAAAGGTAAGAAATCTGGAGTTTTTTAATTCTCCCATTTTTTTCCCTATTAGTGTTGTTATTGATGGGTACCCTGTCACTAAACATCAAGTGAATATCTTGGAAGCCAGGTCAATCATCCCCATGGTCATTTTTGAGCTGGAAGTGCCCCTTAAGGAAATTTTTAAAAGATTGGTGCTGCTGAAAAAAAAGGAGCCAAGGTAATGTATATGATGAAAATGCTGATAAAGGAATAAACTTTAACCCAGAGCAGAGCAGGTTAACTGGATGATCCTCCAAGGCAAGTACTCCTTGCGGGTGGTGGGAGATAGGGGGATGCAATGTGTTGAGGCAACAAGTGAGCATCAGAACGCCTGCATCTGATTGACTAACTCCACTTTTGCTAAATAGGCTCACTGGTTTAAAAATTTATTTTTTAAAAATCTGTTCCAGGGAGTATGGTGCCGCCAGCAGGTCAATCTTTACCTGTGAGGTGAGTGCATCAGAAGCCTGATGGCGTGTTCAGACTTCCAGATACCCCAAAATTACTGTAGTGCCATTGGCCAGACCCCAAAAACTTGGAGCAAAGTTTACCAAGAAAGTAAACAGCCAAAAGTTAGGTATGTGGGAGACACACTCACAAACCACCTCCAGCTCAGCTATATAATTGGAAGCATGGCCTCTCTTGTTCCTAATCAAACTGCTTAACGGCCATAATCTCAGACTCAGAAACAAATCTCAAAACCCAAATGCTTTTGGCAGAAATGCATCCAGACCCCGCAGTAGGTTACTGTTGCCAGGCCACCCCAGTGGGGAAAGGGCGCTGTCCCTCCACCTGCTCCCCTTTGGTGGCTCAATGGCCACCATCCGCCAGAGGCCATTGGACAGTCAGGTTTGGGCGCGCAGTGACGAGACACGTGGGACCTCACGGGATGGGGGTGGAGCTGGCCCTTTCCTCCCCACCCCAACGAGACCCTAAGTCACCGCCAATGAACAGCTTCACTGGCTCCTGATCAAGCCACTTAATGGCCATGATCCCAGAGACTCAAAAACAAATCTCAGACCCAACAGCTTTTGGCAGAAATGCATCCGGTCCCTGCAATAGGTTACCAACGCTGGGCCACCCGCCTGCTCCCCTAGGCGGTTCGGCGGCTGCCATCTTCCAGAGGCCATTGGACAGTCAGGTTTGGGCCCGCAGTGATGAGACACGCAGGGCTTCATGGGATGGAGGTGGAGCCACCCCTTACCTCCCTGTCCCAACAAGACCCTGAATCGCTGCTCACTAATGACCTCTCTGGCTTCTGATCAAGCTGCTTAACGACCATGATCCCAGAGACTCAGGAACAAATCATATGTTAGTGTTGTTATTGATGGGTACCCTGTCACTAAACATCAAGTGAATATCTTTGAAGCCAGGTCAATCATCCCCATAGTCATTTTTGAGCTGGAAGTGCCCCTAAAGGAAATTTTTAAAAGATTGGTGCTGCTGAAAAAAAGGAGCCAAGGTAATGTATAGGATGAAAATGCTGATTAAGGAATAAACTTTAACCCAGACCCCAAGTCGCCGACCACTGAGCTGCCAAGGGGGAGCAGGCGGAAGAACAGCACCCTTCCCCCCCTGGGGTGGCCCAGCGACAGTAACCAGCAATATCATATGTTATTCATAACCTGCAATAGAAAACAAATTGTTTACTGTTGCCTTTTCGGCAGATTTGAGTGTGGGGGTAAAATTCCAAATAATAATGGTGGGTCTTATGTCAAAATATTGAATGTAATCAAAGTAGAGAGAGAGTAATGTGGAAATCATCTGCCTCACAGGTAGGGGGAGGGTTAGGATGGGGGTATACTGGGGTTTTTGGTGGTGGAGAATGGGCACTGGTGAAGGTATGGGTGTTTCATTGTATGACCGAGACTTAAACCCAAAAGCTTTGTAACTGCTCTCACAGTGATTCAATAAATAAAATTATCACTATCACTATTACTATCACCCCGGTATTCTTCAATTCGCTTGAGCAGGCCCAGCAATGTCTCCATTTGTCTCTGTCACATGCAAGTGTAGCCCGTTGACATATTGGGGGCTCCTTCATGGTCAGGGGAATGAGGACCATTCATTATTACTGTTTTTGACATATTGAGTACTCCACGGGTAGCTTGTCAGACTCTGCCATGCGGGCGGGATACTCTCGGTAGCTTGCCAGGCTCTCCAGGACGGATGGAGGCTTTTGGGGCAGCCCCTAATCACCTTTACCGGTGTTCCTAGTCAGGCATATTGACAGGTATGATACTCTCAGTAGCCTGCCGGGATCTCTGAGAGTGAGAACTAGAGAATAAAAGGGCGCGGCCAAGCTTCCAGGAGCTTGGTTTTATAGTCTCTGATGGCCGTTAATGGGTTTACACAGCAGTTGGTGGGTGTAACTGTCTAGCTACTGGAAGGTGGGGGAGCTTGTTGGAGGAGGACCAGTCCTGAACCGAGCAGGCTTGGAGATCTCAGCCCCAGGTCCCGTACACCTGGGTTCCTCTGCTGGTTCCTCGTCCAAGCGTGTGGAGAGTGGTCTCAGTATGGCTTTGGCTGGGTCCCGGAGGTCTTCAGCTGTCAGGGTTCTGCTCGGGGTGGATAGGGATACTCAACCCACCCTCCTCCGGGTTGAGTTTTAAATAAAATATTTTAAATAAAATTATAAAAAATGAAAGAAAAAGTAAGGTGGAGTTCATACCCAATTCAATCAGCCTAATCAGAGGCTGAATAAATAGCGGTACTCCTACATTTAAAAAACAAAAATCTGTTCCAGACAGCTTAAAAAATATTATCTTTATTTAATTACCATGAGATACATAGTTATTAGGTTGTTTATAATTTTCAGTTATACAATGTTCTAATACCTGTGCCTTCATCATTGTACATTTCCTGCCACCAGTGTTCCTAGGATTCCAGACATTTTAGAACCTGTGGGAACCTTTCAGGGAAGGCTCCTTGTACTGGTTTCCATCTTTTCATTTTGATTTAAGATACATAAGAGAAAGAAATTGGGCTTCTAAAAAAATAATGGGCCTGAGTGATAGTTCAGTAGGTACTCTGTTTGCCTTGTATGCAGCTGACCTGGGTTCAATTTCCAACACCCCATTTATCAATCCCCACCATGAGTAATCCCTGAGTGCAGAGCCAGAATTAAGTCCCCACAGTCCCCCTTTATTTTTGTAGACTGGTTATAGAGGAAGATATATAGTTGGGTTTTTTTTTTTCAATTCAGTCAGAATTAAACCCCGATCACTGCTGGGTGTGGTCCAATTTTTGTTTGTTTGTTTTTATTAGTGAGACATCATGAGGTACAGTTGTAGACTTACAAATTTTTGTGCTTGGGTTTCAATTATACAATGATCAAATACCCATCCATCCACCAGTGCCCATTTCCCACCACCACGGATCCCAGTATCCCTCCCACCCCCCATCCCCCCAGCCCACCCTGCCTCTGTGGCAGAGAATTTCCTTTTGTTCTCTCTCTCTTATTGGGTGTCGTGGTTTGCAAAAGAGGCAATGGGTGACAATCATGTTTGGTCTATAGTCTACTTTCAGCATGCTTCTCCCATCCTGGGAGGATCCTCCCAACACCCTTTATTTGGTTTTCCCTTCTCTATATGACATCCCTTTTCCCCTAGCATGTGAGGCTGGCCTCAAGCCATGGAGTAATATTCCTGGTACTAATCTCGGCCATTCTTGGGTGTTAGTCTCCTATTTTGTTACTTTATGTTCCCCAGATGAATGCAATCTTTCTATGTCTATCCCTTTCTTTCTGAGTCATTTCGCTTAACATGATACTTTCCATGTAGTACCACTTGTATGTAAACTTCATGACTTCGTCTTTTCTGACAGCTACATAGTACTCCATTGTGTAAATGTACCAAAGTTTCTTTAACCAGGCATCTGTTCTCGGGCACTCAGGTTTTTTCCAGATTCTGGCTATTGTAAAGAGTGCTGCAATGAACAAACAAGTGCAGATGTCACTTCGACATACTTTTTGCTCCTCTGGGGTATATTCCCAAGAGTGGTATTGCTGGGTCAAATGGGAGCTCAATTTCTAATTTTTGGAGAAACATCCATACTGTTTTCCAAAAGGGCTGAACCAGTCGGCATTCCCACCAACAGTGAAGGAGTATTCCTTTCTCGCCACATCCGCACCAGCACCGGTTGCTTTTGTTCTTGTGGATATGGGTCAGTCTCTGTGGTGTGAAATGATATCTCATTGTGGTTTTGATCTGCATCTCCCTGATGATTAATGATGTCAAGCATTTTCTCATGTACCTTTTAGCCATTCGGATTTCTTCTTTGAGAAAGTTTCTGTTCATTTCATCTCCCCATTTTGTGATGGGGTTGGATTTTTTTTTCCTGTGGAGTTCAACCAGTACTTTGTATATCCTTGATATCAACCCTTTGTCGGATGTGTATTTGGAGAATATTCTTTCCCATTCTGTAGACTGTCTTTGTATTTTGGTCACTGTTTCTTTGGAGGTGCAAAAGCTTCTTAGTTTAATATAGTCCCATTTGTCTATCTCTGTTTTCACTGGCTTGGCCAGCGGTGTGACATCTTTGAAGACACCATTAAGTTCTATGTCATGGAGGGTTTTGCCAACTTTTTCCTCAATGTACCTTATGGAATCCGGTCTGATGTTGAGGTCTTTAATCCACTTTGATCTTGCTTTTGTACATGGTGTTAGGCAGAGATCTGAGCCCACTTTTTTGCATGTAGCCATCCAGTTTTGCCAGCACAATTTGTTAAAGAGGCTTTACTTGCTCCACTTCACTTTTCTTGCCCCTTTTTCGAAGATTAGATGGTCGTATGCTTGGGGGGAGATGTCAGTATATTCAACCCTGTTCCATTGGTCTACAGCTCTGCCTTTCTTCCAGTACCATGCTGTTTTAATTATTATTGCTTTGTAGTAGAGTTTGAAGTTAGGGAGGTTGATTCCTCCCATTTTCTTTTCCCAAGAATTGCTTTAGCTATTCGTGGGGGGTTATTGTTCCATATGAATTTCAGGAGTGTTTGCTCCATTTCTTTGAAGAATGTCATGGGTATTCCAATAGAGATCGCATTGAGTTTGTACAGTGCTTTGGGACGTACTGCCATTTTGACAATGTTAATTCTCCCAATCCATGAACAGGGGATATTTTTACATTTCCTCGTGTCCTCTTTTTTTTCCTGTAGTAGCCTTTTATAGTTTTCTTTTCCTTCGTTAAGCTGATTCCTAGGTACTTGATTTTCTGGGGCACAATTGTGAACGGGATTGTTTTCTTCATGTCACTTTCTTCTCTCACTATTTGCACATTGGAAAGCCATGGACTTTTGGGTATTGATTTTATAGCCTGCAACGTTACTATACAAGCCTATTGTTTCTAGGAGTTTCTTGGTAGAGGTTTTAGGTTCTCTAAGTATAGTATCATATCATCTGCGAATAGTGAGAGCTTGATTTCTTTCTTTTCTACCTGGATGCCCTTAATGTCTTTTTCTTGCCTAATCGCTATTGCAAGTACTTCCAGTACTATATTGAACAGCAGTGGAGAGAGTGGACATCCTTGTCTCGTCCCTGATCTTAGAGGGAAGGCTCTCAGTTTTTCCCCATTGAGGATGATGCTTGCTGTTGACTTGTGGTAGATGGCTTTAACTATTTTGAGGAAAGTCCCCTCTGTCCCCATTTTGGCTAGGGTTTTCATCATAAAGGGGTGCTGGATCTTGTCAAATGCTTTCTCTGCATCTATTGATATGATCATATGATTTTTATCTTTTCTTTTGTTGATATGATGGATTATGTTGGTTGATTTCCGAGTGTTAAACCAACCTTGCATCCCCAGGATGAATCCTACTTGATCATGGTGTATGATCTTTTTGATGAGTAGTTGAATTCTATTTGCTAGTATTTTGTTGAGAATGTTTGCGTCCATGTTCATCAGGGATATTGGCCTGTAGTTTTCTTTTCTTGTGGTATCTTTGTTTCCTTTTGGTATTAGAGAGATATGGGCTTCAGAGAAACTGTTTGGGAGAGTTTCCGTTTTTTCAATTTCCTGGAAAATCTTGAGAAGGACTGGCAGTAGATCCTCTTTAAATGTTTGGGAAAATTCGCTAGTGAATCCATCTGGACCTAGGCTTTTGTTTTTGGGAAGACTTTTGATTACAGTTTCAACTTCCTTGATGTTAGTAGGTCTATTCAGATACTCTAGATCTTCTTGATTCATCTTTGGAAGATTATATGAGTCCAGGAATTTATTCATTTCGTCTAGGTTCTATTGTTTCGTGGCATACAGACTTTCAAAGTAGTACTCTCTGATGATCGATCTTTTGGATTTCTTTAGTTTCTGTTGTGATATCCCCCTTCTCATTTCTGATTCCGTTTATTAGGGTTCTCTCTCTCTGTTCTTTGTGAGTGTTGCTAGTGGTTTATATATCTTGTTTATTTTCTCTAAGAAACAGCTCTTGGTTTCATTGATCTTTCGAATTGTATCTCTGGTTTCCATGTCATTGATTTCTGCTCTAAGTTTTATGATCTCTTTCCTTCTGCCTGATTTAGGCTCTTTCTGTTGATTGTTTTCTAAGGTCTTGAGCTGTGAGGTCAAGTTGTTTCTGTGCATCCTTTCTTCTGTCCTAAGATATGCTTGAAGAGCTATAAATTTTCCCCTTAATGCTGTTTTTGCTGCATCCCATAGGTTCTGGTAGCTCATGTCTTCATTCTCATTTGTTTCCAGGTATCTTTTGATTTCATCCTTGACTTCCTTCCTGACCCAACTCGTTGTTCAGCATTGAGTTGTTTAATTTCCAGGTGTTTGATTTGGTTCTCTGTGTCTGTGTGTGATTCACTTCTATCTTCAGTGCATCATGGTCTGAAAAGATGGTCGATTCTATTTCCATCTTCCTGATTCTATTGAGGTATGTTTTGTGGCCTAGCACATGGTCTATTTTGGAAAATGTTCCGTGCGCACTGGAGAAGAATGTGTACTCTTTCTTTTGGGGGTGAAAAGCCCTGTACAGGACTATAAGCCCTTTCTCTTCTATTTCTTTTTTCAAAGCCAATGATTCCTTGCTGAGTTTTGTTCTTGTTGATCTATCCAAAGGTGTTAAGGTGATGTTGAAGTTTCCAAGTACTATTGTGTTGCCAGAAATGTCCTCCTTAAAATTTGTTAGCAGTTGTTCTAAATATTTAGCTGTTCCCTCGTTAGGTGTGTGTACATTTAAGAGTGTGATTTCTTCCTGTTGTACGTATCCTTTGATGAAGAGAAAATAGCCTTCACTGTCCCTTCTAATCTTTTTCAACGTGAAACTAATGTTGTCAGATACTAGTATGGCCACCCCAGCTTTTTTGAAGGAGCTGTTTGCTTGCAGGATTGTTTTCCATCCTTTGACTTTGAGTCTGTGTTTGCTCTGACTGTTGAGATGAGTTTCTTGTAGACAGCAGAATGCTGGGTTCTGTCTCTGTATCCATTTTGCCACTCTGTGTCTCTTAAATGGTGAATTTAGACCGTTGACATTGAGAGAGATTATTGTTATGGGGTTTTGTGTCATCTTTCTGTAAGGGTCTGTTGTGGTTGTAGGGTTTGTCCTGTCTTATAGTAGCCCGTTTAGCCCTTGTTTTAGGTTTGGTTTTGAGTCTATGAAGTTCCTGAGCTGCTGTTTCTCTAGAAAATAGTGTACCGTTCCTTCGATTTTGAGTGAGAGTTTAGCTGGATAGAGTATTCTTGGTGAAGCATTCATTTCCGTGAGTTTTTTCACTATATCTTGCCACTGCCTTCGGGCTTGGAGGGTTTCCTCTGATAGATCTGCTGTAAGTCTAAGGGGTGCTCCTATGTATGTGATTTTCTTCTTTGACCTTGCTGCTTGCAGTATTGTGTCTCTATCAGTGTTTTTGTTAGGGTCTCTTTTAGCTGGCACCCTTCGGGCTCCTTGAATCTGAATGGTTGCATTGTGGAGCTCTGGAAATTTTTTAGCAATGATTTGTTTTACTGTGGATTTTTCATTGGGATTGTTTCCCTGAGCTTCTGGTAGTCCAATGATTCTAATGCTGTTTTTCTTGGAATTGTATCCTAGGACTCTGATTCTCTGTAGAGCTATTTTGAGGTCCCTTGCCACTGTTTGTTGTTGCCTGTTGGCTTGGTGCTGCTGATGTTCCAGCTCACTGATTCTTTCCTCAGCTATGATCATTCTATTTTTGAGGGCACAGACTGAGTTTTTTATTTCATCTATGGAATCTTTGATTCGTGACATTTCTGTGTGTAGCTTTCCAATTTCTGCTCTCATTTCTTCCTGTATTCTCTCGATTGTGCGATCCATTGTTTCTTTCATGTCCTCTTTCAATTTACTGGATATCTGTCTGACTGTTTCATTGAGTGGATTGAACATCTTCATGACTTGATATCTGAATTCTTTGTCAGAGAGGTCCTTTAGGTGAATAGCACCTACTGAGGCTTCTGGACTCATTTCATTGTCCTCTCTCTGAGGTGAGGATTTGCGTTGTTTCTTCATGTTGGTGTGTAGGTGTAAGGAGTAGATTTCTTGGTATGAGTAAACTACCTACGGCCGCGTGAGCTTTGACCTGCCTAAAATTAAGCCATGCCCACTTCTAAAGAAGCCACGCCCACTTCTAAAGAAGCCACGCCCGCTTCTAAGGCGGCCACACTCCCATGGGTACCTGGTGTGTGTGGGGGGAGTAAAGACTGGATGGGAGAGAAGGCATACGCCCTACCTGCCATGCTATCACTCCAGCCCACATATATTTGTAAAAAAACATTTCCTTCTAAGATTGGTTGCCTCCTGCTTTAAACCCCATCAAATGTGGTACAGTACTCTTGGAGTGAGTTGGAGAGATAGCACAGAGGTAGGGCTTTTGCCTTGAGCACAGCCGGCCTGGCCGAGCCAGGTTTGATTACTCCACCCCTCTCACAGAGCCTGGCAAGCTACTGAAAGTATCTTGCCCGCATGGCAAAGCCTGCCAAGCCACCCATGACGTATTCAAGATGCCAAACACAATAATAACAAGTCTCACGATGGAGATGTTACTGGGCCCACTCGAGCAAATTGATGAACAACAGGAGGACAGTGCTACAGTGCTACTCTTGGAGTATGAGTGGTGTGAGGTTAGGGTTAGGGTTACGGTTAGGTAATTCAAAATCATGTGGCCACAAATGCTGTCACATGGTCCAGAAATATGTTCACTTCTGGATGAGGCTCTGCCCAAGCGTGTGGAGAGTGGGCCTGAGCATGGCAGCAGCTGAGTTCTGGAGGTTTTCAGCTGCCAAGGCTAGATTCCTTGGGGTGGGAAGGGGTCTCACCCGCCCCCCTTTGGGGCACCGTGAATGAAACAGCCTGGCACAGGTCCAGTGACATGGGTTATGGTGTGTGTCGTTTTATGCTCCCTTTTGGGAGTGAAGGGGAAAAAAGGGATAATTTTTAATCATCTGAAATAAAACATGTTTTAAGAGATTTCTTCATTTTTTTTCTGTTTAGTAATCTACCCTACCCACTGCACAATAGTGCACACATCACAGCTGTGAAGGACGCAAAGTATCACAAAAATATTCCTGATATTAAGCAATTTTATGAAGAACAACATCAGAATTGGCGTGTAATTGATGGATTTCACAGTAAATGGTGGGTATGGAATGAAGTCATGAAAGCTACTCAAACAATGAATAAATATATACAGACATACCTGGGAAGAATAAAGGAAGGTAAGGAAACATTTGACTTTTAAAATGAACAAAATATGCATTTTAAAAGTCTATACATGTATGAGACATAAACATAATTCAATTTGAACATCTGCTCCCACAACATTATAAAGTGTTTTAATATCAAATTATTGTGGCCTATATATTTCTTATAACAAGCGTCTGCCATTACTCAAACTATAATTTATTGAATACCTATGAGAACATAGCACATAAAAATAATACATGTGTCTCACTAGGACAGATTTTATTATTCTTGGAATACTATAAGAGGAAAGCTCTAAATACTGATTTCCAGAATTTCCAGTTAAATGAGGGTAGTGGTCTGTGGATGACACTTGGAAAAGTATTACTTATAAATATAATATGAAAAGAGAAAACTAAAATAAACTTAAAATTAAAGTTACTTTTATCACCTTTATTTATTAGTTGTTCTTCGATTTGCCTGAGCAGGCCCAGTAACATTGTGAGAATTGTTGTTACTGTGTGTGACAGTGACAGTGATATTTATTAGAGTGTTTTACAAACTTAATCACTTAATCACTTAACTTCCCGTTAGTCGTCGATTTTCTCGAGCGGGCGCCAGTAACGTCTCCATTTGTCCCTGTCGTGTGCTAGTGTAGCCCAATGGCATCTGTTCGCTCCGGGAACATGAAGGGCCTCAAACCGATCGTTCATGATCTTCAGGAAGAAGTCTGACCATCTGGTAGGTGGGCGGCCACGCGGTCTCTTGACATCCCGTGGAATCCAATCAGTAACAGCTCTAGTCCAACGGTCGTCTTTAAATCTCATTACGTGACCAGCCCATCTGATTTTCGACACCTTGGCAAATGAGACAGCGTCCCTGATCCTTGATCGTCGACGGATGTCAGAACTCCGGATTCTTTCTCTCATTTGAGTGAAACGTGATATTCCAAGCATAGCTCTTTCTATTCTTCTTTGGGAGACCTGAATGGCGTTCTCATCTTGTTTGCGTAGGGCCCAGGTCTCTGAGGCATATGTTAATGCAGGAAGAACAGTGGAATCAAAGAGATGTGCCCGGAGCCGGAGGTTCTTCGTCCTCTTAGCTATTTCTTCGACGTTCTTGAAGGTGTTCCAAGCCGCTCTCTTCCTCCTGCGCAGCTCGGGTGCCAGGTCATTTGTCATGTTGACCTCTCGACCTAGGTAGACATAGCTGTTGCATTCGGAGATGGTCGTTCCATTGAGAGCGAATGGGGCGTCAGGAACAAGGCTGTTTCTCATAAACATTGTCTTCATAAGATTCAGCTGTAGTCCTACCTTTCCACACTCACGGTCAAAGTTGGCCAGCATTTGTGCCGCTTGGCTGATGTTTGGTGTTATTAAAACAATATCATCAGCAAAGCGGAGGTGGTGTAATTGCCGACCATCTATCTTCACTCCCATTCCTTCCCATTCCAGTCGTCGCATGATGTTCTCGAGGGTGGCACTGAAGAGTTTCGGTGAAATGGTATCACCCTGCCGCACCCCTCTCTTGACATCAACGATCACTTCTTTGTAGAATGGTGAGATCCTGGTAGTGAATCCGCAATAGAGCTCACGGAGGATCCTGATGTATTGGGCTTGAATGCCCTGATTGGCTAGGGCTTCAATGACCGCTTCCGTCTCAACAGAATCAAAGGCCTTCTTTAAATCAATGAACGTTAAGCAGAGCGGCATCTTGAACTCCCGAGAAACCTCAATGAGCTTGGTTATTGTGTGGATATGGTCGATGGTGCTGAATCCTTTGCGGAACCCTGCTTGCTCGCATGGTTGTCCTTCATCTAGTGTTCTGCCAATCCTATTCAGGATGACTCGAGTGAACAACTTGTAGATGACAGACAATAGGCAGATCGGGCGATAGTTGCCAATGTCATGGATGTCTCCCTTCTTGAACAATAGTATGGTCCTGCTGGTTTTCCATTGGGACGGAACCTTGCATTCAGACAGGTAGCGAGTGAAGAGCCGAGCCAGTGTATTGATGAGTACTGACGGCAGGTTCTTCAGGTGTTCAGGTCTGACCTTGTCTGGGCCGCGTGCTGTTTGTTTCTTTACCGACGAAATGGCGTGTCGGATTTCGGAGGGGAGAACGTTGGGAACAACATACCCATCCTGTGGAATTTGGTATGTTGGCAAGTGGACATGGCTATCGAAGAGATTTGAGTAGAAGTCATGGATAATCCTCTCCATTGCCGTTCTGGAGGATGTGATGGATCCATCAGGACGTCGGAGGGCAGTCATCTTGGTCTTATAGTTGGCGAAGGACAGGTGGGCCTTACGAATACTTTTCCCGGCTTCTGCTGCATCTACCAGTACTTCTGCTCTTCTCTCTTTGAGGTCTTCCTTGATCGCATCTCTGCACTGCTTTGCAAGCTCGGACGTTAGCTTACGGTTGCCTGAGGCATGCGCCAAACCACGCTGGCGAATTAGCTCAAGAGTTTTCGAAGATAGGCGACTTTTTGTGGCTATCTCTCTCTTGGCGTTCCTAGCACATTCATGGAGGTGCTGAACCAGTCGATCGTATTCCTCATCAATGTTGTCAACAATGGCATCTTCCCATGTTGCCGCAATAGTACCAAAGAGTTCCCAGTTGGTGGTCATTCTGGGAGTTCTCTTTTTGAACTTTGCAGCCCTTTCTCCCCGCTCTGTGAAGTAGAATTTTGCACGAAGGAGACGGTGGTCCGATCCCGTTCGAAATTTTGGTACAACAGCGACATCAGTCAGGCAAAACCGTCGATTGAATATGATGTGGTCTATTTCGTTGTGGAATCGTCCACCGGGAGACTCCCATGTCCATCGTTTAGATTCTGCCTTCTGGAACTGTGAGTTACCATGGATGGTCTTGGTCGACATGATGAACTCTGACAGTCTCTCACCCTGTTCGTTCCATTCTAGGCCATGGGTCCCGATGTGAAGTTCTTCAGCTGATCTTCTCGGTCCTATCTTGGCATTAAAATCACCCACAATGATCTTGTAGAAGGTGTGGTCTTCTTTATAGAACTTCTCTAGCTCCATGTAGAACTTCTCGATTTCTCTTTCATCATAATGAGATGTTGGTGCGTAGACAACGAAGATAGAAACTGCAGGCAGTGAGCCACATCTATTCAAATGTAAACGTCCGATTCGGGTTGTTAGGCATTCGAATGAACCAATGCTCTTGGCCAAGTTTGTGTTGACAAGGACACCGATGCCTCCAACACCTCTTTTATCGCATGTTCCGAGGAACAATTCTTCTCCAGTGTCGAAAACGGCGTGGTGAGATTCGTGCCTTCTTGTCTCGGTCAGACCAATGATGTCGTACTTGATCATTCGCGCTTGTACCATCAGGTCCTCGATGGATGCATCTGATGCTAGCGTACGTGCATTGAAAGTACAGACGATCATTTTTGTCTTCCTTCGTTGTGGCAGCCTAGGTCGGCCTTGAGATTTTGTCGGCCTCTCCTTTCTCATCCTTCTCAGTGCTGCCATGTCGGTGAAGCCTTCAGGGTCAGGTGATTGAGACCAGTTGTAGTTACTGGTTTTGGCATATCGAATACACAGCGGATAGCTTGCCAGTCTCTTCCGTGCGGGCGGAATACTCTCGGTAGCTTGCCAGTCTTTCCGAGAGGGATAGAGGCTTTTGGGGTGACCTCTAATCACCCTTGTAGGTGTTACCATATTTGAACCCTATCAAATATGGTACGACAATTCCAGAAGATGGGTATTTAGTGTCTTATGATGTGTCGTGCGGCCGCTTGCGGACCCGCGCGGCAGCTCCGGCCGAGACCCACGCACAACTGAAGACCCACAGAACAAGATAAGCGGAACTCTCTGAGACCTTGGACTCCAGGCTCGGCGGACCCAGGGACAGAGCTTCTCTGCTTGCTCCCACCACCACAGGTGACAAAGGGATTCTAATCAGGAGCCCCACCCTACCCTGCCCTGTCTGCTTCCATCAACCACCCAGGGATCAAATTGTGCACAGGAGACCCACCCTACCCAGATAAATACCCCACTGGCAGACTTCCACTCTCGATACGACTTCCACTACCCAGCCGTCACCACACTCCAGGATGCTTTCCGGACCCGCGCAGCAGCTCCGGCCGAGACCCACGCACAACTGAAGACCCACAGAACAAGATAAGCGGAACTCTCTGAGACCTTGGACTCCAGGCTCGGCGGACCCAGGGACAGAGCGTCTCTGCTTGCTCCCACCACCACAGGTGACAAAGGGATTCTAATCAGGAGCCCCACCCTACCCTGCCCTGTCTGCTTCCATCAACCACCCAGGGATCGAATTGTGCACAGGAGACCCACCCTACCCAGATAAATACCCCACTGGCAGACTTCCACTCTCGACACGACTTCCACTACCCAGCCGTCGCCACACTCCAGGACGTTTTACAAACAATCTATTAAAAACTTAAACTTTACCATTTAATTTTGATGGTTTGATCCATGAAAGAAATTTTTGATGATATAGTCCTATAATGGGTGATTTTCTCAAAAAAAATTGCAAAATAGACGGAAACCATTTAACATCTGCTGTCTCTAAAGAGAGAGTTGACTCCAAATAATTTATCTGTAGGAATATCACAGACTTGTTTTATTATTTTGTTTAATTTCAGAAACCATAGAGAAGATAAAAAAAAAAGTACCAGGGAAAATGCCACTAGGATTCCAATATTTGCATTATTGAATCTTGGTTGGTTTCATTATCAGCATAACCTGTTTGCAGATTAGAAATTCATTTTTACCTGAGGATATAGGAAAGATAAAGAGTTAAAGGGAAGAGAGAACTGAATTTTTAAAAATTTTAAGTTTCTAAATAATTTTTGAGTAGCATAACCTACTAAACCAACCCACATCAGATTAAAAGCAAAATTTGTACCTCCTTTCTGTTACCCGATTTTATATGCTTGCCTTAACTGGTTTCTCCTGGAAATAGACTCAAAGTAAAAGTATATGCAGAAGACTTATCAGGAAGCACCCTCAGGAATAGTGATAAGATGGGAAATAAAAATATAATATGCCCAGTTAAATTTGAATTTTAGAAAAACTGAATAATTTAATATATGTAGGGCGTTTGCCTTGCAAGTGGCCAACAGGCTGACCCGGGTTCAATTCTTCCACCCCTCTCGGAGAGCCCAGCAAGCTACCAAGAGTATCTTGCCCGCACGGCAAAGGCTGGCAAGCTACCCATGACGTATTCGATATGCCAAACACAGTAACAACAAGTCTCACAATGGAGACGTTACTGGTGCCCGCTCGAGCAAATTGATGAACAATGGGAGGACAGTGCTACATACCTCAAATATTGCATAAACTAGTCCTATGATAAAACTTGATCTTCATTTATCTGCAATTCAAACTTAACTAAGCTTTCTATCTGACAGCTCTAATCAGATATATACCTGTGGGGAATCAAGGCAGAATTGGGCAAAGACAGAATCTAACCTGCAGCATAGTAGACACAGAAATCACAGCAGATCCCATAGTAGACACAGAAATCACACAGAAATCACAGGCACTAAAACTGAAATGAATCCTCAAAACTTCCCGAATTTATCAGCTTTCATATTCCTTTCACTCACTGTCCTAGCATTAACCATTGGCAGGTTACTTTGGAAAAGGGTCTTGCCTGTGACGGAGGTCAGTGCCCAAAACAGTTCAGTAGTGCATGGGAGCCATCAGTACCCATGTTCCCAGCAGTTGGAGAATGGGTGCCTCATCCCCAAAGAGGGGATTCCAACATTATCTGTATGTACTTGCCTCTTCCTGGAACAATTTAATTCTTTGGATGTGTGTCAGGGGGGTGGTATTGTTTTTAATTTTTTGTTGGCTGATTTATAATACTGTTAATGATGGTTTCCCATCATATAATCCCAACATCGGTAGCCACTCTCGTCCCCCTAGGACCCCAACGCCCCTCTCTTCCCTTTCAGACCCTCCCCCAACTCAGTTGTGTGGATCATTTTGCTCATTTTGTTGCCTTTGGTCCTTTCTGTTGCAGCAAATTGCATGATTTTTGTGGAACAGTTTAATCTAACAGAAGCCTTTCCTCTTGCTTGTATCTTTCAATTTCCATCTCATGCTCCTAATAAGCATATCACATGCATTCTGACTAATGATATGGAGCAAGTCAGAGCTGGAAGATGATCATGCCACATTACATAAGATGTATAGACATTGCTAAATGAGATGAGATCTTTGTATAGTCCTCAAGAATACCCCAAGAATCAGAAAAAAATGTGTGTATATTATAGTATTTAAAATAACAGTATTTTTTAGCCCTCTCAGCAGGGTTCACTGGGGCTTCTGGGGACACTCCCAGTAGTACTCAGCTCCCTAGTATGGGCCTGATGGTTCAGAGCTCAGGTCAGTGATGCAGTGCTTCTGGGGTTCAGCAGTGCTAAAAGCCACATGGGACATCCTACCAGTGCTTAGGGGTCATGCAGTGTCAGGGATTAAACACAAGGTCAAGAGTGTGCAAGGCATGTTTTCCAGGTCTTTGCGCTAAGCCCCTAACTGAAATCATGTAATTCTGAATTATACTTGATAGTAAGCCTGTCAGGATTATTGAGACTGAACAGTTGAGCTAAGTATGGTCCAAAAAAAAGACTGTAAAACTAATCACTTTAGTGTTTATTTTCTTCTCTCAGATGGCATTGATGCCCAGGGAAAAGTTTATGTCAACGAATTATTTGCACTCCTGAATTCTACCTTGTAGAAAGGTTTTTTTTAATGTAGTTTATTACATTTTGTTTTGGTTTGGCATTCTTTTTTGCTTTTCTTTTTAGTTTTTAAATCACACCCAGTTGAGCTCATGGACTCACGACTGGTAAATTGCTCAGGTCATTCCCAGAAGCACTTGGGAAGTGACCATGTGGTGCTGGAGATCAAACTCAAGCCTCCCACATGCAAAATATGCACACTTGTTCTTTGAACTATTTCCACAATCCAGCATATAATTTATTATAGTATATCTATAATAGATAATAATTTAAAATAACCATGGCATTTATCAATAGATAATGATTAAGTAAAATATGAATATATTTATCTTTTTTGTGACACTATGGTGGAGTTAAATGGTATGAACCATAGTCATGCCCAGCAGTGTGTAGTGGATGGTAGAAGAAGGGCTTACAGTGCCCAAGGTAAAACTATAGGCCTCTCAGATGCATTGCATATATTCTACAACTTGAGTCACATTCCCAGACCTAAGTATATTTGCACACTTAAAAAGAATTTGGTAAGGAACAGGAGAGATATTGTAGGAGTTAAGGCGCATGTTAAGCTATCCTCAGTAGCAGCATCATAAGGTCACCCCAAGAACTACCAGGTGTGGCCCACAATGCCCCCAAACACTGTTGCATGTCTTTGGTAATTCCTGGCACCAGAAGGTCCAAGCAACACTGCATCCTTAGATCCTTGCATTGAGCCACTAGCCCAGTTGACCAAGAAAGGCAGGGAGAGGCCTCTAGGTCTCCTGAGCACTGCTTAGGAAACCACCTCCCCACTTCCACCAAGGCAAAAATCATGTAAATTTTATAAATATAAATGAAAAGATATCAAAGATCATAAGCAAGTAACAAAAGAAAATTGCAGAATTATAGTTATAGTACAGTGGCATAAATAAACTGCAGGCAAAATAAAAAGAACTCAAATAGATGTATATGCAAAAAAACATGTGAAAAGGACATGAGTTCAACATTGATTAGGTCTTGGGAGTAGCGCTGAATTGAGAGATGAGAGTGAAGAAAAAACTTGTTTTTTATTCTATAGTCTGAAATATAATGTGTATGTGTTGTATTATGCTCATGTAATGTAAATAATTTTATATTTAAATAATTACGTTTTCTATTTAAAATGATAATAATAAACCTTTTTTATTGCATAGGAAAGGCTGCCCTCATTGATAAGCTATGTATCTCACCTCAAGAATTAATCTCTCGTCTGGGTGAATTTGAACAGTTCTGCCCTGTCAGTTTGGCTGAATTGGGTGAATTAGTTGATTGCTCTCTAACTGACTCACTGAAATTTGCCGCGGAGTTCAGAGGGCACTATTATAAAATGAGTTCTAGAGAAAACCTGAATGTAAGTTTGATCCTAAATCTATACATTTACTAGGGAAAAAAAATTTAGCTTAGAACTGATCAACCAAAATTTACAAGGGTTGTTCCCCACTAGAAAACCCAAGAATTAGACACCAGGAGCCATGTGATTGGAACCCTTGACTCTGGGACCAAATGAGCAACTCGAAGGTCAGGGGAAAAAAGTAGAACTTATGACATTTTTTAGCTCAAAGCAGAAATTCAAGGTCAGAGATAGACCATTGGCCTGGCCCAATGTAACAGACAAGAAGGCCCAAGAGTGAGCCCCAAGGTCTGGGGAGATAGTACAGTGGACAGGGTATTGGCCTTACACAAGGTCGACCTAAGTTCAAGTCCTAGAGCCCCATATAGTCCCCGAGCCCTGCCAGGAGTGATCCCTAAGCACAGTGAGGGGTAATCCCTGAGCACAGTCACATGTGCCCAACAAACAAACAAAAACAGCAGAGACTTCCAATAACAGATCTAAATGCTAGAGATCAAAACTCAACCGACAAGTGGACATCAGCTGAACTGTTGGAGGTTAAGCTTCAAGGGTACAGAAGAAAAATAAAAAAACAGTAGAAATGACAGACTAGAGAGATAGTAAAGGGGGTAGGGCACTTGCTTTGTATGTGGCTGACCCAGGTTTGATCCCCAAACCCCATATGGTTCCCTGAACCCACCAGGAATTATTCCTGAGTAAGCTCTGAGCACCACCAGCTGTGGCTCCAAAACAAAACAAAACAGCAAAACGGAAACCTTTGCTTTATTTGTCTCCTGTGTTTAGAAATATTCAGTGGGAATTAATGTAGCCTATCAGTTAAATTTTTTAAATAGTAAAAACATAGTCTATAACTAGGTTGGTTTTTTATGAGTCACATTTGAAACTTAATAATGCTTCAATGCAACATTACTTCATCAAGAAATATTAAATAAAAATAAATGTTCTATCACTAGAATTCCTTGTGTACCTTAAAATTCTTCAAACATAATGCAGAATGTTCTAATGTTAGTGTTCTTAATTTTGTTTTGCTCTGAAGAATTGTATTTTATACCACTTTATGAAAAGGGTTTTTCCTTTTTTCCTGTATATTTAAATAATAATCAAAAGTTTTATAGTGAGCAGTGACATAAAGACTATGCATTGAGCCTGCCCCTTTCATTTTACAGAACACTAACTGAAGATGTAGATGTTAATTGGCCGCCTAAGTGCACTAGGCTCAGCTGTTGTTGTGTGGTGGTGGTTTGGAGGCCACATCTAGTGGTGCTCAGGAGCTGCTCCCAGTACATTGCTGAGGGTTACTCCGGTGAACCACATGTTGCCAGGTTTCAAACCTGGACCTCCCACATGGATTCTATCCTTATGAGCTATCCCACTGGTCCTGCTGATTTTCAAAGAGTCTACACCCTAGGGTTCTTGGGTTGGAAAAACATGAAATGCTAGAGATAAAACTGAGAGCCGCTAACATAACGGGCATGTGCTCTGCCTCCTGAGTCACATCCCTGATCATGCACATAATGTGACCCTAGAGGACAGGAAGGGGCAGGTGGCTGTGCCCTCTCCAGCACCTGACATGTGATAGAAGATCAGTATGTATGTTTGTGTGTGAATGGATGAATGCCAAGAAAGGCTGCCACTGTGATCACTTAAAGTTCAAGTCCAAGTACTTTCAGTCAGGAAAGGGGTGTTTGTAGCACAGAGAGAGGCTCTCAGAAGGCTTTGAAGGTCCAGCAGTTGCTTCTGAAAGTACAGAGTTCCAAGAAAGCCTGAGAGGATTTTTTGATTGGCGTGGAATTCCTGTTCTAAGTGGTCCTGCTGTTATAATCCTTTTCTAATAGAAATTTTTGGAGAACCCAGAACTCTATGTGCCTCCATTAGCCCCTCATCCTCTCCCACCTGCCGACATGATCCCCAAGCAGCTGACGTTGTCAGAGTTGAAGAAGAGATTTCCGAAATGTGCAGAGCTGCAGGGCTACTGTCCAGTGACCTACCGGGATGGAGAGCAAAGGCAAGTCCTTCCTGCCCTCAGTAAGCACAGGAGCACCTGGCTTAGACTAAATAGTTCAACAGTCTCTGACCTTTTGCTCTAAAGGTTCCCTTGGAAAATGCTTCATTTCTGATGTATGCATGAAATTCTAGCTCACATTATTGTAGACCATGACAGAATAAAAATGGAGGAAAATTTTGGAAAAGGAGCAAGAAGAGAGCTCATTCATGATTAGTGAATGTTAGGATGATTTAGTTGTCATAGCTCCTTTTATTCTATGCTTATTGCTTTTCAGGTATAACTGTTAAGTGGCTTAACATTATTATTTTATTTGTTTGTCCCTACAACCTGCAACTTATCTCCATCTTTCACATTGGAAGACAAAATTTCCCAAAAATTTAAGGCTTGAATTCAATGTAACACAAGTAATAGTTAAGCTAAAATGTAAACCTAGGTCTTCCAAGTTCCAAAGCTTTGTATCTTTTCATATAGGACCCAGAAAGACTCTCTGCTTCTGTATGTATGTATATATATGTGTGTGTGTGTGTGTGTGTGATAGAGACAAATAAATAAAATAATGTTAAGCCACTGAAAGTCCACTTTATACTAAGTTTCCTTTTATCTGTATGTTTCATGATGAAAATTGTAAACATTAAACAAAAGCAACTTAAAAACTGAGTTAATTATGTTTTGCTCCATAAAAAATGCTTGCTTTAAATTTCTTAGTACGCTATCTGGTGGCTCCCACTTCCCAAAAGAAATTTTGGTCAGTTGCTGAATCCTATTGGTCTGCTGCTTTTTTGGTGATTGATATTAAATTATTTACTTTCCTGAAAATCCTTGGAAAGATTCTTGGAGGTCATTTAGATAGCATGTGCCTGGATGATTACCTGTTAGATACATGAGCTTTAAGAGTCTATTCATTTGTACTGTACCTCATGGTGTTTCACTAATTAAAAAAAAGAGTCTATTTATTTGTTTGTGGGTGACATTTGCTTGAGGATTTTATTCAGGAAATGCTTTTTGAATTAATTTTTTTAGGGTGGCACCCCCAGCAATGCTCAGGGGTTACTCCTGACTCCATACTCAAGAATTACTCCTGGAAGCTCTTGGTGGTCCATATGGGATACCAGGAATTGAACCCAGATTGGCTGCATGCTAGGCAAACACCATAACTGCTTTACAATGCTCCAGCCAGTTGAAGCAATTTTTAAAAAGAGTTTGTTTGTGCAATGTTTTTCTTTTCAAGGTTATTTTACTCAACTAAAAGAAAAGTATGACACTTGTTTTCTAAAAGTTGTATCTTTTTTGAGTTGCATAAGTACAAAAATATTTTTATTATTTTATTTACACATTTTATCATTTTATTTCATGTCTACTATACAATTTTTTGATCTTTCAGATATGAAGCTCTGGTACCTGGTAATGTTAACTATGCTGTAGAGTATCGTGATCGTATATATATTTGTGAGACTAAGGAAAAACTCCAGAAATTTCTGAGGTGAGGTCATTCACTGTCACACATATTTATTAAGTGTCATCTCTATTTAACGAACCATGCATGTATACACAAATACATATAAAAAGTACAGTCCTTAAACACAGCGATGATGATAAACAAGCTCATGTTTCTGCAGTCAAGACCTGAGGCTCCAAGATAAGACATACTTTAAGTACCTGAAGATAGGATAAGCTGCAGATAGAGTGAGACAGTGCCAGAATTTTGTGGAAGTGCAGGTCCCAATTTGGACCAAAACATCTGTTGAAGTAAGTCCTGAGTGAAGCGTGGGGGCTGGCTAGATGAATGGAGTGAGGCCTACAAATAAACTTGGACCAGGGGATCCAAAAACTGCAAGAACTTCCCCAGGTTCAGATGTGATTGGGAAGAAAAGGAACCAAGAGGAGAAGATGGAGAGATTAAATGGGGCCAGAGTGCGGAGGGTTGTGTAAAATCCTTCCCATCATCTGTTTGGATTTAATTCAACAGGTGGTATGAAAAAGCTAAGTGATTCTGAGTGTTACAATCCAGTTTGCATTGAGAAGAAATCATCATTTAGTAATAAGAATGGACTAGAGGCAGAAATAGCAGAGAGGCAGGAGTAACCCTATACAAAATGCAGAGCAAGTTTGAGGCCACCCAGGAAGAGTATCAGCCCTCAAAATGCCCAGCACACAAATGTCAGAAGAGCTTTCAAGTGGGAATGAAAACCACAAAGAGATGAAAGAAGCATCAAGAGAGGGAGAAGGAAGAGGAGACAGAAATCTTGAAAAGCCCAGCCAATTTGATTAAAATGAGCTTGGAAATCAGGTAAGACAAAGATGTGCTGAGCATGTCAGATTTTGGTTAGAACAGGTCATTGGTGAGCTTGGCAAGAACGGTTTTGGTAGAGTAGGGTGAGTCACGGCCTTCTGCAGAGTGCTGGAGAGTAGTTAGAGACAAGATTAAGATCTTGTTGGCAATCTAGAGGTTGCAACAGCTCCCAACAGAGACAGTGAAGCCCAAGAGGCAAGTGCATTGGCAGTGAAAGGACAGGACGCAATGGAAAGGACTCACAACTCTACTTCATATGCCCACTGAAGAGGACAGCAGCAACTCACCTACTTCCAGTCTGTTCTGGTTTTTAGAAGAAGTTGGAAACCAAATCTCTTTAAATTTTTTTTGTTTTAAATATCTGCAAATGATTCATTGGTTACAATAGTTTGTGGATTGAGTCACATCTTCAGATGTGTGTGTGCTGTGATTGGTGATCATTAGTAAAACTCACTGCATGAAGAAGTATGATTAAGAGAAGAAGGGGGAAGGGGTCGGAGTGATAGGACAGAGGGTAGGGCTCTTGCCTGGCACTCGCTGATCAGGTTTGATCATCGGATTCTCATATGGTCTCCCATGTCACCCCCCAGGAGTGATTTCTGAGTTCAGAGCCAGGAGTAAACCCTGAGCATTGCTGGGTGTGGTACTAAAACAAGAGAGAGAGAGAGAGAGAGAGAGAGAGAGAGTTGAAAAATAAAAATTAAGGAGTGAAGTTGATTTTTTTCTTTTAATGAAGCATGTTGACTCCTTAATACAGCTATGATACTTGTTTACATGTAAAATTGAGAGGAATCCAATAAAAAGAGAAAAGCCAAATGAATGTGCATGAGGACTGGGTTGGATCCTGGCAGCATATGTTCCCCTAGCACCTCTATGGATACAACTCCTGAGCACAAAGCCTGGAGCAGTCCCTGAAGCCTTCTGGGTGTCACCCAAAAGCAAATTAAAAAACCCATACTTGTTGTGTGTGTGGGAGGAGCTGGGAGGGGACAAAGGGAAGGTATAATCCACTGAGAACAAATTTCTAGGTGTGACATAGGTCTATAATATTATATTTCAGGAGTACACTAACAATTATAGTTTGACATTTATAATAATAGTTCAACACACAAAAATTTGACCTCCACCAAAAGTCTATGTCTATCCACCAATTGGCCCTTTGTACCCAATTTTCCTACTCTCTTTGCTGTCCCTTTGGTAATAAACATTTTGTTCTCAAAAGGAGGAGTTAGTATGTATGCATGTTGGTTTGTTTCTTAATTGGTTTAATGTCTCTTTAAGTTTCAGGTTTACTTCTTTATATCTCAGTATCTGAATATACTACATTGTCACCATATTTTGTTTCTTATTTCTTATTCTTCTGTCCACACAGTTCCTCTATGTTTATTATTTGTGTTATGAGCTTCCACCTAATGAATTTTGTGTTCTTAGGCTGCCAGAGAAATACTGGGATCAGACACTTCCTAACAAACTTCCCCCTTTAAAGGAACCGATATCACTTACTAGTCTACCTTTGCCTGGATATTTGGAACAGGTTTGTTAGATTATTTTCTAGGCATATGTATTAGAGAAAATCACTGATATATGCAAACTTACTCAACCTAATTTATGACTGACTGCAAAACTGAAAAATGAGAAGCTCATGCTTTCGTAGCTAATTCCCAAATATCTACACTAAAGTGAAGAGAAATGTGATTTGTTTGGTCCTCATTTTACATTTAAGTGTCTATAAAACTTTCTTGGGGGGGAGGTCTTTTTGGCTTTTTGGGTCAACCCAGCAATGCTCAGTGGTTACTACTGGCTCTGCACTCAGGAATCACTCCTGGCACTGCTCGGGGGACCATATGGATGGATGCTGGGGACTAAACCCAAGTGGGCCGCGTGCAAGGCAAACATCCTTCCTGCTTTACTATTGTTCTGGTCCCTATAAAGCTTTCTTAAGGCTGGAAAGATGGTACAGATTAAGGCACTTGCTTGTATGCAGTCAACCCTGTTTTGACTACTGACAATATACATGGTCCCCTGAGCATTGCCAGGAGTGAACTTTGAAAACAGAGCCATCAGTAAGCCCTGAGTACTATTGGGTAGCACTGTAGCACTGTCCTCCCGTTGTTCATCGATTTGCTCGAGCAGGCACCAGTAACGTCTCACAACAAATTGTGAAACTTGTTGTTACTGTTTTTGGCATATGAATACGTCATGGGTAGTTTGCTAGGTTTTGCCATGCGGGCAAGATACTCTTGGTAGCTTGCCGGGCTCTCCGAGAGGGGCAGAGGAATCGAACCCAGGCCGACCGCGTGCAAGGCAAACACCCTACACGCTGTGCTATCACTCCAGCCCTATTGGGTGTCCTCCCAAAATATTATTTTATTTTTTAAAACCAATTTTTAATTTTCTTTTCATAATCAAATGAATGGGCTGGAGCGATAGCACAGCGGTAGGGCATTTGCCTTGCACGCAGCCAACATGGCTGACTCAAGTTCGATTCTTCCACTCCTCTCGGAAAGCCCGGCAAGCTACCGAGAGTATCTCGCCCGCGCGGCAGAGCCTGGCAAGCTACCCTTGACTTACTCGATATGCCAAACACAGTAACAAGTCTCATGATGGGGATGTTACTGGGCCCGCTTGAGCAAATCGATGAACAACGGGAAGGATCGTGAAGGACCGTGAATCAAATGAATAGGTAATTCTTGAATAATCCAAGTTTGAATTGTATGTATCCACATATACATGATTTTTACCCAACTCTTCCCTCTCAGTTTATGTATTGTGAAGACAACAAGGGTAAGGCCTATTATGGTGATCCACTTTATTATTTTAGCAGCAATTTCTTTTCTCCAGCTACTTTTTATTAGGAAGATAGTGTATAATGTATTTAACATGCAAAATATTTTACTCGACTTTTTATGTTTTCAATAAGGCTTCTGGTAAAGGCTCTAAACAGTTAATTTGAGGGGAGTTAAAAGCAATGTATGGTGACTTTTAAACTGGGAAGACAAGCTGAGAATCATGTCCCTAACCTCAAAGTTATTCAAGAGTCAACTGTATTTTCTGTTTCATTTAGGAAATGGTCATTTTAATCTTATCATTAAAAATCCAGGTGTAGTCTATCATCCATTTGTCATTGCAAAAAAAGAAATTAAACTCAATTATACACTTATGACTTAAATTATATCTTACTTACAGGGCACTGCCTCTTCTCTAATTAAAGCATTGAATGCAGCAGGATGCTTAAAACCAAAATACCCCTTCTTAAGTGTAAAAAGATCTGTGCTACTATATATAGCACTTCATCTAAAAGGTATGTCTTTTTTTAAACTATACCACTTCAGAACTAATTTAATACTAGTTATATTAATGCATACTTTAGATGCAATGTATGTAATCAACCAGACTGGACTGTGTAGCAAATGGTTGTTTTTGTTTTGTTTTGTTTTGTTTGCTTTTTGGGTCACATCCGGCGATGCACAGGGGTTACTCCTGGCTCTGCACTCAAGAGTCACTACTGGCGGTGCTCAGAGGACCATGTGGGATGCTGGGAATCGAACCCGGGTCGGCTGAGTGCAAGACAAATGCCCTACCCTCTGTGCTATTGTTCCAGACCATGTTTTAATAAAAATATAAACACTGTATTTCTAGTTTTGAAAGCAGGAACTACAAATAATATAGTCATCTCTCAATACTTCATCCCATAGAGAAAGGTATATAGAGGCAATTGCAAAAAAAATTATAGAATAATCCTCAAGACATAGAGATAATACAAAGGTTAAGTCACTTGTCTTGTACACAATCAACCCTGGTTCGATCCCTAGCACCACAAATGTTCCCCCCAAACATCACCAGGAGTGATCCCTGAGCAGAGCCAGGAGTAAGCCCGAAGTACAGCTGTGTGTGTGTCCCCCCAAAAAAAAGATAACAGAAAACTGTAATGATAAAATAAATCAAACAGATGCACTGTAACACTGTCCTCCCATTGTTCATCGACATGCTCGAGCGGGCCCAGTCACGTCTTCATTGTTACTACTTCTTGTTACTGTGTTTGGCATATCGAATTCGTCACATGTAGCTTGCCAGGCTTTGCCGTATGGGCAAGATACTCTCGGTAGCTTACCGGGCTCTCCGAGAGGGGTGGAGGAATCGAACTCAGGTCGGCCGCATGGGCCGTGTGCAAGGCTAACACCCTACCTGCTGTGCTATCGCTTCAGCCCCAATTTTTATTCAGGGGGGTGGGTGTCTTTTCAGCTATAGTGGTAGACTTTAATCACATGCTTATTCTCTTACTCTTTAATGATTCACTAACCTAACAGAAAGCAATCACACTTCTGTGATATTTTCTCTCTAGCCTTTAATCCCAAAGGTTCTGAATATTCAAGAAAAACATATAAAAAGAAGATGGAGCAGTTTGTGGAAAGATGTGAGCTCATCACATACCTGAATTCCAAGATGACTAAAAATTACAAGGAGCCTGAATTTAGACCCATTGACTTTGATTTTAAGTTAGAGACCTTTATGTCTCTTAGAAATAGAGACCCTATTAATGATATAGCCTGAGGGTTTGCCCCCTGAATCCCTGTTCTTTATGCAAAGGACATTGAAATTTAAATGCACTCATATATTTCCTCTCCTGAAAGATAGAATCTAGCCAGCCACCAGACTTCAGAGACCACACTCTACCAGCAAGGGAGAAGTCTTTTTTTGGCATGCGTGAGTTTTAGTATAATTTTAAAGTTTATTGATCTGAACTTAGATGCTTATGAAAAAATTATTCCAAATAAAACTCATTTAGAATATTTAGGTAATGTATTTGGTAAATCTATTGTTCCCTTTATTTTCTTATTCTTTTAATACATTCAGTAGAAAAATTCATTTCTATAAAGAAAATTACTTATCAAATGTTAGAAATCTTTTGCAAACAAGGTTGACATTGACAGAAAAAAAGTACAAATATTGGTAAAACTTTTTACAGAGTTGTTTGTAAATTTCATAAATAAAGCATGCTTTATTACTTTCCACCAAAATAAATAAATTTTGCAATAACTAAATGGTTGCCTCTTTATTTTTTTAATTATTCAAACAAGGAGTCATGGACATTGGAATTTGAAATCACTTGGAATTTTAAGATTAAAAGTCTTACATGACATTATCATAAAGTATATGCTAGAAGAAAACTTACTAAACTGAATTTGAATGAGATATTAAACTAATAACAATTTTCATTAGCTTAATAAAAAGTTTTAAATGTAAAATATAAAGATTAACTCTTTAGAAACTAAAAAAAGGGACCATTACTGTTTCCTTGGGTAAATTTCAATTTCTCTGAGCCGTTGTCTCTAAAATGAACCAATTAGCTCTCTTCCCAGCTTTATTGAGATATAATTGATGAACAAAAATACATATTTAAATTGCACAATAAGCTTTAATTATATAATAACGTAAATTATGCAATCAGGGTTTTTTGGGGAGGAGTAATTGTTTTTGTTGTTTGGTTTTATTTGTTTAGGATTAAGCCAGTCATGGATCTCATGTATACAAGGCTTGTGCTCTACTGCTGATTCATATGCTCAACTCTAAAACTAGACAATGTGATCGTTTGATGCCTTGTGAAATATTTACCTTAATCTAGCTGGCTAACACTACCATCACCCTGTATAGTTACTACATATCTACTCTGTTAGTACATTTCAAATATGCAATATAATGGTGTCAACTATAGCCCCCATGCTGACATTAGCTCCTCAAAATTTATTCATTTCATAAATAAAATTTTATATACTTTGATCATATCTCCTTTTTCCCCCATCCCTCCACCCCTGACCACTACCCTGCCTTCTTCTATGTTACTGTCAGTTCAACTTTATACCCACATATAGGTAATACCACCCAGTAACTGTCTTTTCTGGTTTATTTCCCTTCACATTATGGCTTCTAGCTTCATCCATATTGTTTTAATTCCATGTAGTCTATAGTTTCAATAATACTAATTAAAAACTATGAGCCTTTTTGTATAATTTTATATGTCTTAATTTCTAATTAATTATTTTTGGGGGGGCACACTTGACAGTACTAAGGGCTATTCCTGGCTCTGTGCTCAGGGGTCATTCCTGGCAGTGCTCAGGGCACCAGAAATAAAATCAGGCCACCAGCACATAAAGCATACATTCAGCCTGTTGTGTTCTCTTTCTGGCCCAATAAAATATATTTTAACAAAAACTAAAAGCTTGTTATTAAAGTTAAGAGAAAACCCTAAATCTTTTAAACAGTTGTCAATATACCAATTAATGAAGTTATGATTATTTCAGGAGTCTAGAAATTGTGATTAGCTACCAGCGTTTACCAGCAATATAAGATACCACCTACCTTTCTTCTTGCCCCAGTTGTTAATACCTGTAATTTACCATCGTCCCCAGGTTAAAATGGGGACTCCTGTATTTCTATTTTTAACAGGGGGAGACTGTGCAGTCTCCTGCCCCCGCGCCTGACTGTCCTCGCCGCCAGGGCCCCTTGGAGGGGAGCGGGTTGAGCTTTCCTTCCCGTCCCGACCAGGGCTCCGGCAGCCAAAGACCTCCAGGACCAGCCACCACCATGCTGAGACCACTCTCCGCACACATGAAGGTACTGGCAGAGGGACAAAGTCACGCGGGTTCCGGGGCCGAGATCTCCAAGCCTACTCGGATTTGGGCCGAGCATCCTCCACCCAGATCCTCCAAATTCCAGTAGGCGGGGGTCACACCCACCAACTGACCCCCTGGCGCCGTGTAATCCCATCAACGGCCAAGACTCAGAGACTATAAAAACCAGCTCCCGGAAGAGAACAGTGCAGTCTCCTGCCCCCGCGCCTGACTGTCCTCGCCGCCAGGGCCCCTTGGAGGGGAACGGGTTGAGCTTTCCTCCAGGGCTCCGGCAGCCGAAGACCTCCAGGACCAGCCACCACCATGCTGAGACCACTCTCATGTGTAATCCCATCAACGGCCAAGACTCAGAGACTATAAAAACCAGCTCCTGGAACCGCGCGGCCGTATTCGCGGCCACTTGACATCCTATTATGACATTTTATTATCTCATTCCTACTTTGGACAAACTGGCAGGCTACCAAATGTAGCCTGCCCACACAGCAGAGTCTGGCAAACTCCCCGTGGCGTACCCAATATGCCAAATACCAGTAACAATGATGGGTCTCATTCTCCTAAAGAGCCTTGAATATAATCTCATTGCTCAGAGCCTCATTGCTTCATCCTAATGAAGGAGACGTTACTGGGACCTGCTCGAGGCAATCAACGATTAACAGGATGATTTGTGATTGTGAACAGGGGGAACTTCCAGCAGTGCTCTATTCCCCTTAACTCCAAATTTTGTATTCTTAAGCTTCTGTGTCTTCTTCAGGCCTCACCTTATGGGTATAAGGAGTTTCCATAAGCAATTAAGCCTTAACGTCATTGCTTCATTGTTTTCACTCTTATGAAGTCCCTCCAAAATACCTCCAAGCATCTTTTGGGGGTCTTCAAGGTGTGGCTCACAGGCTTCCAAGCAAATCTTGCCTGGTGAATGTTAATCATTTTCCAAGGGGTTATCTTACTTCTGATGGCTCAACCATGAGAAATCTGCAAAACCAGGAATGCCATCTTCTCAACACCTATGTTTTATTGAACACTGTTTTAAGGCTGTTGAGGTCTGGCCCAAAGTGAAGCGACTGTCTCCTCTCCAGTAAAAGGGGAGAGGCCTCATCCCTGTGCTGAACAAGGAGCCAAATACCAAGTCTCTTTTTTCGCTTTCTATGAGAGGTCTCTTCACCTTGAAAATCTGCACAGCAGAGCTGCCTGCAGCATTGGCTGGGGAGTCAGATTTCCCATAATGACTGATGATGTGGACCACTGTGACACAGGCAAATATAGCCTCTTCCACACAGGACATCATTTACATAGCCACAGACAGGGCTGTCACTTCCAGATAACCGGACTGTGTGCTATTGTCTTTCGCTACATTATTTTATTTCATTCTTTCACTCATATGCACACACACCAGAAGAGGTTTCCCCATAATATTACAAAAATACCAGAATTGACATGCAGGTCTTGATTTGCCTAATTGCAGAGCAGTTCTTTACTATGTCCTAAACCATAATCTTGTCTTAGAAGTCACCATAATGTTGAGCCTCACTGTATACATGTATGCATGTGAGTTAGTGTACACATAGACACATGTACTTTAGAATGTGAAAGAAATAGGGCTGGAGAGATAGTACAGTGAGTAGGGTGTCTGCATTGCATACAGCCAGCCTGGGTTTGTTCCCCAACACCACATATGGTCCTCCAAGCCCTTCAAGAGTGATCTCATAGCACAGAGTTAGGAATAAGCCCTGAACACAGCTGAATATGGCCCCAAAACCTAAAACCAAACCAAAACAGAAAACTAAAATGTAAAAAACTCAAGAAAATTTCCTTGGAAGATAGACAGACGAGAGGTGCCTGCCATAGAAGTGGGCTGAGGTGGGATGGATTTGGGGAGTTGAGAGGGAAACGGGGGACATTGATGATGGGAAATTACACTGAAGGAGGGATGGGTACTGGAACATTGTATGACTGGAACCCAATCATGAACAGCTTTGTAATGCTCTACTTCATTGTGATTTAATTGAAGAGAGAGAGAGAGAGAGAGAGAGAGGAAGGAAGGAAGGAAGGAAGGAAGGAAGGAAGGAAGGAAGGAAGGAGGGAGGGAGGGAGGGAGGGAGGGAGGGAGGAGGAAGGAAGGAGGAAGGAAGGAAGGAAGGAAGGAAGGAAGGAAGGAAGGAAATAAAAAGAATGAAAAAAAAGATCTTCTCCTTGGAATCTGTATCACTCCCTGTACCCCATCCCCTTTTCACCATCTCTAAATTTTTGCAAGATAGGTCAAGGGGTCTGTGTTTTGAAAGCAGAAGAACAGTATATCTGTACTGAGAAATAAGGAGGAATTGAAATTTTTTTAAACCCTTTTTTTTTCTTTTTGGGTCACACCTGGGGATGCACAGGAATTACTCCTGGTTTATGCACTCAGGAATTACTCCTGGCAGTGCTCAGAGGACCATATGGGATGCTGGGAATCGAACCTAGGTCAGCTGCGTACAAGGCAAACACCTTACCCGCTGTGCTATTGCTCCAGCCCCAGGAGGTATTGAATTTTTAAATCTCTTATGGGAATTCAAGTCACCCTGTTGTTTAGAAATGGTGATTGCTTATAATTGTGTTTATCACTAGGGCTGGAGCGATAGCACAGCGGGTAGGGCGTTCGCATTGCACGCAGCCAACATGGCCGACCCGAGTTCGATTCCTCCGCCCCTCTCGGAGAGCCCGGCAAGCTACCGAGAGTATTCGATATGCCAGACACAGTAACAACAAAGTCTCCAATGGAGACGTTACTGGGCCCACTCGAGCAAATCGACGATCAACGGGAGGGCCTTTACCTTTACCTTTTACCTTTATCACTAGTGTCCAAAATACAATTTAAGGGGCTGGAACAACAGTACAGCAGGCACTTTCCTTGCACATAGCTGACCTGGGTTCAATCCCTGGTATCTCATA